AAGTTGGACAGAAAGTCTGGCTTGACCTACGCAACATACGCACGGAACGCCCTAGCAAAAAACTGGGAAGTAGGCAGGCAAAATTTACTGTACTAGAGAGGATTGGATCCCATGCCTATTGCCTCAACACACCGAACACGATCCACAATGTGTTCCATACAGCGCTCCTACGACCAGCGGCAACAGACCCCTTTCCTAGTCAACAGAAGGATGACTACCAACCTCCTGCAGAGATGATCGACGGGAATGAGGAATATGCGGTTGAACAGATACTGGATGAGAGATTCCGACGGTGGGGACGAGGCGAAAGACATGAGTTCTTAGTCAAATACATCGGCTGGCAAGAACCGGAATGGAATGATGCGGTGAATATGGAGGATACTACAGCGTTGGACGACTGGGAAGCCTACAAACAGACAAATGGGATTGTTATCCAATCGAGCCTAAATACCCCAAGGCCAAACGAGCCGCCCCACGCCGGGGGACGTCCGCGGAGGCGACAAGGAGGGGGGTAATGTAACGGGCTAGGCCCGAAAAGCACCTCGAATCATGAATGATTCTCGATTGAGGCTATCCGCAGAACCACCTCGAAGTCAGGTGACCAGAGGTCACCTGATCACGAGGACACGTCCAAATTCATTGCCCGCCATACTAACGATTCTTCCTTCCTTCAACGAGTTCTTTTTGTACATATCTATATACTAGATAGCAAGGCTTCGGCCTATTACACCACCAAACAGCCTCACCCTTGACTCATCTGGGAGGCATCAGTTGGGTGGCCACCAGCAAGTCCGGCTATTGTATGTTTGCATCGCTCACATTACTTCAGCGGCCATACATAGGCTCCAGTGAAGAAGTAGACCCTAGTCACGTGCCATAGTGACCTACTGATTGGGATGTTGCCTGAGGCGAGATTGATCTTACTGGCATTTTCCTGGCTGGTCATGTCTCACGTTGGTCAGAAGAAGCACTTCGTTACTCGTAGCCTTCAAGGGTCGCAAAGCATCCTGCCAAAGTAGCTCCGTTGCTGTGTCTGTTGATTTGGCAATCTAATCCATGGTGTGACCGTGAGCTATAGTAGCCATTTTGCCGCTACACACGAGGGTAACAGTCAGTCCGACATTGGCAGTCCCTCCACTCGACGAGTTGAGGACTCGGAACACCAGAGAGCAAACACAAACAATGCTATTTGAAGATAGTGTTGAGAGCAACAGAAGAAGTTCAGAATAACGAGAAGTGCAGTGCAGAATGGTTTATATGGCCCCCCGAGGGGAGGGCAACGCATCTCTTTGTTTACAAGTGAATGTACTCGAGTGGGGTAAACTAAGAAGAAGGGCAGAAACAAAAACAGAGTTCTTGCTTTCTCTTCATCTCTACCAATCTTTTCCAACTCTCTACTCTCCACACACTTCCTTTCTTTCCCATCCTCGTCAACTGAAGCCGCACTTCTCTTTTGCCAAAAGCACCTGGATCCCTACCATCAACCTCGAGATCTGTATCCTGCCAGGATGTCTAATATGAACCGCCGTCTCAGCACCAAGCTTATCGGTTTCCTCGCCCTTCTGTCTCAGAACCCAGGTCTTCCACCAGCGACTAGAGACCAGGCCACTTACATTACCGCTTCGTACTCTGAACACAGAAACGTGTACCGACTGATGGCCCAGATCTCTGCTCTGAGCAATGGGGAGACGGTGATCAATTTGTCTCATAGAACGCGGTCGATGACAGAGGACAGACACGCCCCTACCTCCCGCTTTGGAGTATGCCTGCAAGCCCTTATGACCGACTTTCGCATCGCTCCCACCGTTCCCGACTTTGAAGGCCATCCTATTGAGCTGTACAGTATACTCGACCCTGTCATCGAGAGCTGGATAAGCGGGGAACAGGAGTTTGAGTTTCACAGAGCCCTTCTTTCAATGGAGAAGAGAGCGAACGAACACCTTGCGCATCTTACAAGAAAATATGGCTACCATTTCATTTTTAGAATTGGTCTCCAGCAGTACTACATGACGTAGGTTAGTCGGACGGTTCTTTGTTGGTCTTACTAACGCTCCCAGGCGTACTGTCGCTGAGAATATCAGCTTCTGGCGGCATGACCCCCGTAAAACCGACGACCTTGTTCAAGCCCAGAAGCTCTGCTACGATGTATTTGAACGCCAGCTCCGTCTGAGTGAAGCCGAAAAAATGATCCTGATCCAAGTCACCAATTCCTCGGGTCGGGATGCGAAGATGTTCTGTATGTTTTCTTCCATCGGGTCCAGTTTTGCAAAGAAAAGAAAAGAAAAGGAAGAGGAGAGAGAGAAAGAAGAACTAACAGAATTAAGGGCGTTGGCTAGAAGACAACCGCGTGGCCTACTTCGCAATGCAAACTTGCATCACGTTGCTGGACAAGCTTGGCAACGAGGGCACCAAAGCTGCGAACTAAGCCATATGAGTCTCAGATCCCCTGGATGCAACCTAGAAAATCAGGCAGTATCGACGGAGTCTATCCTCTGTATCGGCCTATCTTGGTATCCGACGATCTGTTCAGGGTAGATGTTCGACTCCAGCAAAGTTCATCGTCTATTTGTCACGACTATCACGAACAGAACATGTTTTCACTATTTCGATGATTCATGGTTTCATTATGTCTATGGCATCGTTGGTCATTTTTTCTTTTTCTTTTTCTTTCTCTTTCTTGTTTCTCATGTTTGTGATCGATGGGTGATGGAGTAGGAATTAGGCAGGTCGATATGTGATCGTGTTTCATTCTTTTAAGACACTGAAGAGAGAAAAAGAAAAATAATTCTCTCCTTCTTTCTTCTTTTCCATCCTTTCTCCCAGTTTCTAATTTTTAACTTTCCCCTGCGACGACTTCTCGAGAGCTTGGAGAGAAGCAACTTTTCGCCTGTGCTTTCTCATCTTCGTTTATCTTCTTAGCCTCTCCAAATACACGCCAAACTCAGGGCATTATGTCCGCTCTAATGTCTCTACTGTCCTCCAGCGAGCTCAGCCCGCTTCAGCGGGCCTTCAACTCCTTTTTACTGTCGATGCCATCTCAACAGTTGGAAGAGCTGGTTGCGTATCTGCAAGCCCGTGAGAACCACCAGCCCAAAAGCCATGCTGGACATGGCAACCAGACGCCAACCGATTACGCTACGTCTGACAATACAGTTTTGGGGGGCACAGCTCTGAGTGCCCGTCGTGGCTCTGCTGCTTCCACAAACAACACTTCCAAGTCTTCGGCTGCCCGTAGACGTGGCCGCGATAAGCCACTGCGTCCCCTAAACAGCTTCATTGCTTTTCGAAGTAAGTCCAAAGCACTCCTAAGCCAGCTGATGACGGGCAGCTAACATTAGTCAGGCTTCTACTCGACCATGTTTCCCGACCTTACTCAGAAAGCCAAGTCTGGAATCCTCCGCTTCCTGTGGCAAAACGACCGTTTCAAAGCCAAATGGGCTATCCTGGCCAAAGCTTACTCAAAAATCCGCGACGAGCACGCTGATTCAAAAGACGTCTCTTTGGAGAGCTTTTTGAACCTCAATGCTGGATACATCGGTATCCTTCAGCCAAGGCTCTACCTTGAGGCAATGGGCTGGGAATTGACTGTTGACGAAGAACAGCAATACACCATGGCCAGAGTTAGCCCAACGACTACAAGCGAAGCGGACGTCTCTACCAACTATTCTGTCAACGACATCATCAAACACTGTTATGACACTGGCTATGTCTCCCACAAAGACCGATCAAAGCGGACGAGTTGCAACAACGAGGCCGTTATGTCTTTCGTTGCTCAGCCGTGTCAGGCTGTCAATGAGAAGAGCAACATCCAAATTTCCGGTGCCAATACTTTTGTTGACAATGCTGGCGACGCAAGTGACGTGATCAAACGCTCCGTCGAAGAGCAAGCGGAAGACACTCCAACTCCCGCCTGCAGCGATATCAGCTCGGCCCTCGACGAACCTTCTCTGCCTTCTGTCGAAGCACTGCATGGACAGAACTCCTTCCGGTTTATGGATGACCTCGGCATCGAATTTAACTTCGACCTTTTTAGCAACAACATGACAAGCCAAGACGTCCAATACAACACTTTTATGCCGCCCTTCCAGCGAGCGCCGTTTGATCAAGGAAACGCCTCATACATTCCCGGAACGATACAAACCATGGAGTCCTTTGACTTCGATCAATTTGTCAATTTCTAGATGGTGACGACTATACCCGTCGTGTCTTTGCGCCGTTTCTCTACTTGGAGGCATAGGTTATCTTTCTTGATTTGCTGGCAATCGTGTTTTAATTTTCGTTCTTGAAAAAAGAGTGTTCAAACACCTGCTTGCTCGCCCATCTGTCACGACTATCACGAACAAACCATCCATTTCTTGTTTATGGTCTAAGATGCAGACATGTCGGGGTTCTTCTGTCTCTGCCCCTGTTTCTGTTTCGGCGTGATCCCTTTTATCTCTTGTCTTTCCTCTGTTTTCTCTTTTTCTTGACCTGCTCTCATTTCTAGATATCCCGTCTACGTCTACTAGTTTTTGTTTCACTGTTTCATTTCGTTTCATTGTTTGCTTTCATTCTACCCGCATGTATTATTTTATTCGGTTTGTTTCTTCTTTTCTACTACTACATGGATATGATCCTGTCATGTACGTACAGCAGAGACCAATCCCCTATGTACATACTAAATCCGATACCATACGATAATAAAATAAAATGACGAAATACAGGGGAGCTATTCACTCCATGCCCAGTGCCTGCGTAGCTTACTTTTTTTTTTTTTTTTTTTTCTTTTTTTTTTTTCTTTTTTTTTCCCCTTCCTCTCCATCCAGAGCAAACGCTTCACTCTCTTTAAAAATAAAACCTGAAACAGAATAAAATCGAGGGGCCGCCTTCCCTGACCCCAACATTCAGCCAGTGAATCACTCACTCTCTCCACCACCCCGACAACCAAGACCACTACGGTCACTACAACCAACCCGAAAAGAGTTAGACAGGGTTTGGATAATCATTAATTGCTGCGACTGACACGTTTTCACTCGTGTATGCAGGTACGCAGGTATCACACTGCAGCTGTAGCAGCCGAGACTAGTGTTTACTCCTCGTATATGCGCCGATTCCTAGAGTAGCATGTACGGTACAAAGAACGCCTATCCTAAAAGACCGACAGATACCGATGGACCCTAATACTGACTGACACCCAGTGACTACCCCGCTTCTATCACCAAGACCAAACGAACCCGAGCCACGAACCCGAACCCGAATCCAAATGGCAAACGCTCAACGAAGTATGGTAACAGCAAACCTCGTGTCAGTCACCATTCACAGTTTGCAAGGCTCGTTCGCCGGAAACGGCACGCGTGCACGACAAAGAAACGCAACGCAACCCCATAGTCCATAGATATAAGCATAAGCATAAACAGAACGCGAGTATAGCCCGGCCGGAATTCGGGATAAGATTATTGAATGTTCATTGAACTATTTGGCGCTCGGATGTACGGCCGAGCGCGCGGAGAAAAGGGGGTCCGTTCCTGGTGGATCCCCTTCACTGTCTTGTACTTCACAGCAGAGGCTTTTGGGGCTATTTTTGGTGATGTCTCGGGCCGGGTCGATAGTGGTGGCGTGTGCATTGGTCTAGGAGTAACTGGTATATCCGAGCCCACGAAGAATTGAACAACAAGGAAAAGGCAAAGACAAAAAGCGAAGGTACATGACAGACAAGAAGAAGAGATAATAATAAGAAGAAGAAGGAGAAAAAGAGAAAGGGAAGGAAAGAAAGAAAAAAGGGGAATGACAACCCGCGAATCAACAGAAATGTGTATCAAGTATATTATCCCCAAGGTTATCACATAACCCTACATACGTAGCTTAAGCTGAGAGTCAGCCGGGCCACATTCATCTTGCTCCAAAACACAAGGAGAGCAATGTGCTCAAAAGCCCTGCACGCATACAGGCGGTTTGGGGCGAGGAAAAGGCTGAGGAAAAGGCTAAGAAAAATAGAAGGGTGACTACCTCGGGAACCCATAGAGACAAGAGGCCGAAAAGCAGCGACGATCCTCGAGTTCATTGAATATGGTCTGTCATAGCTTTAGGGCTCGATATGGACAATAAACTTGATTAAATAATAATAACCCTACACACTTATATACGTACCTTAGGAATATAACGTACCTGCTGCTCTATCTCCCGCGCCTTGAACTTGTGCGAGCTGAGCTTGGTATAGCTGACAGCCTCGGTCTCGTCTTGGTTCTGTTCCGACATGATTCCCTGCACCTGTCGCATCAGGGCCTGGCACGCCGCTCCAACCGCCTTGCTGGTAGTCTCCAGGCGGTCTTGCGTCTTGCTCGTAAGCATGGGGCTCGCCGGTCAGCGAATCAGCCGTGATGAAAGTCGGCAGTCACATCCTGGACGCACTTAAGAAAAGCACTAAAATGTATACGGGCCGTAAAGTTCCCAAGTATTTGCAAGGCTACCCTACGAACCAACCGTCATCAGCAACGACATGGAAGTAGCTTGCAATCAAACGTTTGGCCCTCCGGCTGCGACTTTCTCTTTACGCGACGAGCAAGAGGCGGTGCAGCTGGCAAATGGCACTGAGTATGGTCATGCTGGGTATCTTTTGCAGTTAGAATGTTGGTTGTGTTATGCGTATCACTCGCAAATTGCAATATGGTATGGTTGGTGTTAGTACTGGGCTTATTAGTGCTGCTGAGACACCAGTCGGTGGTGTTGGGGTGAGCGGGATGGGAAGGGAGGGCAGCAAGTATGGTCTGGCGGAGTATCAGAACATCAAGTCTGTCACCATCGGCAATCTATAGGAGCGTTGAAGCCACGGTACCTTTTGCGTATCTTTGTATATCTTGTCTTTATCTCAGAGACTTTGCTTATTTCCCAGGCACTTCAAGTAGATATTGGTCTAGTCTGTCATATCCAAAAGATGCTTGCCAGAGGCGGATTCTTGTAAAGAACACCGTCACGAAAAATGCCTCGGGAAGAGCGAGGCATCCCGTCTCTAGGGCATGGATCGTAATAAAGTTGGGGTACTCCATGGGGCTCTGCAATCTGGCAGTGGGAAACGACTTGAATGTATGCCACTGCTCCCGTTGGGAACTGTTCTTTCAATAGCCACATAAATATTATAAGCGGCACAAGTCGCTAACATAAGGCCTGCCCATGTCGTGAGCATGTGGTGGAGGCTTCATTGACAATATTACCCAATAGTAATATAGGGAACGTGAATTCTTTCTTACTCCAGGTTTCGATGTCAGTCAATAATAAAGGATAGTACCTCAAAAACGCTCTAGGTTGAGAACAATTCGCGATTATCATAGTTAATATCTATGTAAAGAACTTATTTCAAAATAGCTACAACCCGATTCATGAGTTGTCAAATACTCTGGGAGCAAAGAGGCAAAAATTAAGAGAAAAATCCAAAAAGTAAACCATAGCAAAATGGGGGTTTGAACCGCTTTAGTCTACGGAACCAACCATAATGTCCACCGTACAACATTAATACGGCCACTACCACTATGGGTTACGCTGTGTGGACCACTCGGCCATCCTACCACAGACTGCTTTTACATATATACGCTGCGGTGACCTATAGGTCTACTTGGTCAAGTACTGCACGTACTCGTCATCTCCAGTCAATTTTCTATATAACCTCCTAAATAGGCTGCCTTCCAAGCACTCTAATGTTCAAAAGCTGATCCCAGGCTCAAACTTCTAAGGTTCTGGGCCTGGTGGGAGGGGAGTAATCTATGGGCGAGCTGTTTAACATGAGCATATACGTATACGTCTGAATCGATTTCACTCCGCTCTTTCCAAAGCAGGATCTTTCCTCACCTCAACGTCAACCATTCGACTGTCCGCTAGTTATTACTGCTGCACAGATGAATCGGGAAGATCCGCAAAATAGCCATGTCCAGGTTCCAGAATCTTGGCTATTGTGGAGAAGATAAAACAATCCCATACTCAGAGCCTGTCAAACTACTGTCATGCAACATAACGGCCCCAACCACTGGTACAGTCAAATTAAAGGGGTCTACATTACTAGCGACCCAAGTGTCATAGTGTCTTGGCCTGGTCCCTCTAGCCCTAGCTAATGAAGTGACATAGCGCCGGTTATGCACGGCAAATCTACCTGAAACGCGAGTAATCCGGGTATAGTGTCTAGTTATGTGAAACACACTATCCACTTATACAAAACTCCTTTGGCTCGGGACTGGCTCGGGACTTGGTATAAATCATCGAGCCCAACCATTCAGTCGATCCTTTCCTTGTACTTGCTGTATCAAAGTTCTTTCCTTCAATCCCGACCATGTTACTTCCATTCGCTCTTTTGCTTCTCTCTGCTGTGCAGAGTGCTGCGTCCTTGACGGACTCTAACCTTAAGAAACATGTCGATATTCTCACTTTAGAGAACTCGTTTAATCCGGTTAAAGCGGCATACTGGACGAATTATCCTCATCACCGTCGTACTCCATTTGCCGTCTCTCCGGATGGAAAGTCGGCTTATCTCGCCTATCTCGGTAGTAGTGAGACCGATGTTCATGTACAGCAGCTGGACCCTGTTACCTTTGAGGCGACTGGGACGTCTGTTACTGTTAGCGGCGGTAAAGAGGGTAAATGCACCATCCTATCTGATGGTAAATATGTGCTAATGTAATGAAAGCTGGCGGTCTCATCGCCCACAATGACGGCTTTGCGCTGCTAGTCAACGAGGAAATGCCCACGGGAACATCCAATGCACCGGCTAGTGGAACTCCAGTCCCCGTGCTGTACCGGTATACCGACGGCAAGCAGTCCTGGAAGACCTGGCTGGGTGGTCCGGGAGTCCACGAGTCTGAAGGACTGGCAGCATCACCCGACATGAACGGCGACCTGGCTTATTCCGAAGAAGCCGGCTACTACGGCGCCTACTTCGTCGTCACTGATTACTCCGGAGACGCTTCAGGTCACTACGGCGACAGCATCGAGTACGTTGCCAACAATGGCACACTGCTGAACATCCCCGGTGCTAGTAGCGTGTGGGGGTGCAGCCATAATACGGGTATTGCTTTCGAAGCCGCAGACGAAGCCCCCTTCGCGAGTATCTGCGCCGAGGATCAGGGTGCTATCTGGCTCAACACCAAAACGCAGGGCATGGACAACACAGGTGTCAAGATCTCTAACGAGAACACGACCAACGGCGCGTCTGGTGAACCAATGGGCGGCATGTCCGGTAGCTACAGTGCGCTCGCCCGATTCGCGGATTCATCCCGATACATTTTCTCCTGGGTCTCGCGTGGCGCTATCGACCTAAGCGAAAACACCTGGATGGGCGATGGATACACACATTCCCTGAACCGTACTAACAACCGCAACATCGCCATCTCGCTCTTCTCGGACAAGTACACCAAGATCGGCGCGCAGGCAAGCTCGGAAGTCGGAGCCGAGGACGGGGATAGCCAGGTAAACTGGATCACCGAGGGTAACGGAAACGACCGCTCCAACGCACATGCCGCAACATTCGGACCCAACAACGCGCTCATCACCTGGGAGGAGATTTCGGATCCGATCTGCGACTACATCGCCATGGGCTGCCGGGGACAATTTGCTGGGTCTTTTTTCCAGCAGGTCAATTCGGATGGTGAGAAGGTTGGCGAAGCACTTAAATCTACCGATGTGTATGTCGCAGGCGACATGGTGACCATGAATGATGGCCGGATCTGCTGGCCGTATGTGAGCATGGAGTGGGATTTGTCTTCGCCTGTGGATACTTATTCAGGAACGGGCTCGAGCACCACCAAGAAGATGAGTTTTGCTTGTATGAGTCTGGGGCCCGATAGCACTACGCAGACGACCGGTGCCGCTTCGGAAACTACTTCGGCTGGAACGCAAGCTACCAGCAGTGCGACTCCGACGACTATGAAGACAGTGTCGCGCACTCCGGAAGCGACGGGTACGTCTTCCACTGCTGAGGCTGAGACTGAGACCCCTAGGCCATCGCCGCGTGTGGGACCGATTTTTCCAAGTTCGTGGTGGGAATAATCGTACCAGTTAGTAGAGTCAGATAGATTACAGGGGTAGTCGGTAGGAGTTCCAGAATCCGAGTGTCGTTTAATTGTCCTGTCTTAATGTTGTATATTTTTGCTAAAGTGATATATAACATAAAAATACAAGGATATTATACAACAGCCCGGGTGGTCTAGTGGTATGATTCTCGCTTAGGGAAATAACCCAAGCATATCTGCGAGAGGTCCCGCGTTCGATCCGCGGCTCGGGCCGTTTCTTTTTTCATTTTCTTTTTGCATTCGTGTTTTCTTTTTTTTTTTTTGTCTTTCTTCTTCTCGCTTATATTTTTCTATCAACAATTTTTTCCACATGTCATAGTTCCGTGGTCGCGGTGTCATTCATTGTGTTGGGGGGGTTCAAGAGTGTTGAACTGCAGGTTCAACTCCCCGATCGGGTTGCCTTCCGAGCATGTATTCCGGATATTCTGAATGCAGTATGGAATTTTTTGGCTATCTCGTGGCTATAGACCGACCTCTTGGGTATTATGGGGTCTGTATGGTTTTGAAATTAGTGATATTCATGATTCCCTGCAGTTGCTGATTGTATATACCTGTCGTGGTATCGAGCCCTAACTGACTGAAATATATATCTGCGTGGTATCTGCCAGTTGCCTCATCAACTCAACGTTATCAACATGAAAGATAGACATATGGAAGCTAAAACTTCACAAAAGGCAAGTATACTCGAATTAATACCCAAGGTCTCTATATACCCATGCAATGCAACTGCGGAACCCTGACCCGACAAACGGGATGTCATCCGAGATGCAGTATCACAAACGGCTAAACTGATCGATAATATTCCCCGCATTTGAATGCTACTTGACAGGGTATCAGATAAGGATGTAGCTGCATTAGTTGATATTTAAAGATGGGTATAGCATTGCCGACGGTACACTCTGCATCCAACCGCCCGCACAGGAAGAAACAGAACAAGCAATGAAGTTGTCCTGTCCAAGAGTGAAACTCCCCAGCATCAACACGCGATATCGATATGGGATCATCGATATTCACACCCAGACAATTTCGTGTCAGCCTCCGGCGCAGGGGCACAAGCCCCATGTCCAGTCTCAACCGCCCCTTGCCATGATGCCGACAGGACCACTTCTTCGATCCCTGCTTTTCACGTCGATCATGTCCTCGCCGCTCTTGAACCCATGCTTGTACATGCTAACACGTGTGGTTAATTCCACTTCTCCATTTTTGGATCCCTCGCAGAACCCACTGGTGAACTACCTTCTCCGGACGACCATATACAACCATTTCTGCGCGGGCGAAAATGAACACAAAGTACAGCAGACGGTACACGGTATCAAGACACTAGGTTTCAAAGGTGTTATTATGGGATATGCAAAGGAAACGGTCGTCAAGGAAGATGAAAATACAGCAGCGTTGACAAGCCAGGAAGAGGCGTCTTTCCGGTCTGTTGAGGAATGGAAACGCGGGAATTTGCGTACTCTTGGTATGATTGGTACAGGTGATTATCTTGCTGTCAAGTAAGTTCCAGATAGCTACATTGAGTATTGATGGCTGCTGATGTAATGAAAGATTCACCGGCGCCGGTCCAATCGCCCTCAATGCGCTGGCTAGTGGAGACGCAATGCCGCAGTGCATATACCAGGCCATGCGGGAGATTTGCCAGACAGCTGCAGCTCAGAACTCGAGACTTTGGATTGATGCAGAACAACAAGTTTTCCAAGCTGCCATCGACGATTGGACGATCGAGCTCATGCGCGAGTTCAACCGCGGTGCTAGTCCAGTAGTCTTTAATACTATACAGGCGTATCTAAAAGATTCCGCGGCTAATGTACAGCGTCATCTACTCATGTCCAAACAGGAAGGATGGAAACTTGGTATCAAATTAGTCCGCGGAGCATACATAGCCCATGACCGCCGAGATTGCATTCACGACACCAAACCCGAAACAGACGCAAACTACAACTGCATCGTCGAAAACCTCCTACAACGCAAATACCCACTCCCAGCCAACCAAAAAGCAACCAAATTCCCCGATATCCGCCTCTTCGTCGCCTCACACAACTCTGAAACAGTTCGAAAAGCATACACCCTACACCGTCAGCTGATCATTTCCGGAGTCCCCACAATCCCAGTCGAATTCGGCCAGCTGCAGGGAATGGCTGATGAGATTGGCTGCGGGCTTGTGCAGCAGAATCGGATAGACTCCCGAGATGATGCACCCGGGGTGTTTAAGTATTTGGCGTGGGGGACGACGGAGGAGTGTTTACATTATTTATTAAGGAGGGCGGTTGAGAATAAGGGTGCTGTGCAGCGGACGAGGGATATGGCAGTGGCGTTGAGAAGGGAGTTGTGGAGGAGGTTGTCGTTTTCTATTTAATATAGTTGTTTGTTGGTGCGTTTGTAGAGCCTGCTGGAATTTCTCATGAAATAAGGCAGAGAACTTCTTTTAATTCCATCGCAACGCGCTCTATCTACTATACTACTACATCCCTACTGCAATCTCACTATACATAATATTCACTACTGGGTGTTTTTTTCTTCATCTATTCACTGTTTATATGCTATAATTCCAAACGAAGAGCCTTTCCCGCTATCAAAAGGTTCCTTTCGGTTGCATTTTTATATACGTTATCCTATATCGCGCTTCGCTGTACTGGTAAATATTTAACATTTGCACGAAATTATACCACGACACTTATGTTGATTTAAACTATTCCTTGCCTTCCACGTCTGTCGTATCTTCCTGAAACAAGCCTTGCATACCATTCCTACTGTTCTTCTACCCAACGGCAAAAGGGAGGGGTTCTAGCATCGTTGATTTGTTCTACGCACGAGAAATGAAGATGACAGACGTAGCCTTTTTGACCGCGATGAATAATATCCCTCATTGTTACAAGACACGGCAACATGTTTCAAAGTATGCTTTTCATGCCAAATCGTCATTTCAGGACCAGACTAACAATATAGCATTGATCTATAGGACGCATTAATGAACATTGGTGACAGGCTCGCTTTAGGATCAGGGGCAAACTTCTGTATACGGATGGGGCTGTTTGGCAAAAATAATCCATATAATAGCCGCAGTGGCACCCAGTACGGATCTGGAGGCTGGAAGACAGTGGATTTTTTATTCAATCGGCCACGAGCTACATCTGACCAACTCCAGCTTTCGACCATGCGACTGCCCCGGCATTGGATTCTGTGTTGATCGCCAGCTCGCTGTAGCTGTGACTATATCGCCGCCTACTCCATCTTTCTCCGGCCAAAATGGTTCATAAGAACATTATGTCATTGGTTGGGCTTATGGAAATAAGAGCACAGGACTTGGGGCTCTTACTTCGTGCTTTGAATTGAGCACTTACGGTGCTACCTTGTGTCCACCATTGTTTGCAATGTACGCAACAAGAGTGTTAGATGTATGTGGTACTCCTACTTTTATCCCCACTGCCATTTAAACAGTGCAAGTGCACGCTTACCTCAAGTTCCGGTGTGTTGGTCCGTTTTCACCATCTCGTTAGTGAATCTATGTATTGATTGTATTATTTTCAGAGCAAAACCCCACGATTACCGGATTTCTTTCCCATGATCTCATTTTTTATATGAAGGCACGCACACATATCCAACTGTCTTGGTAAATTCTCATATTAACGAGTCATTAGTAGCCGGATCTCGGTTCGTCGTAAGGTTTGAAATTGTTGAAACGCCACGCACCACACGAGAACCCTTGAGGGCTGCTCGCGTCTCGCTCGCAATCGAATGAGGGACACCTTCACACTCCTCGCATCATCCTTCTTGGGCCGCCTTATCAGAACCGAGTGATTCCTTCCATATGCCTATCGGCCTCCCTACACAATGCAGACCACAGTTGATGCACCGATACAGCAAAGGTAGAAGGCTATTCTAGCAATCTCGAAGGACTGACTATCCTCACCTTGACAATTGTGCCGAAGTTTCTTTTTTTTTTTTTTTTTTTTTTGTTTTAAACAACCTTCACTCCTGTTTTGATGTTTTGATACAAGTATTTGCCTATGATCAGCGGCACCCATCTCGTCAAAGCTACCCTGCGGAAGGAAATTAAAAGGAAATCGAAAATTAATTAGGGGAAATGTGTCCTACTTAGTGCTCCCTGACATATTGCATTTGCTCTAACGGAGCCCAGCATCTTTCGATATTGTCCCGGAAACTCAAGCCTAGTCGACAGTTTGCCCCGGATAGAAACAGGCGCATCACTACCAAGAACAGATACTAATCACGAGTGCGTTTCAATTAGATTTTATTATTGAATCCATCTCTCATAGATTTAGAAAGACCTGGATGGGAATCTCAGTGTTTGGCGAGTTCAAGCCCTCATGGAGTACTTTCTTGGAAATGTGAACTTGAAAGCATACTTAAAAGTGCTCGGTAAGATGGCTTCTAAAATCTAATAATCAACATCATGCTGATTGCTATGGTAGGACATGCCGCAAAGTACACGCACGACTACGTTTACATGCTCGGATTTGCGTGTATATACGACAAGCTCTTCATAGAAAGCCAATTATCCCTTTAATTGAATGGCCCTACGTGACAGCAGACCTGATAAGGCTGGACATAACAATAAAGAGATTTGTGAAAAATGGAACTGTATGTCTGAGTGTCAACTTTAAATTGATTACTGTGCATACTAATGCATATTGACAGCCAGAAAGGCGTTGAAAAGCCCGAGGGAATAGCTCGACAAGATACTTAAAATAAAGCATGTGTCGCCACTATTCTCGGTTTAGTTAAAACCGAGTTGTCCCTAGTTTCTAGGCAAAAATGAGTAGCGAGAAGCTCAAACGTGCTAGGCATATCGAAGCAGCCTCTGGTGCAAATATCGAATACACAGATGCTTCAATCGGGCCGTGCAAAAGGCGTGTGTCTAAAACGGAATTAACGAGTTATAAAGCTATGAAGCAGGAGTAGGGAAGTGATTAATAGCAACAATAACAATGTTGTGATCAATGTTGCTCCTGAATGACAGGCAGTTTCAGCACATGAGCACCACTCAAACAACCAAGGCTCTCGCTGAATGTAAAAGGAGTGCAAACACCACTATCCTACTCATACACTAGGATACCGCGAGACCACCATGGAGTGTTTATTGAGACAACTGATGTCTAGTCTGAACGGAAATATCAAATAGTGGGAAGTGTGAGGAAGGACAATGGCAGACCTGCATATCGAATGGTCACATAAAGACGTTCTCAGCGAAGAGCCTCGATAGCACAAAGCTATGTAGGCGCATGTCACACATTACAAAATGCATGCTGATACTTGGCATGTAACAAAGGCATTGACTTCAGGGTGATGCTTGTTCCGCAGGCTATGCTCCTAGGTCAGCGATATTCGACAAGTCGTTCAAGGCCCCAAAATGTATGGAGCAACGCACATGTAGTTACTTTTCACATATGCGTTCTGCAGGGTCGGGATATTTTTACCCAGATATCCCGGGCCAAACTCGATGGCGCGAATTTTACCGCCACGGATCTATCTCCAGAGAAAAGAAGCCAGAGACCTAGTATTGGTCCAAAATAAAACAATCGACGTGCCAAGAAACATTCCCAAGAGGGATTCTCCAGTTTTGGAAGATACCACCCTCTCAACTCGGAGGCCGCAGTTTTTAGCCTACAATCCCCGCTACACCAAAGTACTTTGCCATACGATTACATCATTTGGGCAGATGCGAAATGCAATTAGCAAGGTAGACGATCAGCCCAGACCTCAACCAAGAAATTTTCTAGAACGCACGAGAGGGCGTCATTATTGACCGTCGGGATATTTTTGGCACTATGTAAATGCCTGTCATATATCAACTGAAACAGAAGCTAATAATCGAAAGATAACACTCTGACCGCATTCGATCCGACCTCTCATGCACTAAAAGTCAATGACTTCGATGGTGCGTCGTCTACATTTCCCGCAGGCTATCTTGCCGGGCCGAATTCCAACAAGCTATTAATGAGACACACCTAAAAGGACTTGATGGACCAACATAATATTTTCTGCACAAGCCAGGGTCAAATACTGATTTAAAGGAATCTGGACTGCCAGAAACAAGTCGGCAGGAAATCAGTCAGATTCTAGGGGAATTTAACCTGGGAGGTGAAGGCGTTGAGCTAATTGATAGCAACCCCCTGGCCCATTTGAGCCATATCAATGTTGACATACCATGCCATCTCGAGTCCTATGTGCGTTGAGTACATACTATGGAAGCGCTTTGACGATTGGGAGTTTGTATAAAACGCGACAACTTATGTAAGATTAAATTACGATCATTCTTAGCATCAAGAGAGTATAGCCTATGAATTGATCAAAATACTTCGGGAAATGGGTTTGATGTTTGGATCGTACAATCGCAAAACAGCAAATACTCAAGAGAAAGGCTGGCGCACTAGCTAACAAGGAACATACACCGCTGAAACAAAGAAACCCTTTGTCCATTCGGCTCCCTATTCACGGGGACTTGAAATTCGGGAGCTCGGCCACCCAATCTAGCGGATGATTTCCTGAACTACTCTGGATCGTTTCTGTTCACCACCATGCAACACTCGGATTGACCATGATTGGTCGTATAGACCAATATTATCATCCACGTTTACCGATAAATTGACCCGATTGGCGCTTTCGTTGAAAAAGACAAAATCTTTCAGCAGCATCTTTGATAATCAAGTTGATGCTGTACAATGATCATATGGGTTAAGTTCCAGCGTTCGTGGGGATGGAACTGAAGAGGAACATCGGGAACCTAAAGGATTCCCGCTGTCTGCTCACATACAAAGCAAGAGCAGGTAGTCGAGCATGGCCAGAGACGACTATATAATCGCCACGAAGTTGAGAAGTCATCACTCAGACCTTCTCACCCCAACCGCATCCCTGCTGTCAAAACACACAATGGTGTGTAACCGGTTCGCCGCAATTTCGATGCTGACCGGGTACTCGAGTGCTCGATACACAGTGAGCGACTGGCAGTTACACGGCCGTTTTCAAGCTTTTTGCTGAGCAACAATGGCAACCCTGTACTACGGGCATTACCGACGGGTTGGTTCAGGGTCTAACGGCGTGATCCAGAAGATGTACCAGTGCCGCACACTCTTTTTCCTTCCTGACAACGATGCCATGCAACCTGGCCGTGTTTGTATGCTACCTACGGTGTAGGTCAATTCTTGGAGAAGTGGACTTGAGGGTCAAGAACGACATTGGATCTATATTGAAAGCAGCTTCTCCTGCTTCGGAAGTTCGCCAATTTCATACTTGCCATCGCGATTACTTTTCGCCATTTGCCGGTTCTGTGTGAATCGGTATGTTTCGGGTTCTTTGATATTAGAACCCAGCACTGGACAATGGCAATTGAAAACTGTGACGCTGTTGTCCAGACTGTTTAATCCAGCGGATGCCCGGAGAGTAGACAAAGAACAACTCCAGTCTTCGCCAATGGCTCGGGGCAGTGGATCTACGGATCGAAATAGACCGGGAGCTTCGGATCCTCATGGAGATGATACGATGGCATTCATAGTTTTTAGTACCCCATGTACTTCAATTGGCAGTATTGTACATTGTGCTCTGTGCATAGTACATTGCAATTGAGTATGTGTAAATAATCCCTCTAGAATAGCTACTTGTCCTGTGCGTCGGTTGTAGGAAACGCACGTGCGTATGCTGTGGCTGGTGCTTTTCTGTGGCTGTCGTGGCTGACGAGTGAATTCAAGCATGAGCACCTGTTTATTCAGCATTGCATAGTATGAGTAGAGCATTCTCTACATGATATGCCTCAATTGAAGCCCAACTGGCCTTATAGCATCAACTATGGCATCTGGTGAGACTGGAGCTCCTTGTATAGCTAGTGACGATGACGGCATAGCGGCGTAGGGACGGACCGAAAACCGGAGGAATTGGATGTAAGTGACGCGGGAAATATAGCCATCATCGTGTCAGTACATATACCACTGTACGGAGTACTCTTGACGCATACAATTGCTTTCTGTACAATGCCAGAATACTTGAATAGTCAATTGATCTATACAACTACTTGTATATATTTGTAGTATAAGAATTGACCAGGTGTTAACTTCAAACGCCAAAACACCGTATTTGCAGATCTTGATACAGCGTACTGTAAGTAATCAGGCCAGGGGAAAGAGGATTCTCCGGGCAGTTGCCATGGCAGATGTATTTATACGTATGGTATCGAATTGACCGCCAGATTCCGCGCTTTCCCGGTCGGTCACCGGTGGGGTTGACCACGAGAATGAGAATTGTACAGATATGAGCATTATATGTACAAAGTAGACGGAATAGTACTATTTACAGAATACATTTGCAGCAGAGTATAATATACAGAGTAAGTATATATAACTGTACAAGTAGAGTACTGCGTACTCTGTACTGTACTTGTAGCTTCCCTCTGGCCGAATCGGGCTGTGACGGACCAGCGTATCCGATTGGTGGGGGTATCAGCCGTACTGTATCGTATTGAAATCAGTACTGTATAGTATGGTAAAACACACCCTAAAACACCAAAACTGTGTGTATTACGGTATAGGGCTTGCACCCCGTGACGACACTAAGCCTGACACGGCCAAAGGGGCTATGGATGACCCGAGGGCCGGCAGTCCGCCCTCAAAAACTCTTCCTCCCCAGTTTTCCTTTCTCTCTCTCTCTTTTTTCCCTCTCCCACCCATTGTTCTCACTTCCTATCCTCAAATCCCTCCCCTCTCCCAAAACCACAAAAACAACCATCACAATGGCCTCCTCCCGCGTCTTCGCTTCTCGCCTGGCTTCCGCCATGGCCCCTACCACCCGGGTCGCTGCTCGCCCTGCCGTGCGTGCTGCTGTCCCCAAGCGTACCTTCACCGACGCTCGCGCTGCCTTCCGTCCTCAGCCCCTCCAGACCATGAAGCGTCAGCAACCGTCCACCCTCCTCCAGGCCAACGCTCGTCAGGTCTTCGCCAACTACCAGTCCCGCCGCCAGTACTCCTCTGAGATCGCCCAGGCTATGGTTGCCGTCTCCCAGAACGTCGGTATGGGTTCTGCCGCCATTGGTCTCGGTGGTGCCGGTATCGGTATCGGTCTCGTCTTCGCCGCTCTCCTCCTGAGTGTTTCCCGCAACCCTGCCCTGCGTGGTCAGCTCTTCACATACGCCATTCTGGGTTTCGCTTTCGTCGAGGCCATGGGTCTGTTCGACCTGATGGTTGCTATGATGTGCAAGTACGTCTAAACGGTTTCTTGAGAATCGGGGGAAAAATGAGAGATGTCTTTTTCCATCTTACTCGGCAATCAATCATGACTCTCCATTGATTTCCTGGAGCGGATATACTTGGAAGGACTTTTCTCCCAAGGGTTGTTCAAGGATATTCGTTCTACGTGTGATGGAAAAATATAATATCATGTACTACTTTTCTTGATCTTCAGCATCATCCTCTACATCTCACACCTTGTATTGTACATATGGAGTTGAAATGGACTTCTCCAGACTCAATTGGTCGTAGGTCTATTCTTTGGGAATTTGATCCCACAATACGCTTGGACCAGTAGATTGAGCTATCTGTAGCTGGTCCACTAGCTGTAGCTATGTTCTTACGTAGATATTGATATCTGGCTCAGCACTTCCAAACAGTGCCATAACGTCTGAACCCCGCACCTGGTTGTGCGTTCGCATCCCACCTGGCCAACCTGCCAACGCGCGTTTAGCCTGCTGCTACATATTTGCAGAACCTCGCATATGGACCAACGCATCCATGGATACTGCTAACACGCTAGTTGCTTCCCTTTTCCATTGCGGATACGAATTCCTCTTTTATCCTGCTGCCCACGAACCGCACCACCACCGGCCATGCAGGACCAGTGCGTCTATGGACTACACATGGTCAGAGCGACGATGACGGATGATGATGGGTTCAATTGAGGCTTCCTCTATCGCTATCTGGTCTTTGCTGCAAGCCGTCACCTTAGCATACTGTCAGAATCAATTGACGTGCTCAGCACGAATACCAAGCATTTGCTAACTAAGGTTCCGCCAACCTACGCACATCGATCTCGAATCTCGACGGAGCTGCAGCGATCCAATACCTGACATTGACGGACGCGAATGGAGCTAGCTGGTGTCATCAGTGCTGACGCTACTGCCTCTCGGACATTATCTACAATTGAGGGAGCGTAGAAGATACTGGCTGGGCTGGCCAGGACGGCAATGGACGTCTGCTGGTCATTGCGTGGCCATTGAGCTTACTAGTGTTTACTGCAAGGTCTCTTTTCGTCCTGAAACGTGTCTTTGTGGCGACCGGCGTAATTGGCACCAGCTGTCTTTGGGAACACAACGGAGTACGGATAGTTGTCTGCTGTATATGCCTTTGTAGTAGGCATTGGTGACCTCTGCTTTGGCTGTGAACGCGCCTGCATAATTACTAACATGCATAACACCACATGCACAAAACTGCACACCAGGTCTTCAAAGTCGAACCCACCTAGCGTACACCGTTTATTGGCCCTAACTCGCCCGATAAATCTATGACGACCAGACTTGCCTCAGTACTCGCAATTCCATCGGCATTTGTTACTAACCGATTCTTCATGTGAGACAAGCAACCTGCAATATCTCCAACGATCGACTCTGATCAAGGCCCAAGCGGCCAAACCTCCATTAGTCCCGGCCAATAATGGCTGCGGCTTAGCTCGTCTATTCGCTGATTTTCAGCATTTTCCCCCCGCATTTTTGTTGGGGTTTCTCCACGTCCCCGGATTAGGTTGGATACGCAGAAATATCTCCTTTTACTTGTTACTATACGCTGTGCAGACTCAAATCTTATGGTGACGTGGACGTAGATTGGATACTGGTTCTCCCGGTCGATCCGCCTCCTGGGGTTAATTCCTGGGGTCAGAGCTTGTCGGGGTCTAAGGGTATTTAGATCCCCTGGATCCTGTTCAATTTTCTCTGGTTTCTTCCTTTCCCCAGGCTAGTGTTGATTACCTACCCAACTAGTCCCAACTACATCGGCACCAAGCCGTACCACCGCCAAAATGACCGACGTGATTGACAAAGAACAAACCAACAGCACCAATCCCTCCAACACCACAGACAACACCAACACAGCTCCCCAATACTACTACATAGATCCTCGCTATGGCCCGCTCGCTCGCGTCAACACAGCTGAGACCCAGCTCCCGGCTTTTGCCAGCGAGCTGCAGCCCGGTCTGCATCGTCCTGGCCCCGTCGAGACGCAAAAGATGGGCAATCCGGCGCCATTGGGACTTGCGGCTTTCGCGTTGACTACGTTCATCCTGGGCACTATTAATATGGGGGCAAGGGATATTACGGAGCCTAATATTGTTGTTGGGCCGGCGTTTGCGTATGGCGGATTAGTGCAGCTTTGCGCGGGAATGTGGTATGTTTCTTCCCGTAAATTGACGGATTGAGTGGTGATGCTAATAGGTGCAGGGAAATGGCCGCTGGAAACACATTCGGTGCCACGGCATTGTCCTCGTACGGCGGTTTCTGGATTTCCCTGGCTATCGTCTTCACTCCCGGCGGATTCAATATCATGTCTAGCCTAGAAAAAGCCGGAGGCGGAACCCCGGACATGTTCTACGACTCTCTCGGTTTATTCCTTCTGGTATGCCCCTTCCCTTCCCTAACATCCATCCATCCATCATCATACTAATACAGTGTGCAGGGCTGGTTCATATTTACCTTCCTCCTCGTCCTCTGCACGCTCAAATCCACCTTCGTCTTCTGCGGCATCTTCATTACCGTCGACATCGCCTTCCTGCTCCTGGGCATCGGATACATCCACCGCAACGGCTCTTCGTCACCCAATGAACCTGTTATCAAGGCTGGCGGGCTGTTTGCGTTATTGGCGGCGTTCCAGGCCTGGTATGTTTGCTTGGCTGGGTTGGCGAACGATAGTAACAGTTTTGTGCGGATTCCGGCGACACATTTCCCGTGGTCGGAGAAGGGGAGGGCGTCGAGGAAGAAGAACTTAAGTTAAATGGATATTTGGGAATATAGGGGTCTGGTAATAATAGTGGTATAGAGTCGTGACAGATACATCCAGGTGTGTGGAGTTGTATATGGGAGTTCGTATAGACTTATCTGTCTCGTGACGCGCTGTCTTCGCTTCTGTGTTGATGGCAGTTTTATTTTGTTTGTCTACCAGTGTGGTAAATTCTTTTATCTTTACAATATAAATAATCTCTTGATCTTGAAGACCTTAATTTTCTGTAATGACTACTTCGAGGACTGTTCTATGACATACTCCCCGAATAATCAATTGAATCCTGCCTAGATGCCATAAAGGAAGCAGTTGCAGTATAAGGAAAATAGTTAACTAAAACGCGGCCTAAATCAGCCTTTATACTGCCAATATCATATCAAGCCGGAGAGATCTGTCAAGCCTCTGGTATTGTCGCTACCGGAAATATCTCATTAGGGCTACTGGTAACACAAGCAAAACTATTCTATTCTCACAGCTATTAGAGTATTGAAAATTTGTCTTCGTTCATAATAGAACTATAGATCTTTGCGCATTGCAAGTATCATCTTTGGTTCTTTTGCAAACGTTTCCTTTGTGTTGGCCAGGGGGCAAACATCGAATACCCAATTTCCCCCTATTTTCCAATTTACGAATCTTCATGGTGTATCGCCCGCGCGTATCATTACGTAGACCAAGGTAATATGAGGTTGATGGAGCAGGTCAAATCGACAGGTATGTCAAGAACAAACAGATCACTTCCATAAAAGCTGACAAACGTTTATCAAATCGCAGGACATGGCGAAGCTTGGAAACTGATAGCCAACCGAAACCAGTTATATTTTTCAGAGAAAGAGAGAGGATCCAGATGCATTGGCCAATATACAACTTTCTACACGTCTTGAACGAACTTGTGCATCTCCCACCCGGGATAAACGAAACCGTTCAGTTCCAGCTCAACACGAGGCCTGATAAGGGGAACTTCGAGAACTTGACGACTGAAACGACAATGTACATGAGAAACGCCTAAAGTATCGTCCAGGCTAGACTGGGAAGGTTCCAGAAACTCATCCCTCACCCGTCAGAAAACGACGCGGGAGGTGCCATAGTTACCTGTCTCAGTCTTATGATCGTGTTCTAGAACGTCATTAGAAATGACCCCAAGGCATGCTAGAGTGGTTTCAAGGAGCTGTCGCCTGAGCCTAGACTGAACGAGGATAACAGCTTGGTTGAAAAGCTCGCCAAAATGGCGTTTCACCAGACACCAGCAAAGAGAGACACTACTAGCTCTTTTTACAAGATCCTCAGGATTTACAAAGCGTACTAGGAGACAACTATCTACTTCGCTCCTTTTATTTTACTTCTATTATATGCCTGAGTGGCACTGGATAGTCATTTCAGATAAAGCAATCAGCGCCCTGCATCCACACCCATCATGCTCACCAGTCGCAACTTTGTTTGCGTGACCATATCACAGAGACCGGGCCGTATCTCTGTTTGTGTGGTTTTTCGCGGCCGGACTTGCACATATGAAACCGAGCAGAGCATTAGACCATTGCAATGTGAATCTATCAGATGCAAGCCGACGAGGACTTTCAATCACTTCAAACATCCTCGCAGATTGCCTAGCCAAGTTCATTATTGATAAGATCATGCTGAGCTGAGCGGCCGAAAAGACGCGCAGGGTCAGGTTTAACGATGCTGAACCGGACGGTGGCCATGCCCGTATTCGATGTGGTCGACATTTGCGCGTAGTAAGTACTGATCTTTTCGAGTGATGGCCTGGGTTATCCATTGCTAGGAGAATACTAACTATAGAAAGAGGACATATCCTCCGCGGATACTCCTAGCAGCGAAAACCGACGGGCGCAGGTCTACAGTGCCAAAAGTGTCCCCCATTTGAGACGCATTTCTATGAGGCGCGGGAGTGTCTGCCGCAAGCCTTCAATGAATAGCTCAAAACAAGCTGTTCCCTCGTGAAATGCCGGACAAGAACGGTATCGAACCCACAGATGCTGTAGCCCTCAAAACCAAGCCTCACATTTGCCGCGGGCTGCCACCTCCATCCTGAGATATCCCCGGGTACGATTTGACACTTTTTCTGTCGATTGGTCCGAGCGAGCAGCTAGTGCCACCAGAACGTTCCAAGGTACGTCTGATCATATCGCAGAGCAAACCCCAGACGTATCGGAGTTTAGCATAAGGGTGCTCAGGTTGGTCACATCATGCAAGTGTACCATGGCCGTGAATTCGTTGGATAAGTTGTTAATCAAATGGGTAAGGTTCTCCGGGGATGGTAAAGTTCGTTCTTTGGCTTTCTTAGCGATGACCAAAACTTCCTCTTCATCTCTATTGTCAGAGAGTAGTTGCTGACTTTTGTGGCTTTTCAGCAACCATCTTAGAAACCAAACCCCAAGACCATTTTCCATTGCCATTCTGTCAATTATTATGTATCGAACAAAACCTCGAGCTAGGAGCCTTAGGAGGAGTCGAAAGCTAGCCTCCCCATCTTCCTGATAGAAGGTGCTATGTACTTGGGATCGCTACCCGCGCGAAAGATTAGAAACAAACATGCTGTTTCAGGTTTCTAGCCAAACACCGTGATGTCCAGGCAAGTGGCATACTTGATTATCTGTTTGGATATAATGGCAACGTTGCGCTGGAGGAATTCACTCCGAAGCTCTTACATTTGCTGTACCACTATTGCTTATGCGAAATCTGACCATCTCAAAACTTTGTATTGTTGTATTTTAGTGTCGCAAATGTCTTTATCTTGGCCTCAACCACATGGCTGATTGGCCAACCATACTTAGCAAGCCGTGGCGATTCCGTGATCTCATCCTAGCAATGGATAAGAAGCCAAGTGGGAAAATGCATGAAAGGATACTTTCGACGGGATAAACAAGGCACAGAGCTGATGTCCTGACAATCTCCGCTTCCGTGGCCAGGCAGTAGATAGGAACAATGGCTGGTATGTACTATTTATCCCCAACACCGGCCAGCATTTGCTTGGCGAGGTTAATCGAACTTTCGAAGGACTCATGGAAGAAGTACGGCACTGCCGACTTGTTTCTGGTTTACTTGAGCTCATTGTACTATATCTGCAATGTTGTTTCAGGACAAGAGTTCCATTTGCTATGGGCTGAAGTTGGCGCGAAATATACCTGTATGGAGCAGAGTATTGAATAAAGGAAGATGGGAACGAACGATAAAAAGACATTGCGGTATAGTGAATGGTCCCTGAAGGCCATGTGATTCATGTGGAAGTGAAAGACAGCACCATGTTAGTACATATCAGGATTGATCAGGAGAACCGGTCTTATATTCCTACGCTGAAAGGTGATGCAGGTTGTATCAAGGATATTTATCCTATATCCCGCCTTTTACAAGGGTACCTATTGTGACGCAAGCCGCGAATACTTGATTGAGGAATGCTTGATTCTATTCGCTATTCAAAAGACTCGTTCCAGATTCAATATGAAATATCTTTGTTTTTCGGGATCTTGACGCAAAGATAATTATTAAACACATAAAGCGTGATGTGACAGCACTATGATGCAGCGGCCATATCGGCTTTGCCGGTATCTCTCGAAATAGAAAGAAGTCACAAGCAGAAGGTCTAGAACCGGGGGACCGGAGTCTGACAGGTATACAGAAATGCTGCCAAAGGATAAACAAAGAGAATAAATAAGAAGTTTTCGATTAGTGGATGCAGCCAGCTATTTCATCAAGATGATGAGGCCCGATTACAGGATAGAAACCGGAAGGACACGGGATATTGAAACAAGTCAGAATACCACACAGACCATTGCTTGAGACCTGGTGACTTGTAGAGACCGCTGATACACGGATTTCATTAGCACAAAGCAGTTATTTATCTTGATGTTGGCTCCGACGCCGTCCCGGACCTGTCAGCCTCGATTCATAAACAAAGAAAATGCCCGGCAGGTTTTCGCCCAGCGACGTTGACTTTCCTCGTTTAAAAGCCGCCGAATGGAGCTCTGATGGGGTAACAAAGCTAAGACTCCATAAAACACGCAGCGCCCATTGTTGATGCAGCCCACTGTTGTCTAGACTTGCGTGGTGGAGATTCCGGTCGAGGGCCGAGTGTGCGGCACACAACTTGCCTTTCCCCCGAATACACCTAGTGCTACCGATTCATAGTAATAGTCGAAAGATCTTCTAGTCAGGCTTGGCCTTTGTATTCCATTTGTCCACCAACCGCCTTATAGCAAGGCATTTCTTGAACACTTTCCATCCATGTTCATCTTTCAGGGGTGCGCGCACAGACAAAGAAGAACCATGGTTCGGACTCTTTATTTTTCCTATCTTCCACCGTTTCCAAGCTCTCACAAGCAACGGATTGTAGCGCAATTGGCCGAGCCAGAAACCCTAGATCCGCTGAGTCAGCACTCTTTACCATTCAGAAGGTCGCCTTTTTCTTGTCCCTGGTCCAGACGTGGCCATCCGTGGAAGAGGTTGAAAAAGATACGCAAGAAAGGGGATGTTCCTGTTGATGACCAGAATGGGGGTTGCTCAATTTTGTGTGCATGCGTGTTGGTAAATGGTATCTCAAAACAAAAAAAAAAAAAAAAAAAAAACCACACACACATGTCGGACAATGATAGATGTTGCAGAAAGATGGCAGACATAGCAGACTGTCAATGTAAGTTTATGGTAGTAGTATACACGCTAATGCATACTAAATATCATAATGGAAGTTTGAGAACGATTTAATGCTTGTTAGTGTTCTCGGCAGTCTGGACTCGACATCTGTGCCTGTGGAGAGGCCCGCAACAATCAGTTGAAAAAACGGGAGTTTTGTTACTCGCACAACCGGTGTCCACTCCTTATTGACCCGCTTTGTCAAAGTGAAAAGAAAGAAAAAGCCGGGATATTTCTTGCTTCTTGGCGTGGTGGTGACTCGAGATGCAACATCCAACGTCCCATGTGTCAAAGGCATGGCGACAAAGACAGCCCAACGACAAGGGCATCCTCTGATGTTCCTTTTATGGAACAAAAAGAACGTCCCAAGAGCAATGAGTAATGGAAGGCCGATATCCTCCGTACTTACTCCGGAGTGCACTGACAGAGTCCGTGTCCTGACCAAGTCCCACTTTGCCCAATGAGCAACCAGGTACCAACCTTCCTTCACAGTGCTCGTGTGGAGGCAAATGGGGAACAGTCAACCAATCTGACTGCTTTTCCAGGCCATTCCATGTGGCTACTGTCAACCTTTTCTGGAAACCCAATCATACAGCCTAGCAGCAGCAATTCCAACCATGGCGCTCAATCAGAACTGCATTCTTCCCATGGCTGACGGCGTGCTGACGCATTCCCACTCCGCCGGCCCAAGGGACTTCACATCTTGGATCCCAGAGAAGCCGTTCGAGACCATGGATTCTGCCCAAAAGTGGTGGCCATCAAGGCCAGTTGGTGTGGCCTCCAGGCGTTCTGGAAATACATAAATAGGGAGATTGAATCGCACTTCTCGATAGTCCTGTTCATCATCAAACAACCAGTCAATCTTTCCCTTATAGCTTTTTCTTCAAACCCATCACTCTCTTTGGGTCATTCTCTTCTTTTGTCATTCTCTTAAGAAGACAATTCATTTCTAGAACCTTTCTTCTCTCCATCCTTCCAACCAAACAGGAAAGATAGTCAATCGCTCGACGCGACAACTAAAACAACCTTCTTTCAAAATGCAATTCACCAAGACTCTTATGCTGCTGGCAGCTCTCACCTCTGGCAGCTTGGCCAACGTGGACAAGCGTTCCACGCTTATTCCTGTCGCTTCTCCTACCTCCTCTAGCCCCTCCTCTGCTTCTTCCTCATCTTCACCTTCTTCCGGAGGAGGCAGCAGCGGTGGATCCTGGACGGCTACTCCCTCCAGCGGATCCTACTCCACCGAGGGCTTCGGCAGCCGTACCTCCAGCGGCGGCGGTGGCATCACCTACGCCGGCAACACCGGCAACCCCTGGGGTAGCAACATAATCCAGGTGTCCGAGAGCGACGCCGCAAACTACAAGAACGTCGCCCAGTTCAAGGGCCAGAACGAAGAGTCCTGGAATGTTGTCTTCTTCAACAAGTGCGGCCCCGATGGTGAGATGACTGGCTGGTACGGCAACTCCGCTCTCACTTTCGAACTCGCTGCCGGTGACACCAAGTACGTTGCCTTTGACGACGACTCGCGCGGTGGCTGGGCTGCTTCTTCTGGCTCCATCCCCACTGATAACAATGGCGGATACGCCTCGACATGGGGAGAGTTTGACTTTACCAGCTCTTCGAACGGTGGCTGGTCTGGATTCGATGTGTCTGCTATCGTGGCACAGAATGCTGGCTTGACTGTGCAGGGTATGAGCATCTGTGATGCTCTGGGTAGCACTTGCTCTTCTATCAACCCTGACGCCACTTCTGTTGACAATGCCTACACCACTGCTGAGACCGACATTGGTGGTATTGGTGGTAACCTCTCTGGCGGTGGTGCTGTTCGCCTTGCTGTCACTATTGACTACAAGGGCTAAGCAAACTTCTGGATCTTTCAGATGTATAAAATTTTAGATTATGTTGATTAGACCTTCAGATACCTGGAGTATCGGAATATACCACTTCATTCTTTTTTCATTCTTCAATTTGCAACATCGTTTCGAGTAGACTATCTATAGTAGCCGAGTAGAATGGATGATGAAACGAAGTGAATCCATACACACGGACAGTCACATGATTTCCTGTTCATAAAGCGAAGCATTATCTAAAGTTTTAAAAAAATTGAGAGTTGAATAGTCTAAATTCAAAATATGGAGTTGGTTCAAATGCAACTTCTACCAAAGTATCTCAACCCACAGCTTTGCGGGATCCCGATAGAGCGTACTACATTATGCCGAACATAGCATTTCACGTGCACACAAGAGCAAATAAAATAGTACAGCATCATACCGTCTCACCAAGAGTCTCATGCACTTGAGAGTCAAGCCGGTTCATCTGATATCTTTGCAGTGACAACTGGCATCTGACCGTTTGTTCGAGTGTAAATACGGAGTACTCTGTGCAGAGCCATCCATGCCGGAGCAATAACGGACACATTGCCCCTGCCAAGTGACCCCAGGTAATCCGGTTGGCCATGATCCCTGCATCAACTGGTGGGAAAGCCCGTTATTTCACCTACCCCGGACAGTCCACGGCCGACTGCGCTCCGTGAACAGCAGGAATCTGAACAATGACGAAGCCGCATGACATCCCGTGCTCTACCGTGTAGACCGAATAATATCCCAGAAGATTCAACGCCAACCGACAGTGTCGGGACAGAGTAGTCCGTCGGTCTGTCGATACCCAACTGCCGCCGTCAACCTGCAGTCATCATCAGGACAAACACTCGATTTGACGGGCAGAATCACTGTAAATGGCAGAGATCGACTGGTTAAAGTTGCGTGTTTTCTCATGTGGTAAATGTCTCAATGCGTTATGCGTCGTTTGGGACCACGGAATGCATCGTCAATAAGAAATGCCATGCGCCAATATAGGCAAAATAGTCGATTGCCAAGGGAGGCGTGGGCATTTGCAGATTCGGGCCGACTGCGACCTCGGGACGGCCAAAGATGATAAGGAACTTTTTGTTGACTACTGGGTGCGATGCAGATAAGATATAATAATGTCTAATCGACTAAGAATTTATTCGGATTGATCAGTACATGGTGTGAATAATCGGATAATCTCAAATAACCTGCATAAGGCAAGGCGTCACCGTCGTGTCTATACACCACCACGACTGATCGCTCAACAGTAGAATCGCCCCTATCGCAGTCCACAATTTGGTTACACCACAGCCACAATCCGGCAGAGAATGATGACACGACCTGAATCCGAGGCTGTTCCTCCGGCACAACCAAACTCTCTTTTGCCACTACTTAGCATCCCCCCGCCGCTGTCGTCGGCGTACAGACTTACGGGCCACGCCGTTGATACCTATGCTCGGCCAACCACACACTAGTCTCTAAACTAGTCTCGTCTGGGGTGATTGCGGGGAAAGCGTGGGGAACGCGAGTCTTTCACCATATATTTTTTCCGGAAATTTTCCTTCAGGTCGATCTGGGGAAATACTAGCGGGGTAGATGCTCTCCTACTGGTTGTTACTATCAAAACTCTCTCATCCGGGCTGGATGTGGTTTCACCGTGCGACGCTGGGGATATGGCCCACCGGTGAAGGTCCAAGGAAGTTTCATGGCATGTCAAGGCGTGGTGCCGTGGTTTGGTGATGTAACGGCCGACGTTGTTATCTGCCCCTATACGGGGAATTAGCTTTTGGAAGTATTTAAAGATGCGGCTGGCCCGGGATTGTTGGAGAATCAAGGGCTGTTTCGCTTTGCGTTATTTGTCTTTTATTATTCTTATCTCGGAGTGCCGCTATGAAGTTCGGACCAAGCCAGCCATGGTTTGGGTTGAGAGGAGGATGGCTGACCTTCTGGGTCACCGTTGCATGTGCTACGGACATGACTCTGTTTGGTTATGATCAGGGTGTTTTTGGTATGCTCACCCCTATACCATAGCGATAGCAAAGCTGACATGTGCTAGGTGGTGTCATTGTAACGAGTGACTTCCTGGACACATTACAACTACGCGACGATCCCACTCTTTTGGGAACAGTGACTGCCATCTACGACGTCGGCTGTCTATTTGGCGCAATCCTCTCTATGTATTTTGGTGAAGTATGGGGTCGAAAAAAGTCCATCATGGTAGGCACCACCGTCATGGCCATCGGAGCACTACTGCAGATCACAGCCTACGGAGTCCCGCAAATGATTGTAGGCCGTATCGTTGCCGGTCTAGGAAACGGCATGAACACGGCCACGGCGCCAGTCTGGCAGGGTGAAACCTCGCAGATCAAATGGCGTGGAAAACTGGTTATTATTGAGATGATTCTTAATATCGCTGGCTATTCGCTTTCGAATTGGGTGACTTATGCTTTCTCATATGTCCCTGGTCCGGCGTCGTGGCGGTTTCCGTTGGCTTTCCAGTTTGTATTTATTATTATTCTCTGGATTACTGTACCGTGGCTGCCGGAGTCTCCTCGTTGGCTCATTGCCCATGGTCGTCTCGATGAGGCACGCGAGATCATCGCCAATTTGGAAGACATGGATGCAGACGATTCTTACGTTATCACTGCTCATACGGAGATCGTCGACGCCGTTGAATACGAGCGTCAGAATAGCATTTCCTGGCTCAACCTGCTGCGCGGTAAGACAGGCGACCAAGGAGGTACCTGCGCCATCCGTCGATTACTCCTCGGTGCCGGAGCCCAGGCAATGCAGCAACTATCCGGAATCAACGTCACATCCTACTACCTGCCAACAGTATTAATGGAATCAGTAGGCATGTCTGAAAAGATGTCTCGACTACTCGCAGCCTGCAACTCAGTCTCATATCTCCTTGCTGGTCTCGTCGCAATCCCGCATATCGAACGCTGGGGCCGTCGTCGTCTCTTCATGATCTGTGCACTGGGACAGGGTCTTTGTTACCTGCTCATCACTGTATTGATCAGCTTCAATGAGAAAGAGGGCTACGCGTATCAGGAACAGGTTGCCTCTGCTTCAGTCGCATTTTTCTTCTTGTACTATGTCTTCTTCGGAATCGGTTTCCAGGGTATCCCCTGGCTGCTTCCGGTCGAAATCAACTCCCTCTCCATGCGCACGAAAGGTGCAGCGCTCGCCACAGCAACGAACTGGGCTATGAACTTCATGGTCGTCGAAATCACCCCCGTCGGTATCCAGAGCCTCGGATACCGGTTCTACATTATCTGGACAGTGCTCAATCTGTCCTTCGTGCCGATCATTTACTTCTTCTACCCGGAGACGGCGAATCGGGCTCTCGAGGATATCGATATGTTCTTTCGGGAGAACCCTTCGATCTTTGTGTATAGCAATAAGGAGGCGATCTCTGCGAGGCGGCCCGCACGGTATGTCGAGATGGAGCAGGATTTGGTGCAGAGGACTGCGGAGCAGACTGGGGAGAAGATAGACGCGGAGGAGATTAAGGGGACCGTGGAGCAGATGGAGAGAGTATAGTTTATTCGTTGGGTCTCGGTTGCATTGTTTTGTTAAATAGCAATACCCTTGATTTCAACTTTTGCCTGAAGAGGCTTATATAGTAGATATAACATTGACAATGGTACAAATTTGAATGACTTCCTATCAACCCAGCACTTACCTGGTCAAACTTTACTAACCCTCCTCTTCGCGAACCTCTTCTTCAACTCCAACGCCTTCCGCTCAGCCCGATAATGCGGCAACACCAAAGTAAGCGTCTTTTGCAACTCTCCCAGCAACTCATCCACAGGCACTGGAAACATAATCTTGCGCTTCGTCTGCAGCGCGGGCAGAAGTCTGCCATATGGGATGGCTGCCGCGTTGCCGATTGGCTTCCTGACTTTTCCAATGCTATCGAGGCTAGTCGTCGGTAAATCACCCTTATAGACAGTAACAATCTCACCCTCCGGGTAACAAAAGTACACACCAACGCTAAACTCTCCAACGAGCGGGTTCTTGCTGCGCTGGTACCATTTCGTGATAGCATCGGTGACCTGTGGCAATTCTAAGGTCTTGATGTTGTCCGCCGAAAGATCGAATTGCTTGAAGCTGCGGATCGGGGGCGGGCGGCGTTCCTGGATGTCGACGACTATCACGGTGTTTTTCTTGTTTGTAGTGCGCGTGAGGAGGTGTTCTGCGTTTTGGAGGAGTTTGTTGGTGGATTCGCAGATGCCGATTTCTAGGGCTAGAAAGGGGACTTCTTGGATTGACTTGGAGGGGGCTTGGTGTCTGTTGAGTCCGTACATGAGGTCCTGTAGATCGTCAAAGAATTTCTTGAACGTTGCGGTGACTGCATCGTGCAATGGACCCGGCTTGCCCTTGATGATCATGTACTGTTTGAGAGAGTCGTATTCGACAATGTCATGCAAACGGGGATTGGACTTGTACCAGTCGTGCCATTCCTGGGGACGCACTTTAAACTTGTCGACCACGAACTTACCCTCGCCTAGGGTTGTTTGAAGTTTGGTGATAAGGTCCTCGCTCACGGTGTGGATGCTTTGCACTTGGCGGAGGATTTGATTGGATTTGAGGCGAGGGGATTCTTCGAAGAAGCTGACGTCCATCGTGTTTGTGTAGTAGATTGGTTGGATTGAAGGGAGGGATTGGGATCTATTGAGTTAGAAAGTGGTGGGAAGCATGGTGAGAATTGCGATGGACGATAGGAGCTTTTTCTATGCGATGAATACGATGTCTCAGGATAGCATTGTATTATCCGCTACCAAAGCATTGTTGATGCCATTGTATGTACAAAGAAGCAGTTCATCCGTTGATGGTAAGGCTCGGTAAACATCAGATAGACAAAGAGCCGGCTCAGTCACAAAGAGGTATCACGGATGATTCCATGAAATAAATGGAAAATGCAATGATTCTGCCCTCTCCCATGGGATTAACTCCTTTCGTTGAGACTCTTATCCATAGCATTGTCTATGGTCTGGACAAAGCGTAGAGCCTGAACACTAGCAAGATGGCACATCCTTGCATGGAGCCCTGTCAGGTCCCAGAGGACTACAGATAAGGCGTGTTCCAAACGTCAGACAACTTCCCATCCCAGGTCGTAAAGTCCTCCACCTGCACAAGTGTATATCTCGCATCCTGCCGCCCAACTCTCTTTGCCCATCTCTCTGAACCCTCGGAGAAATCCTTGAACCAGCTCGCTTGTATACCAATTTCCAGCTTCTCCCACGTGCGACTCGTTGCAAGATCCTGCCACGGTCGGAACCACGCCTCCTCCAGGTGTTCAGGGACACTCCCGGCGCGTGGTGTGCAGGGCTTATTGAGGATATAGATGACCACACGGAGACGTTGCACTCCACTATACGACAATCGGAGCGTCCGGAAGACAGTATTGTACATTGACCAGTCGGCATCTGACATTGTGGACGGGGTTGATGCTTTGGCTATGTGAAGGATGTCGAGCGATGTGATGGCGGTGAGGTGCGATGGAACGATGACCTTGGGGAATCTGCATAGTTTCACGGCCGATGCGACAAGGAAGGTATTCGTTCCGTAGAGGATCGGGAGAGCTTCTAGATACCTGTTCCCATTAGCTCCCGGTTGTTACCACCGTTGCATTTAATACTCACCCAAGACGACACGTTCGCAACCACTCGACCCCCTTAAGCTTATACTTCAGCAGCTCTCGTTTCCCCTTTCTCTTCAAATCGTCCAAATCATCCGACCGACACAAATCCCCCGGTTTGGCGTCCTCTTCCTCGCACACCCGATGCCACCACCGCCATTGATCCGGTGGCTTCTTCTCTCTTCCCCGGTATCCAGGCGCAAACCCAAAATCATACTCCACATGGACCGCCCTCTCCCCGAATAGCTCAATATAGATTCGTTCCCGGATATTCCGGGGTAACCGTGCAAACAATGCGCTCTGAGTCTGAGTGTTGACAGCGTCCGGGCTTTCCTCGGGGTCCGCGGATTCTGGCGGCGGGGTCAGTGGGCGTCGTGGTTGCGGGAGGGGCATCGCCGTGTGATCGCGGTAGTCACGTAGGGAGGCGTTGGAGTTGCAGGTGTCATAATCGATACCCGTCTTGCTGAGGATGAGGGGCAGGTCTGTTGGGCCATCCTGGCCCTTAGGCCTCCGACGAAAGCGTTGAAAGAACTGTGGCATTTCGAGATTGAGATTGAGAGATTAAAGCGGAGCTTTCGAACCAGCCGTTAACTGTCAGATTCGAACAAAGTTGAGGATCTTCTCCTAAAGATGTTTGTTTGTTTTCAGTCTTTGCCTTTCAGGCACTGTTTTTTAAGCTGGATCGACAGGGGCTGTGGATCGAGGTCCGTTACTCCGAACGGTTGAACCTTGCTTCATATAAAGTGTGCTATTCTTGAATACGGGGGACTGCCAATAAATTAACCCATTGGATTGCATAGGCGTATGCACTTGTCTATATATGCGCACCTATACGTACCTGTTTTTCTAGAGCGACCGTGACTTTCCTCTCTGGACGCCGCGGTTTTGAATGAGGGTGCTCAGGGCCTGCTCAGTGAGCAGTCACGTGGCATCTGAGCTACTCGCAGTGTCTTTCTGCATATTCGCGCTACAGACGTTCGTACTCACGGGAGCAAGAATCGGTGCTTTCATTCTAGATGCAAAACACAAGAGTCAGAGAGGCTTCCGGTACAAGGTAAAATGATCAAGCCTGGACTCCTTTGCTCATGAGTATTCTCCTTCTGACCATGGTGTTGTTCCGTAGCCCGAACCCAAATGAACCTTGGAAGATAGGCTGGCGGATCAACCAGCAATGGTTAAAAAGAACCGAAACCCATATCATACGGTGTGAGTGCATTCCAAGTGATATGCATGGATTTGTCGCCGTATCGCCCGCGTCGTTATTGACTGACTCATCAGATTTGGTATTGGAACTCAAAAAGATGCTCTCAAAACGCCAGTTCAGCGTGCTCAAGGCAAGAATCGGACTAAGTTCCGATGTAAATCGGCATTCCTTGTTTCCGAATATCAAGGGACCTCAATGATCATTTCGATTGAGGAGCCCACTGCCGGACTGGGAGTCTGTCTCTTCCCCGATGGTATAACTATACCACCCCATCTCATCCACCTCTATGGCGACTCACCTTCGCGCCTTCCCGAAATACTCTTGAAATAGCCCATCGACATTCTCAACCTCCCTCTGCATCTTTTGCTCCTCGAATAGATCCGCCACTAATCCACTGGTTCCAAGCCTTGCCTGAACATCAGGGACATTCTCAAAACTCGCCGCCCAAATGGCCAGCGACGTAAGCACCAGCCCGGCCAAAACGAGCAGCGAACGAATTACCACAATTGCTTCCTATGAGTTTTCACCGTCATAATCGTCGTCGTAGCTATTGGAATAGTCTCCTTGGATTTCCATTTACACTTCCTCCTCGACATCCTCTGTGTTCATCCCAGTACCTCGGTTTGGTATGCTGGGTCAACCGCCGGCTGCTGTGTCTGAGCTTGGGACAATTCCCAGGGCTAATTGCTACCTTTGTGCGATTGCCTTGTATATATAATAATTATCATTATAGGAAGAGCAACAGAATTTGGGATGCGATTGCAACAACACCACTCCGAAAAAGGCAATGTTCGGATTATTGTTGTTCCGCGATGACCTCATCCCACCATTGTTCACCAGCTTCGTCAAAGCTCTCATTAGAAACAAAAGAGTGAAAATGGCTGAAGTCGCTGCCTCCATCAATGATGGGAGAACCCATCTTCTACTCGCTGCAACTGGCTCGGTAGCCACAATCAAACTTCCCCTCATTATCTCCTCGTTCGAAAGGCATCCCAACCTCTCCATTCGCGTCATTCTCACTAAATCCGCAGCTCACTTTCTCGCCGGACAGTCCCCCGAACAGCCTACCGTCGAGTCTTTATCCTCCCTCCCTAATGTCGATGGCGTTTACCGAGATGAAGATGAGTGGGCGGTGCCGTGGACGAGAGAGGCCAGTATCTTGCATATAGAGCTGCGGCGCTGGGCTCACTTGCTTGCGATTGTGCCGCTGTCTGCAAATGTGCTAGCAAAGATGACAGGGGGTCTGTGCGATGATCTTTTGACCACGGTGATCCGGGCTTGGGATACTGGTACCCCGGAGTCAAAGGGGCCGCCGATCCTTGTGGCGCCTGCGATGAATAGCATGATGTGGACACATCCGTTGACTTCCAAGCAACTATCGATTCTTGAGAATGAGTGGTGGTGGGTGGAGATTCTGCCGGCGCAGTCGAAGACGCTGGCGTGTGGCGATACTGGACAGGGTGGTATGTGCGAGTGGAAGAAAGTCGCTAGTGTGATTGAGGAACGGCTTGAGTTTTCTAGAGTATATCATCGGAGGAATCTCATTAGCACGGACGCTGTTTGATTCGTCTATCTGAAATATTCAAATAACCTCAGTCACCATGTGGGTAAGCCGTTGCGGAGTGGTCCACTGCCGTGTGTGCCTTGTACTTTATTTATAACTTCCCTTTCCCCTCTGAGTGCAAGGGACGGTTTGCATCACTGTATGTACAATAGTAGTAGTTTTAGGATAGACATCAGACTGACTATGCACAATGCATGACATGTACTCCATACTATGACACCCGTCTCCATGATATCAAGACAGTCTACCGAGCAGCTCAGCCTACTTCTAATACACTATTCTGTACAGTATTCTACTACACACTGCATCTAAATGTATCTAAACTCGGCATGCCGATCCGTTCCTGCGCCCCGCGATCGGCCGGGGAATATGATATCAGCCCGAAATCCGGTTCTGGCTGTCGCCCCACGAATGGCATCATCGTTCCCCAATTCGGTAAAAAGGAATCTGAGTGTTCCCCGTTAACGTCATGGACGAATCCGGCCTTTGGGTCTGGTGCGTCCACGTATTTCAGTGCCTGTCTTTCCTTTGATTTTCCATTTCTTTCATTCTCCATCATTTAGCATCATTAAGCTGTGCTTCAGCATATACAACTACCATTCATCATGCCGAACCAGACGAACCCCGAGAATCCTACGAGAAAGATTAATATCTTCTCAGGTACGCATTCCCTTTTGTGGCGCATTGATATTTTAATACTAATAAGCACAGACTTCGATGGCACAATCTTCATGCAAGATACCGGCCACGTCCTAGTCTCCAATCTAGGCGGCGGCAACGAATTTCTCAAAAAGATCCAGGAACAGATCAAAACTGGCGAGCGCTCCTTCCGTGAGGCCTCGGAGGATATGTGGGGGTCTTTGACTATCCCTATCGAAGATGGCTTCGATACCATGAAGAATAATATGTCCATGGATCCGAAGTTCAAGGAGTTTCATGAGTTCTGCATGGAGAATAATATCTCGTTTAATGTTATTAGTGCCGGGTTGAGGCCTATTCTTAGGAAGGTGTTGGATGCGTTTTTGGGGGCGCAGGAGGTGAGTCTATATTTGCTCTGTTTGGATGTGATGGCGATGTCGATTGCTAAAAAAAAATTTGTGCAGTCTTCTAATATCAACATCGTGGCGAACGACGCTGATATCGACGGTTCTACGCCCTGGAAACCTATCTGGTTGCATGAGACAGAACTAGGACATGACAAGGCCCTCTCTGTTAATCAAGGTCGCGCTGAAGCCGCGGGAGCTTGCGTCGAGGGAGAAATCCCACTTATCATCTTCATCGGCGACGGTGTCTCGGATCTCACGGCTGCCCGGGAAGCGGATATCTTGTTTGCGCGGAAGGGCTTGAAGCTCGAGGAATACTGCAATCACAACCAGATTCCGTATATCCCGTTCGAAACATTCGCGGATATCAAGAAAGAAGTCCAGCATATCATGAAGGAGGACCTCGAGAAGACTGGTGGCACTGGAATCCCCGCACGGTTCAACCCTCGTGCCAACATGTGGCGTCGGATTTCAAGCAAGCAGGCTGTATGTTCTTTCCCTCTTATATACGATTTTCTGTTTAGGTGAGGCGCTGACGTTTCTAGATGCCGAAATTTGTGGCTGCTACTCCGTCCAACGAAGAAAAAATGTTCTTGTGGCCCGAAGCCTTTTCCAACTACCAGCCCAAGGCAGTTCCTCAGGATGGTTCCGTATAGTTTCATGATGCTGGCGTCATGAGATGAGATGTTATGTATAGATGCGAGACTATTTTCAATGTACATAGTGTAGAATATCAGTTACATCTGTTATACCTTTGGTAATTGAACATTTACTCTTTCATTTAAACTCAACAAGAACCTCATACATGCCTAGTTGGCAGCAAGAACCGCAACCGACCATGCCGGCAAAGTAAAGCTAAACGATCCATCTTCGCCAGTCACATCCTTCTCAGAAGGAGTAACAAGAGTCTGAGTATCCGTGTTAGATGCCTCAGGGTCATTGTCCGCGAGCACGGTCAACTTTCCACTGCTCAATCCTGGGATTGAGACGACCACATCCTGCGTCTCAGAGCCGTAGTTGGCCAGCTTGACATAGTAATTGTCTCCAGCGCTGGAAGCCACCCAGTAAACGGGACCAAATGCGGAGTCGGAAGTAACCTCTTTTATGGTATCGCCTCGGTTAACGGAGAACATTTGCTGGACGTAGTAGCTGACTGTTTCGATGATCATGTTTGTCGGGTTCTGTGTGAAGGGGATTAGGTCGGGCTATATCGTTGTTAGTTTGCCATGCCTTACTCGCTAGTACTTAAGTATCACATACCGTCCATTGCGTTGAATTAACCAGCTGCAGCAGCGGCGCGTAAGCCGCCATCTTCACCACATCGCTATTCCTCTCCAATCCTATCATATACACTGCTTCCGCGACGGAGTTCTTTATAGAGGGCCATTCGATCTCCCATCGAGAGTACTCGCCAATGAAATACGGCACCGACCGATCCTTGTTATCAAACAGATTGAACTCGCTTACGAGTCCGTCGGCCGTATTATAGTCGTGAAAGTCCAGCCATGCGCCTTCAGGCAAGGTGCTAGGAAGGCAAGAAGCATTGTCTGTGCTGGCGATGAGGATGAGATCGGGATAGGCTGCATGGATTGCGTCGTAGAAGGCAGTGAATCGTTCCGCATAGCTCTCGCAGCCTCCACCCAGGTTGTCCTCATTGCCGATCTCCACTAAGGTGACGTCAAAGGGTTCTTCGTGGCCGTAGGTTGCCCGGAGGGAGCCGTATGTGGTGCTGGAGTCTCCCAGGATGAACTAAATATAGTTAGCCTTGTTACGCTCCGTGCGAATCGAAACACACGAAACATACCTCCAACTCATTCAGGGTATCATCGATATAAGGCTGCAGCGCATCGCCAGTGAAGGGAGTGTTGCCTCCTGATTCAAGAGCAAAGCCAGCCCACACCCCCAGAACGGGAGTCAAATTCAAATCTTCGCACCAGTAGAAATATTCCATGAGGCCTATTGCGTGTCAGAGGCGTATTGTCGCCTGGATTCAATTGGGAACATACCTAATCCGTCCGTGTTGTAGTAAGTCCAGGTTCCTTGGTGTCCTGGACGGTCCTCTACAGGACCGATGGTCTCATTCCATTTCCACCGTGTTTCCTCGGTGTCTCCCTCCCTATCAACCATTAGCTTCCATGGTAAGCCACATTTTTAGGGGTACACACAGGTTGTTACCACCAGGGAATCGCAGGAAAGATCCCTTGATGGATTCCAGAGCGTTGGCCAACTGGGGTTTCAGTCCATTATACCTAAAGATTTGTTAGGTATATCGAAATGATAATGCTCAGTACACAAACCTTGACTTGTAGGTCTCCGGGAAAAGCTGGAGAAGACCAAAATTGAGCGACCTTCCAGCAACCAACTCGCCGTCCACAGTCAGCTCATACAGAACATCTCCATCTGGAGCCTTGGTCGTAGGAAACGAAGTAGTGATATAGGTGAATTCATCCGCATTTGATGACACTTCGACGGATGTTGATGCATATTCCGTGCCACTGTTAGTACCGACCAGACGAATAGTGACATTGTTGGAAAAGTCTCCTTTGATCCAGAAGTAACTCTGGAATGTGCTGCCATCCACGGGGATACCCCAGTAACCCTCGTTGGTGAATCCAACCTGGCCCGTGGTGCCCTCGGGGACATCCAGTCTCAAGCTGTGGGGAATCGCAGATGTCAAAGGGTTTTCTGCATCTACGGAGATCGTGGCATCTCCCACGCTTGCCCATGCAGTCAGGTTGGGCGAGCTGCCCTGTAGCCCGTTGTTTTGAAGCAGCTGGCCGTAGATGCCTCCATCGTTTGAATAGTTAATATCCTATCCGGCGTACTGTGAGAACCATCTTCCGTGACTTAAGTGTTGAATAATATGAACCTACCTCAAACATGAATCCATAGAGGAGAGGACTAGATGAGTTACCACCCTCGGTGGAGACCTCCAACGACACACCATGAACTTTTTGGACCAGGGAGAACAACAAGGAAAGGGCACTAAGGCCCGAGAGAGTCGAGAAGGCGACCATCGTGTGATTTCTGGCTTGACGTATGCACAATTCGAGACTGGCCTAGCCACTCCTTTTATAGTTGAGACTTCAACAATTAACCGGCGAGTGGTCGTTGATAGAAACAACAGAGCTTCGATTTCAACCGATAGATCATAGCTTATGCCCACATACCATGCTTACAGAGAGGGAATATTGACTCTCCGTTCAGCCTGCAGAAGCAACCAATTCAACCGACTGGCCGAGTGAGTGGGCTGACGGTCTTGGTATGCTGGTTCTCTGCATACTCACGCGGGATCCCCGCGAAGCGAGAGACAGGGGCGAGCCAACTGGAAATTCTTCGGCGAGAAGAAGACAAACTCCAGCTCTTTAATTAACCGGGGACCCCGCAAAAGGTTCCTGTCCATCCTGTATCCTGTACGGAGTACTCGAATACGGTTCCCGAGATTCTCAGCACTGATCATCACGCGGTGGGACATTTCGGGATGGGCCGATATAGCGGAAATCGTGCTATGTATTGGGGCGCCTGTATTTGTATCCTTGATTAGGCCAAGAATATGTGGGTTGTTCGGTCTTTTCAAGGATCATACCATGATGATCTTGCTGTTGGTTATGGCATAAATCATAAGTACATAGTATGGAGAAGCAAATCGTAAGGTAACGGTGAGGCCGGTCACAGCCGTTATTGCCAAGGTTTGCATTAATATCGCTCAACTGAGACCTAAATGTCCTTTCCCCTCATTTGCTCCGGATATTCTCCGTATGGTTGTACGTAGTAGTGTGGGTGGCCGAGGCAAAATCGGCGATGAGGCCAAGATAGAGAGATCGCGGGGCCCGAGACTGCACATAGTAGTACATAGGTAGTTATGCCATTCGGGCAATTCTTTTCCACTTCAATATCAGATAAATAGTTAATTAGCCATAACTCTGCCTTGGTTATAAGGCATGAAAGACTCGATCTGGTTAACTAACTACAGTCAAACCTCATTAAGATGATACATTCTATCCAGCTGCTACTGTCGTTTAAACGCAAATATTGTCTTACTGGGGGTATTTTATATGGCAAAATGAGAATCGATACAGGCGAATAGTACCGGTTAAGCGCGAATATCGGCTTAACGAATACCATCCCACCGGGGTTCGACTGTAGTTAGTTATTTTATGACAAAGTGTGTATGCAGATGCGACATCAGCCTCCAGCAATGACAGGCTATGGAGGGACTGTCGGGACTCTGTCGAGCAATTACAGGCTACAGGAACTGTGTATCCATATGGGTTTCTTCCAGGAGGCGTCCCCTTCTCTGGCTAAGAACCCGATACAGCCAAGTATAGTAGGATTAAAAACCTATGAAGGGCCCGTTGGGAAATATCATCAAGCCAGCCACTGATCAAGCATCGAGGAGAACGATCCGAAAATAGTATCGACCCCGATAGTTTTCTTAATTCACCCAGCTGTATTCTTTAGAGCCAAGGAGAGCCCGTAAACCGTTAGATATGCCTAATTGAACGAATTTTATTACTCTTCCTTCTATTTCTTTCTCTCTTTTCAACCATATCTGTCTCTATGGTATTCAGAAACATGTGCATCCCAGATACCTGAAATTTTGCCTCACCTGCCCAATGGTCCTTTAGCGACTTTCATCTATTCCACCTTCTTGTCTCGGACAAGTATGTTTGCCCCAACATGATCAACGATGTTGAGTGCGGCTGATATTCTATGGAACAGTCATAATGAGCACTTGTTGAGAAAATACGAGAATGCACTCACGGTGACCCCAGAAAAGAGTGAAAGGTGGTGTTGAATGAACATGCTTTACACACATCTGACAGTTGGACAATCTGCGAGTTATAGTTTCTTATGAAAAATTGGGTGAGCAGAAAACGTTGGTCTCCGGTTGAATGAACGCCGTAGTTCTCATTTTTGGACACGGCTATATGGAGATTTATGGCGTTTACATCTAATGTTGCACATGGGAGCCGTCAGACACGTACTTCTAATGGTTTAGAGGTTATGGTCTTCATGACCTCGTGCTACTCGGAGAATGGCTTGTACAGCCAGAAATCAATTAATAACAGCATTCTCAGTGTGGACACAACCATCGGCTATCAGTTTTCTGTCATCGCAGCCCTTGCGCATGCCCATCCCTAGAAAGTTCTGATGGGTTAAAAGACAGTCTCTCTCATCCTAGCTGATACGTTGAAGATATCCAGTCTTTGAAGTTCTTCGTTGGAATCCAGAATGGCTAAGCAGTGGGAAACTATTGAAATCATGTCACAAAACCTCCTAGCTCGAAGATTGTGTAGGATTGAACTGCTGCCGATCAAGGACACGCATTTATGGGGGCGATGGACGAGCTTTGATTGAATGTTCACTCGGAGTTAACAAATTACTACACCGAATCGAGAAGGTAGTATCGATATATCATTAAAGGCAGCCAAATTTAAACTCACTTACAAAAGAAAACATACAACAGCCGGGACTCATTGATAATTACTAACGACTTTTGAGCAATTCGCTTGTTCCCTCATACACTAAATACAAGCTTATTTCGAATTAATCTATGCAGCACTCATATCATCAAGGAGCTAGCAGCCATCATGCCCTGAAACCCCCTAGGCATCGTTTCCTTTCACAACAGTCCATCAGGCATAATGTAACATCTCCTGCTTGAAATGTTCATCACTGTGTCGGTCTAGATGGCTTTGTCACTCCAGTTTCAAATCTCTCTTCTCCATATTACTCAACAACTTGCGATCAACCTTAGTATGTCCGACTTATACCAGATTATCAGGAGTCAATGGAACTCAATTAAGAAGCTTACATCTGTAATCGGGATTCGGTTGACAAATGCGACACCACCATGAAGCTTGTTCATAGGCGAGCATTCCTTATCCATCCAATCCAAGAGCACCTCGATAGTAAGATTGCTTCCGGGTTCTTTGACAAGATAGGCTCGTGGTACGAGCTCTTCGTCGTGACTTTTGTACAACAATGTTGGGTGAGACTCAAGCTATCACAGGCGTTAATACTGAGACTTACAGGCTGACTGGAATGACGCTAGCGTCTGCGGTTTCTGGATGGCGCCAGAGACTCGATTCAATTTCAAACGCGAATATATTATTCTCGTCTTTCCTGAGTTGATCCTGGGTCGTTTCAGCAAAGGGTATTCCAGCTGATAGAAGCGGAATACATATCTTGGTACAACCAACGATATACCAATGACCCTCATCATCCACCCAGCCCATGTCCGCAGTTTTCAGCCATCCATCTTGTGTCAAAGTCGCGGCTGTGGTCTCCGGGTCCTTGTAGTAGCCTTCCGACGTCATATTAAATGGAGGTCTGAACAAGATTCCCCCGGACTGTTTTGTCCCCAGGCGCTGGCCTTGCTGGTTCACCACTATTGCCTCGACATTCGGCTGAAGCTTCCCTATAGTGGTGTCTGTGACAGGCTCAGCTGGATCAGGGCTGATGTATACACTTCCTCTAAACTAAAGTCAGTCACATGGATTCAAAGAGTCTGTATACAGCAATTTCACTCGCTCATCCCGTAAGAATTGTATACAGGAACATTGTGTCGATTCTTCCACGGCGCAATCAACTCATATAACATATGACAACCACTCGTCATGAAGTTCGCAAGGCAGGAAAAGTCTGCTTGTCCTTCATACTTAACCAACTCTTGGGTGGCAGATTTGGCCAACGTCAATCGAGTTGGTCGAAACTTGTTCACGAGGTGGAGGACATTGCGTCTCATACTTGGGGAGGACGACGGCCTTGAACCGGCCTTTTAGAGGAGCTAGCAGACCGGAAACAATGTATCCCATGCCGCAGAATTTGAGGCCAGAGTACATTACTTCTTTGCTCTGTAAACGGAAGTTGAACCAGTGTAGTTTCTGTTCGATGCTTCCGACGGGACCATTGTGTGTTCTTTGCACTAGCTTGGAGACACCCGTCGTCCTGTACATGCGTTAGTTTATACAGTAACGAAAGGGAAAACCCATCTAACCTTGAAGTCTGAAAAAGCACAGCCGTAGTCCCTTTCGACCCCTGTGCCGACAATCACGGCCATTGATATGAACCACCCTCAGGGGCGTTCAGAAGATAGCTCCAATGACGAATCCCATACGGTGTACATTTTCGAGCACGACTATCATCAACCACAAACAGACGAGCTGTAGGAATATTCAACTCCTTTGCGACATTTCGAACTTCATCAAGCATCGAAGGCGCGAACAGCACAAAAGCAGAATCCAATTTCTCCAGGTAAAAAGCCAGTCCGGATGGCGGTTGGGTTGGTGGAAGTGTATATGATGCCCTGTTGCGAGGATGCCAAGAATTCTATAGGGAAGTGGAAGCTAGGATTTCCGTACATGGTGACGTTTTTGGCTTGCGCTCCCAAGCGATTGAGGCCGCAGCCTACACGCTCCGCGGCATCTTTGATCTTACTAAACGTGTACCCAGAACATTCGGGGCCTTGAGCTGATTGCAAGAGATAGTCATTGGGTCTCATTGACTCGGGGCGTGGTATGGATAGGGCAAGTCGAAGATATGGGACAGGAATTTGGACTTTTGATCAGAAGATGGTCATTTTACTTTTGCATTTTGAGTGGCCCTGATATGCTTAAATGAATTCCCTTCTACTGTGGGAAAACTTGGTCATATAACAACATCGCGAGTCATTGATAACTACCTACTTGCAACGCGAAAACAAGGACGACAAGTAGACCGTACATTTTCTATATCTGGACAGTGGGTCAAGCTCTTTTCGCCATTTTTTTTTCTGACCACTATTGATCGGAAAATCAAAGCCTATGTGGATATGATTCGCAATTGGCCTTGGTAGAGCACTATCTCAGCTCCACGGCGAATCTCAGTCCACATATCCAAACATTTGAATCGTGTCATCCACTGCCCACCTGTAGATCTTAGGAAACGAGCAAAATTAAGGAGAAATGCGCCTTCATGAGATAGAGTTTTCAAATTGTCGACCAGGAGAACAGAGCAACGCCACACATGGACTAATATCGTTATCGTCATAAATAGACATCCCGAAAAACCAAATCGAAAAACAATGTCTACTACTACAAGACCAGCTTGAAGTCCGGATTTCTGTCATCGTTGTACCCAGAAAACTGGGCATATTTCCCCCGCTTTTTATCTCGATTGATTTTGGCGCAATATAGGACATTTAAAAGAATCCTATTAAAAGATGTTAGCCCATACCTGGGAGTACCGACTGCTTCAACTCACATGAACCATGAGAACACAAGAAGACCAAGAACGACTGTATGGCCCCGGTGATACTGCGGTTTGTCTTTGCTAGGATAGATAAATGCTGACGGACAATAGTCAACGCATGGTTCTCAAAAAAAGAAGGAATGAGAATGCCCTACTCGCCACGAATCCACCACAATTCGCGATAGTTAACTGCATCGCAGAGGTAGTAGCCCGCTTGTAGTGTCCGGCAGAGTTATTGGAATTCCACACCAAAATGCATGGGATACTGCCATACATTCCCATGGCCATGATAAAGGTCATTCCATACTTTACGCGTGCGCCATGGACATTAGCAATTGCTGCATAGCCCGCGATTGCTAGTGGCATTGTGACGAGCATGAGGGTGCCTCGAAGTTGCAGCCGATCAGAAATGAAAGCCACCATCACTGGTCATGCGTTAGACAGGTTTTCTGGTTTCTAGCTTCGAAAAAGGGAGCTTTTACCAGTGAAGACTGCTGCTACTGCATACGGAATCACGGACCACAACTGCACTTGGTCCGCATTTGCTGCGTAGCCACTGTCATTGATGATTGTTGGGAGAAACAACCCAAAGGAATACATCCCAGATAGCAGAGAGAAATACGCTGCTGCAGAGAGCCACATCCGAGGATCCAGAATACCTCTGCGTACTTCGGACCATTGGAAGCTCTCTTGTTCACTTTCTATGGTGCTACTTCATTTCAGCACGTCCAACTCCATCTCTAATACAGACCGATGAAAGAGGGCTTACCCTGCTGGCGCACATGGATTATCACCTGACAGTCGCTCACGAACAAACTCACGTTCCTCAAGTGTCAAGAATGGTGCTGTCGTGGGGTTGTTTGGGAGGCCAAAATAAGTAAGAGCAGCACATGTGACTGTCTGAATGTCAAAGTTCCTGGTTAGAGTGAATCTTTCGATTGCGCTGTAAATACATACCAATAATCCTTCAATGATGAAAATCCAACGCCAACCTTCCAGGTTTCCTCGAGGGCCAATTTCAGCCAGCCCGCGGGCCAAAAGACCTGTTATTATCAGCTTAGTATAAGCCAATTTAGGAGGAATAAGGTTTTAATTACCTCCAAAAGCACCAGATAACGATGCTGCTGTGTAAAAAAGACCAATACGCAAGGCCAAATCACTTCGTCGGTAAAAGAAGGACAAATACAATACCATCCCAGGCAGTAATCCGCCTTCAAAAACACCAAGCAAGCAGCGTACAGCAACAAAGCCGGCAAAGTTGCGTACGAAGCCCAGGCACAATGTCATCACGCCCCATAATGCTGTGATCAGAGGTAGCCAGATCCTTGGGGATGCTTTCTTGAGGATGAGATTACTTGGGAGTTCGCTATCAACAAGATACAGTCAGTAAAGCGCAACAAGTGCCTGGAGTCTTCCAGCTTACCTGAGGACATAGGTGAGGTAGTATACTGCCAGACCAATATCATATTGATGATCCGCGATTCCAATGTCTTCCTCGAGGCCGATAATCTTTGCGTTCCCGACATTCGTGCGGTCCAAGAAGGAGAGAAGGAAGAGCAGTGCTAGAATGGGGAGTATTCTACACAGTCATTAGCCGTCTTGTACGAAGCAACTCTATCATGATTTATCTCACCTTACATCCAGCTTGAATAAAATCCGCCGAGCCAGCTTCTGCTGGTAAGCCAGGCCCTGCACTGAGTCCATTGACATGTGCGAGCTGTCCAGCTTCTTATCGTCAATACCAGCAGTATCCATGCTTGCTGGTTTCATTAATGTTGAAATCAAACCTGAAAAAGAAAGCAATATGAAGGGAGCATTCCGATCACATCACGGCTGTCTAAAAACCCCATCCTGACTCTGCCGTCAACTCGGCCACCAATTCTACGGCCGACTGCCGCAAGTGCGCACAGTCCGACCATGTGTCATCTGGGGTACAGCCGCTAAAGCTAAGCAATAAGTAATACAAAACAAATGTATGTACCCCGGATTCCCCCGGATTTTCGGTCTTAGGCAAAAGGCTTGGCGATCGTTGTAAAATATGGTCATTACGCTGTAATAAATGCGTTTCGGCATCGGCTCTTAGATCTCCCGATCGGAGTATAGTTCTGGGTGCCGAGGCAAATATAATCGCTCACTTCTCTGGTATTTTTAACATGAAGCCATACGGAGGGAGGATTGACAGAAGGCAATTCATTATGTCAAAATTATCGAACAGTCTTAAAGCGCTAATTAACAGCCCCAGTGCCCGTCCGGGTACTGTGCCTGCTCCGCGCAACATTCAATCCGTCTTTCACAAGATACAACAGGATGCTGAATCCAACAATGTCTCGCAGCCTTCATGGGTGGCTTTATCAGTCGGTCATATCTTTTCCTCCATTTACAAAGCCTACTCGAAAACTAACATATGGAACAATGGTGCAGACAGCAGCCACAATGACCATGAACTCCCCCGACACCCTCGGCATCCTCTTCAACCAGGCAACCTCGGCCTCGCAATCCGCCGAAGAAAGTGTAGCAACCGCAGAACTCATGCGCGAAATCGGCCTGAAATGCATCAGTTTCAACGGTATTCCGCGCACTATCAACTGTCTTAACGCCTTCAAATCTGGCCTCCCCGAGTCCGTCGCCGCGAAGCTCTCGAAAACCCCGACCCGCACGCCCACGGTCGAGAATATCAATGAGATTCGCGAGCGCGGAAGGGATCTCTGGGACTCGATCTATCGGCCGTTCGAGAACAAGTTGTATGAAAAGCTTGCGGATGCACATCCGGATTTGCCGGTGCATATCTTAAATGGGAACTATGGGGCGTTATTGTCGGATCCTGCGGGGAGGTCAACGGGAGCGAATGCCGGGAGAGTGTTGACTTCCATTGTGGCTGTTGCTTGTTTGCGTGCGCAGACGGGTGTTGGGCCGCAGGTTACGTCGCATGTGTTTGGACTGCGGAAGGCTCTTGAGGATGGAACGTGGGAGAATGATGTTGAGGGTGAGAAGGGGGCTAAGTGGTTGGCTAGTGATGAGGGTAATACCTGGATTTTGAACAGCGTTGATCGGATTGTCGAGTCGATTAGCCAGGGTGGGGAAACGAATTTTGCGCCCGGCAGAACCTTTAAGCTGTAAATAAGAGGCACTGTTTTGTATATACGCGATCTTGTGTATTTTGTAGTCAAAATAAACTGATGGATATCCCATATGTACATCGTCTTATACACTATCATATATGTCCATGAACATGAACTGCTATGTTATACTGCTTATTCCATGACTTCCAAATGGTCCGCGACAGTAAACTCGGCACCTGTCTTGCTCCGGACTTCCTCAACCTCCACACCAGGGGCCAGCTCCGTCAGCAAGAGCGTCCCTTGAGTCCGGTCAACTTGTAAGACGCACTAGATTTTGTTCGTCAGCATGTCTGATTCTTCTTGCTTCTTGTCAAACCTATACTTACCAGATCCGTGATGATCGTGCTAACGCAGTGCGCACCGGTCAAAGGCAGAGTGCAATCTGCCACGACCTTTGGAGAGCCATCCTTGGCTGTATGGCTGGTTGCCACCACAATCTTAGTTTGATCGGGGTTCGATATCAGGTCCATGGCACCTCCCATGCCCTTGAATACTTTTCCGGGGATCATGTAGTTGGCAAGGTCACCCTTTGCGCTAACTTGCAGAGCCTGTCACAACTTGTTAGCCCAAATCCATTTTTCACCAGCTACGAAGAGATGAACAAACCCCAAGAATGGACACATCGACGTGTCCACCCCGAATCATACCGAATGACTCGGAGCTGTCAAATGTAGAGGCTCCATCAACGAGGGTGACGGTTTCTTTTCCAGCGTTGATAATATCGCTAAAAAAATTGGTTAGAAGAAATATACAGTTGCAAGAATGGAACAATAACTTACGCATCCACTTCATCCTCCATAGGGTACGGTCCCTAGCCATTCTCTTAGCTATTGAGCATGGATATAGCCAAACACCAACCGACTTACCATTCCCAGAAGACCATTCTCGGACTGAACCCAAACCTTGACATTCTCCGGTAAAAATGATGGAGCTAGTGTGGGGATACCTATAGAGTGTTAGACTGCAGCAGTGTAAACTGAAGATGCATGTCTTTTTACCAACACCAAGGTTAACATAGTAACCCTGCTTGAGCTCCTTCGCGGCCCTCTTGGCAATCCGGTTTCTCTGAGTTAGAGCAACATTCTTTTCTAATTTCACCGCGCTCCCATTCTCAGCTGAGCGCAGTTTCTTGATCTCAATACTCTTTTGGTCGGTAGCAGGAACAATCCTGTTCACGAAAATTCCTGGCAAGTCAACGTTGTTGGGGTTGATCGAGCCGACGGGGACAATGTTCTCCGCTTCCACAATGGTAATATCCGCTGCTTTGGCCATAATCGGACCAAATGCCTTAGTAGTATAACTGATCATACTTAGATTTCTAGAACTCATAACAGGGGCGTGCAAGACTTACCGGAAAACACAATTGCCAGCTTCATCTGCTTTCCATGCACGGAGAATTGCAACATCACCCGTGATTGCAGTTTCCATCAAGTACGTTTTGTTATTGAACTCTCTAGTTTCGCGCGGCTTGCCGTGCTCCACCACCTTTCCAGAAGCGTCCATTCGAACAGGAATCCGTCCATCCTGGAGGAAAGTGTCTAAATCGCAATTGAATCAGATACCGTCATGTGCGAAGCGCAATTTTCGGTATACTCACGAGCTCCTGTAGGAGTGAAGAACGCCGGAATTCCAGCACCTCCTGCACGCATCCGCTCCGCCAACGTGCCTTGCGGACACAGCTCAATGGAAATCTCCCCTGTCAAATACTTCTGCTCAAGAGGCTTGTTGTTGCCAAGGTATGAGAGGATGAGTTTGTTAACCTGGCCCGTTTGCGTGAGCGTCGCAAGTCCACCTTTGCCGGGAGCGCCAGCGTTGTTCGAAATCGCGGTTAAAGAGTGCAAGTTCTCTGGTCCTCGACGATATATAGCGGAGATGAGGGTTTCTGACAGCCATAAGCATTAGCTACACCTATGTGTTTCCATTAATTGTCTCATACATACCAGCAACACCGCAAAGCCCAAACCCTGAGCTCAGAATAACAGACCCGCTCTCCAGGTCAGCGACTGCCTCATCCGCATCCTTGAACAGTTTCGAAGCGCCGCGCTCAATTGTTGGAGCCAGTCGCTGTCGCACACTTGGGACGGTTGAGTATGGCTTTGCACAGGCAATGGTGCCGGGCTGGAATGAAGGTCGCAAGCCTGCTGTGCAGCGAACTCCGAATTGCAGCCCGGGCCGACAGACGGAGAGCGACCTCCGTGATAGAGACAATGCTGAAACCCGTAATGTCGCCATGATTGATGTTCCTTGCACCCCTATTCTGAGATAGTAAACTTTTAAAGGCTAAACTCCAGGAACCAAATCATTCGAAAAAGGAAATCTGCTAAATATGCGAAATGGCGAGATGACGGCATGGTCGGTCTTCGGGGCTATTTCTGAACGCCGACAGAGGCGCATGTTCGCCCCTCCTCCGAGACCCATGATGCAAAAAAAAAAAAAAAAAGGCCAGGGGAACTTGTAAAGATGGCTTTTACAGATTGAAATCCGAGTCATTGTTGGCAAAATCCAGCCAGTCCCATCGCAGCATATCATCAAATGGGACACCAGGGACGGTGGTGCCAAATGATGTACCGGCTCGGTTCACTGCATCAATAATTTGGTCGTCAGACATCGCAGAGAACTGCAGAGGCTCCATCCAGAATAGAGACGGCGAGGCTGATGGTTGGGCAGTTGTAACTATGGGATTATATCCATCCAAGGACGACATGGACTGCAGCGCCTCCGTGGATCCCATAGTTTCCCGTTGATCGAATTGGTTATGAGAACTCGATCCCACAGGCACACGCCGGATCAGTTCCCGTAGGAATCTTCCATATAGGACCGAAGCTCCATGGCGATGGCTAGGGGTGGCTCCTATGCGCTCTAGCACGCCTGCTGTCTCTTCAATGAGATTTCGCACGCTTGGGGCAAAGCTGGACCTGCTGTCACCTGGTGTAACACTGAGGCTGAGCGCTGAACAAGCAGCAAATGAGATCATAATGACGGTATTGTTCGGCATCGACTTGAGACGCGCCTCGCCTTGAATAGCAGCCCGTAGGACATTCAGCGCAGAGGAAAGGGCAGCAGCGCGGAAAAACCGCTTAACTTCGATAGGTGCTGTGGGATGGTTTATAACACCAGCGTAGGTCGATAACCGAGTATGGGTGACCAAAATGTCAACATATGGTGGAAGTGATAGTGCTTGGGGATATCAGTTTTTGAAACATAGTAATACGGGAATCCAGAATGTCTGCTCACATTGACCTTCTCCAATTGCCGGCGCCCATGTTGCATACCAACGGTCATAGAAACTTTCGATCATTGTCTTGATCCTGTATATCATCAGAAAACAGTTTAGCGGTTGGTTAATGGAAACTTACAGTTGAGCTGCCTCGGGTCCCGTATCGACAACTTGGTAGTTGTCACAGCTGGATTTGACTTTTCTAAATAGTTCATCCTGTTGATAAATAATGAGATCAATGCTCTTGATAACCATAGATACTACTTACCAGGTTTCTTCGTAAGACGGTCATGGAATTCATGGGACCGTCTCGCGAGTCCGCGATGTCTGAAATGTGCCAGTGGTCACAATTCTCAACAAGAGTGGTTGGGGGAACAGTATAACTCCGCCCACGGGCCAGGCATACTCTGTAAACAATGAGAATGAGTCAATCAAAACTGCCAAAGCCCTCTTTTCCAATGCTTTATACGTACCCTCGTTCTAAAACGAACAATGCTATCCACGCCCTCTCTCGTCGTCGCAGTAATCTTCGACCCCATTCAGATCTAGCATCCACATCATCGAAACCATCCATATGCAGTGCTCTCTTCGCATCAATACAATCAGCCTTGGCAAGTCTTTTCAAAAGACTACTGTCAAAGCACGAAGAAGGAATAACGATCTTGTTGAGAGACAAATCCAGTGCCACAGTCAAAGCCATTGCAATATAGGCGCAAGCATCATCGTCTCCTAGGCAGTTTCCCGGGGCCATCCAGGGAACATTGACCATGAATGCCAAGACTATCTCTACTGACCTGTGACGCTGTATGATGATGGTATTTGCCAGCGATCTACAATGTCTGAATAGTCTTCTTGATAAAGCCGAAGCAGATGGTAAGAAGAGAGTAGTTGCAGCCAGGATTGATGTGAAAAGGAACGCAGACTGAGCGCGTACAAACGACACTGTGTGGATTATAGGGTCAAGGCCCCATCGAGTATGCGCTAGGTTCTGGTAAAAGCTGTACCGGCAATGGTCAGTTAGTTTGCGAGAAACAAGATTTGGATTTGGACATACAAAGAAAAGAGCGATTCCGCTTCTTCCACTGTGACAAGCCCCAGATCTATGGGATCCAATTCCGGACCAACATCCCGGCTGGCTCGCACTGGAACAAAAAATGAATTGGCGCCTGAATCATAGTCGTGAGTCTGGGATGTTGCTGGTTGCTGCCGTAAAAGTACATGAGTTCTCGGCATCTCAGCTGGTGATAGTTGAAGATCAGAGGCTCTCGCGAGCAACTGCAAAGGATTCTCCGCATCATCCAAAGTCAGGCTATCTTCCTGCTCGCGAGGAGAAGGAAGACTATGAGTTTGATCTGGATTCTCTGAGAAGTCATCGGTTTCGCTATACGAAACTTGCTGCTGGTCTTGTGCCTTGCCTAGGAGATCTTGTAGGCTTGAGATGACCTTATGAGCAGCATCAGATGCAGCCACGTCTTCACTTCTGGGGCGCTTGATGGCTTGTTCTATTTGGTATAGCGCCTTTTCCAGGCCTGTACGCTTACTGGGCGTCATACATTAGTACCATGTAACCATGTATGTGGGCAGTAAGGGATATGATGTACTCACTTCTTGACACCTTTCTGCCTTCCCACATGGTGAGTAGGGACTATGCACTCTAAATTGGATTGCTTGCACCGCTCGCAAGGCATTCCATTCTGATCCCGGCTACATCGGATCTTGCTTCTTCTGCAGTTAAGACATGCAGCCTGCTTTCCATGCGAGATCCTGCCGGGTTTTGATACCGCAGTGCGTACATGTTCCATTACTCATAAGTGTAAATAACGCTTTTCAATTGCGAAAAAGCCGCCATGCAATGCAATTGTCCGGAACACAACCTGGTCCGAGAAATGGTAACAGTGTGAAGCGGTAAAAGTCCGATATTGTTCAAGCACCGATCGCCGAGGAGTCAGATACACCGGGCTGTCGGCAATTAATCTTCCCAAAAAAAAAAAAAAAAGTCCTCCAATTCAGTTTAGACAAGTGAGGAGAAGTTGAAGAAAAAAAGATAAGCCGAATAAAAATATATTTTATATATAAAAAATTGATCAATCGTGATCGTCTTCAGTTGAAGCCGAACGCGGGGGTCGAACCCGCAACCTTGAGATTAAGAGTCTCACGCTCTACCGATTGAGCTAGCCCGGCTGGGCTGTTGAAATCTCGGTTTTTTAATGTATTACATAAGGCTTTTTTAGTAATACCTTTGTCATGGCCTCGGTTGACTATGGTAAAGTCAAATATACATCTTTCTTAGTATTTATATACAATCACAGTTCTCTGGCTCCTGACACAAATGGTTTCCCTATAGTTTGTCCACACTTTTTTATAACAGGCGTAGTTTTTTTTTCCAGTCTGGTAAGACTATCTTCGTATTGTCACTCTTATATGGTATAGGGTTTTCGTACGAACCCAAAGGATGACAGTTTGGCTAGGGCCAGCACAGAACGCAGTTATCAAGGGGTCCGAAACAACTATCAGCGACCTTCGTAGGACCCTCTGGCATACGAAGACTATCGTTGACCCCTTCGGCCAACTCCTGACCTCTGAGAGGGATCGCTGATAACACTATTTGGAACCTCATTTCCGTATGACCATATAAAACTGCTCCCACCTCTGCCCTTTTTGTTTCTTCTTCAACGAATCCTTTTTGTATAATATAGGGTAGCTTTAGGTTAAGACAACTTGGATTCAAACCCTAACACTATATCCTCCCTTCATAAATACGCTGATCTACAGATTGATTGGGCGGGTTATACAATCTCTTCTATACCATGGCCATCTGTTTCCCGGGATAAATGAAATCCGTAGCACGGTGGCTATGTAGTTTTGATACAAGTATACGATGCATACAGAGTATTCCATATTCCATCCCTTTGGAAGCTGCCTCGGCGGAAAGCTTGAACATGGGCGTGCTGGAAACAATCAATTATGGAAACTCCGTACCTTGATTGAGGTACCATAATATGAAATTCAAGAGTTAAAATACATATTCTGAATGAATGAATGTACTATTGATATATAATTTTTGCTTTTCTTCCCAGGGAAAAGAAACAATCAAAGTTAACAAGAAAATCTGACAAAAAAAAAATTGACCGACGCAGGGCTCGAACCTGCAATCTCTTGATTCGAAGTCAAGCGCCTTACCATTAGGCCAGCCGGCCTGCAATTCTTCTTTATTTTAAGGTCAAATTGTTACTAGTACCAACACAAAACGAAGAAGAAATTGGTTTCCTATCTTGATTGAGATTATTCTTTGATCTAGACATAGAATTTGGCTTTGACTATTTGCATCGGCCTTTAGTTAGTGTCAGTACCCATACCTGTCCAGTGCCACATCAAAAGGAATCCATTCAATCTACGCCTAACACAGCGACACCAATGCATAAAGATTGCTCAAACAGTCCAACTCAGGCAAAGAGCAAAAACGTAATAGTATAGTCGAATCGAGGACATAACATCGTAAGAGGTCGGTCTAATCAGTTAAACAAGGTCAATCAATTCGCAGCCCGAAGCGCCCGTAGCCTCGCACCCAGACCATCCTCCAACTCCGTATCAGCAGCCTGCTTCTGCTCCTTGACATCCTCCTTAGGAGCCGTATCTGCATCCAGAGCCACCCGCATATCAACGCCCGCATCGTCCGCCAGCTGCTCCATCAACCGGTCAACCTCAGTCTCACCTTCAGCACCGTACTCCTGCATCGAGACACCCTGCGCCACGTCCTCGATCGCACTACTCGCGATCTTAAAGTCCTCCGAGCGGGCCAGGAAATTGTTCGCATGCGAAACGAGATGCTCCAGGTTGACACTCTTGGAGGCCGCGTCCAGACCCCGCGATGCTAGTGCCAGTGTTCGTGATGTGTCCCGGGTGCTCTGGGCGGCTTTCAGTTCGTTGATGATCACGTCTGCTCGGGCGGCTTCGGCGCGGAGTGTGACTTGTCGTCGTTTCTCGCGGACGGCTGAGGCGGCGTGGATGCGGGCAATTTGGAACTCGCGGTTTTTCATGGCCTTGTCGGCCTTGGCTTTTTCGGATTTGAAGGTGGCATCGGCTCGGACGGCTTCTTTCTTGAGGCGGTTCGAGTGCAGCTGGTTTGCGCAAAAAGAGACGTTAGTAGGCAGGCGAGTTTGCGCCGCAGCGGGGTTATCACTCACCTTGACATTTGTGCGTGCCTCAAAGATGGGATCCTTTCGAACCATTTTGTCTGGAGCGTATTGATGGAGCGATTATTGTGAGATTCACGGGAGTTGAAAAAGTGTTACTGGATGTGCAGTGGAAGAAGTGCAAGTTCTAGACATGCCGTATTAGGCGTGGCAATAGATCGCCGCCGGGTGCGGAGGCGGAGCAGCACTGCGATTCCGGCTGAGGCTGTGCCTTTCAAAGATACAAAAAAAAGACTACGCGACTTTTCATATAAAGCACAAAAACCATAGATATAATAGTTAATATTGTATTATTATTCGTCGAATTCATATCTGGCTAGCCGGGTCAACCGCTAGCTATATTTCAGTGACACGTGAGTTTAAAAAACACATAAAAAGTGCAAAGTAATATACAAGCAAGAATAAAAAGCGAAAACGACAATGCGTTCACAGAAATTCCTTGCCCATAAGCAGAGACGATAATGTCTCACTCATAGTATTCGAATTCGAACGCCGCGAAGAACTCCGATGCCCAATAAGCTTCCCGACCCGCGTTAATCTCAAACCGTTGTTGTTATTAGAAGTAGTATTTCGTTGTCTTCGAGGGTACCCTGGCTTCTTTTGGAGACAGTCAATTACCAAAGCCATGGTCAATAGGGACTCCCAGTTCTGTCGACCTGCGACGCCATCAATAGCGGCCGCCTGGTGCCCCCGGGGAAGACTGTCGCTAACAGCCAGCTGCAATGCTCTGCCCGTCGCATCGCGAAGTGGACGCGCCAAGGCTGGGCTGCACGCTAGAAGTCTGGCGAGAAGTCTCATCCGGAAGACCGTGGGCCTGCTGGTCGATGTCATCGAAGGAGACAGAGTCGGGGTCGAAATTAACCATAGAATCAAAGGGAAATGCTGATATATCTCCGTTGTCGAAAACTCCAAAGGCGAACCCATCTTCAACGACCGAAGTATCAGGCTCAGCGGACGAATCACCGTGGAATAGGCGGTGGAAGTCATCGTCAGAAAGAGGAGCTGCAACATCACGTGCAGCGTTAGGTTCTGCGCCGGAGCCGAGGTCGAAGAGAGGGAGGGCGCTTCCAACTCCTTCGAGCCCAGAGACGGACACTGCAGGTCACACAACATCGCTGCAGGATGTTGTGTCGCATCGGAGGACTCGGCCAGAGTGGAAGGCTTCAAGGTAGGAGAGTAGTCGGTGACGGACGGGGTAGGGAAAGGAATTCGTTCCATGGGGAGCTCATCACCCTCCTGTTTGAACAAGGTGGGAGTCAAAGTAGGAGATTGGGCGGTCGGCGAAGCGGGCTTAGGAGAGACGCTGCGAGATCCGCGGACCTCCGCAGACAACTGGATGACTTGCTGGTTCAGACGGTTGTTCTCAACCTCCATCTGAGATAGACGCGACAGGAGGAACTGGTTCTGTTGTTCCATCTGGATCTTCTCGTTTTCCAGCTTCTCCATTTCGAGCCTCTTGCGCTCGCGGGAGGTTTGAGCCGCGGCGCGGTTGCGAAGAACGCGCTCAATACGACGCTGTTCCTTTTCATCGTCGGTCTTGGCTCGTTTTCTAGTGCTGGTTAGTGAACTGTGTTTGTATCTCTATTGTCTAAATAGAACATACCTAGGAGGCAAGTTGGTCTTGGGGGTTGGGAGTTCCTGGCCCCATGACTTTCTCTTCTTGGCGGGTCTCTTCTCATCTGTCCTCTGCTCATCGCATTCATCGTCGTTCAAAGAGGTATCTGCGGGGGAGACGGTGAGGGGCATGTCTGATTCCGGGGTGCCCCGCAACGAGTCGATCGAGGAAAACTGATCGTCGTCCATGGTGTTATGCAGAAACGTTGATGTGGTGACAAAGACTAGTGTAGTATGTGGGTGTTATTGTTGTAGAAGTGGTGGTAATTTATTGTGGAAGGTCTTGTCAAGTATAATATGATGGAGACAGATGGTTGTCCAGGCCCGGTTTCAATAAGAGTTAACCAAAGGCCACGGTGGCATAACTAACAACTGGAGTCACAGCCCCAAAGAAACACGATGAAAGGTAGAGACAGAGGGGAGAAGACGTCAATGGGACCAGAATAGGAAAGAGGTAGAGAAAAGGACACAGTGTTCAGAACACATATAAAAAGCGACTTGAGGAACGGAACTGAAAGAGAGTCAGACTCGGAGGGAAACGTCGCCTCTTTAAGAGGCCAGCGTGGTCAGTTTTCCAGGCCGCAAGGGGCGCAGTACTGGGTCTGACGGTATCTTACGCGTGCCCCTTTGATGGAGTCTCTGTTGGTGGAGGCGGGAGTGAATCATACGGTAATTACGTGTAAGATGGGGCAAGTGTGGTCTGGGCCACCCACTGCGCCCCTGAGAGGCTGAAACGGAGTGCGTCAGATCTCCGAATCTTCCGCCTTTTGGGTCCCTACGCAGACCGCTTGGAATCCCCACCGAAGTCCATCGAAGCTAGTTAGCGGTGAATGCTCTGTACATAGTACTTCTATGTTTAGGCACTGTCAGGTACTTAGTCAGAGTACTCTGTACCAGTATACTCCGGTTCCTGGTACGAGTGTACTCGTATACTTGTGCTTATAATGATGTATTGAGAATAATCGAGCATAATATTGTGGTGCCTATACTACGCTCACGCAAATTGCTTCATAGCATACGTACTTCATTGTTCTGTGATAGATCAGGGGCTTCTTCGGGCGGTCTGGAAAGGAACCACCGGTCAGGGATAGCGGCTGGAGTGGACTACCACTATATCCCGTCCAGTGTTGCCATTCGACCAAATCATCTCATAGTCCTGAAGTGGTCTATCAGTGGGCATCCCATCTTCCGGGTACTCTGTGCCCAACAGTACTTATTTATACTTATGTCTATGTAAAACAGTCATAAATAAGAAACACATTTTGCAGCAATAAAACAGATACGCCATGTATTCACAAAATAATCATAGACCCGTAATTTTTTTTTTTGGAGAGAAACTATTCCATATCCATCGTGTCGTCGCCCGCCTCCAAGGCACTCAACTTCTCCGGATCGGGCACCACTACGCCCCGACCCCGGCCGGCCAACAGCTCCCGTCGCACTTCCGGTCCAATGTCCTTGTGGCCCCGCACCAACAGAAGATCCAGAAGCGCTTCCCGCTGATCCTCTGTAATATCGTTGCGGTATCGCTGCGCAAACACTAACAGGCATTGGTGCCACAACACTGGCAGCTTGTAGTACTTGGCCCCGCTTCCCGATGGCCCGTCGGTCATCATCGCGTCCTCGCCATTATCACTGGCCCGGAATCGTAGGAAATGGAACACTAGCGCGTCAATCACCTTGTACGGAAGTGCGTACTTCTTCTCCAAGAAGGCACGGATGAACATGTTCACCGCTCCCGTGCTCTCCAGCGACTTGAGCGATTGCTCCGCGGCCAAGTCACACATTCGGAGAAGGGCCGCAGCAGAGTGCAAAACCGGAATTGACACTCGTGCAATCACAGACGACACAATGTGTGCCTCCCGCAGCGTACACGTCCCGCCAGACACAAGCGGGAACAGCAAGCCCTTGAAAAAGCATGCCGGCTTGTAAAGTGCCTTCCGCAGTGCGTTGTAGGTGTGGACATTAAGTTTTTTCGTCTCGCGAATCTCGTCGCGGACCCGGTCAAGCAGCACCATCGAGATGAATTCTTGGGCAACAACCGCCTTGGACGAAATGAAAAGTCTGGTGGCTGCATAGACAGCATTGGCCGTCCATGACTCCGGTCGCGTGATATCGAGGAGGGTCTCCCAGTTGGGCACCGAGGGGAGAACCTTGAAGGGTTTCGGAAGAGGGCCGGACTTGTAGCGTGACAGGATCGTGCCAACCCTAACTTCGTCAGCATAGATCGCACCAAGAGGTATCATCAACAGTAAAGAAAGAGATGGATGCTCACTTTTCATATACTTCGATTGCCTTAGCTGGGATTTGGACTGCATCCTCCGGCAATCCACCACCTTGAATTAAACCGCTGTCGCCAGATTCCTTTGCTTCGTGCTCCGCAATCTTCTCGAGGATCAGATCCGCTAGGTTCGTAGTCTGGCCGCCGGAACCGGGGTTGAATATGGGGTCCTCGTCGCCAGCCGGAATGAATTTGTTGAACACATCAAGATCATTCGGGTCGACTTCCTATGACAGCATTAGAGTGTAGTCCGCAACTAATCCCTCGATCAAAAGAACGGCATACCACTTGCTCAACTTCCTCGTCCTCGTCACCCCATTCATCCTCTCCGAACTTGTCCTCGTCATCCGACACAGGTTCGTCACCTTCCAATCGCGACTCGAAATCGAAAGCGTGGTTAACTTTCCCGCCCGTCTCTCCCCTTGCGGCCTTTTGCTCAATGGCATCCTCGTCGGCCAGTTCCTGTCCAATCTGCAGGATCTTGCGCGACTGTTTCGCATCGACAAAGCGCTCACCATCTTCATCCGTCTGCGACTTGCGCTTATTCTTCTTGCTGGGTTGGGTCCGGATATGACCTATAGACGTCATGTCCTCCGCCAGAGGGTTATGTCTGCGGGCAGCCGCAGCGCTGCGCGAGGGTGTTGTCGCTTTAGGCATGGCAAACGATTTTTGCTCAGATATCTCGTAACGGTTCTGGGTGGGAATCGATGGTTAAGCGGAAAGTCTCTGTTTCGTATGAGGTTATCGTACGCTGCCCTGCCGGTCGATCGACAGAAAACCGGACTATATACCGGGGAAAAGTAGATATTATCCTAATCTCTTCGACTTTTCCTTCACCCGCATTGGGAAATTGTGTGTAAATTTTTGATCACGTGTGATTAGCTCCGGGCGGTCTGTAAATTTTTTCTGCGATGTCCACTTCGAAATGGTTTACCGCCTTGTAATACGTTACAGTCATTGGTGAATACTAATTCACCGCTCTCATGCCCCTCTGCTCTAGTCCAATTTTCAGCCAAACAAATCATCGAAGGGGATCTTTTCTGCCCGTAAAAATTTTTCTGACCGCCCTCGAACTGCTCGTCTTCCGCCTTTGCGCATTCGACACAGGGACATCATAGGACATGAGTGAGTCTTAACTAGTCAATTTAATAAATATCATTGTGGAAATCCCCTATCCTCAATTATTATTATTTGAATGCTGCTTTTCTTTGACTCCTAAGTAGCAAAAGTGGGTTCTTGATACGAGCACACGTCCCTTCGGAGATCGTTGTTTGCGCGACACTTCCACCTCAGTTGATCACCTGTGAGTATGGCGCGCTTCTCGCTCTTCAACTACCACCAGTATCTTAACTCTTACTGACTATTTCCCTTTGCAGTTTATTTATATACCCCCATTTCTCCTTGGGACTTTCGTTTTTTGCCTTCGGTACCTTGCAATAGTGCATATTCTGTTCTTCATCTGCTGGTCACGTCCGTTGTCGCAATCGCATATCAGACGAGCAATAACCCGAGATATTGGTAATTCAGACGGCATATATATCAGCAGGGGAGGTATCTTACTGTAACAAGTGAGCAGCATTGCATCCTAAATTGCAATGGCATCCGGACAACCAACAGGCGCTTCTGCGCCCACCTCAAACGTTAACTCCCCAGGGGGGACACCATCCTTTTATGGTGCAGGTCTAGACTTGAACCCAGGTTCCTCACCGGCTCCTCCCAGCAATGCATCAGTCCAGCTCGACACGAAATCAAAGCGCAACAAACGTGATAGTCGCAAGAAGCGAGAAGCCAAGGGTCTAGACCAGGAAAGCGTACCACCACCAAAGAAGAAAAGCGCTGTCGTTCAGAGCATTGCGCTCCCAAGCTCTGATCTCAGTATACTCAGGCCTTTACTCCTTGCCGAACCCAAACATTCAGACTTATTACCGCCGCAGCCCCGGCAGATGAATCACGTGACCCGGAAGTCATCGAGCTCAAACAGTCAGCAATGGGACTTTTATGAAGTGGTGGATAAACTTACAAATAAGAATGGTTTCCGCTATAGCTATGCCATAGCTGACCCAGGGTTTCCGCATATCAAGTACCGCCAGACCGATCTTCACCCATATTATGCACGTTTCAGCTTTGAAGATTCTCCCGCTGCGATCCATTTCTCCAAAGATGCCCTTGCTGTTACTACCCCCGAGCCATGGCATACTGCACGGGCAAATGTATGCGCGCGCGAGGGGACATATTATTACGAGGCACGTATCATAAGTGGTGTGGTCAACGACCCTCAAGCACCACCCACGAATGGAAAAGCCAAGCCACCGTCAAGAGGTCACGTTCGCCTCGGGTTTGCACGACGAGAAGCTGATCTTGACGTGAATGTCGGCGTTGATTGCTATGGGTATGGGATTCGCGATGTGAACGGGGAGGTAGTCAATCGAATGCGCTGCGAGCACCTTTTCCCCAAGGGCGAGTCCATCCGTGAAGGCGATGTAATTGGCATGCTCATTACCCTCCCATCATTGTCCCTTCACAGGAAGATTGTGGAAGGCACATATGACCCTGCAGTTGATGGCAGTGCCTCGGCACAATACTCGGAACATCCTTACAGTTCCAACATCATCCGTGACCGTATACCCTTCCATTACAAAAATGACTTCTGCTGGCAGCAATCAAATGTATTCCCAACAAAACATCTCCGTGATTATGCCTATAACCTGAAAGACATACCCAGTCAGGGACCTCCATCACCTTTGAACAGTGAAGATGCTTCAATGCGCACGCTGCCAGGATCTAACATCACAATATTCAAAAATGGCATCAAAATGGGCACGCCATTCAAAGAATTATATACTTTCCTCCCACCTGCTAGTCGTCTCGCAAACGGCACCAATAACCTGGGCCTAGGGGAGCGGGAAAACGCAGACGATGGGATGATTGGATACTATCCCGCGGTTAGTTGCTACGGCGGAGGTGCGGTCGAATGTCGCTTCGAGAGTCCGTGGTGGTTTGGTCCACCATCCAAGACCGAGAATGGTGAGCCCGTGCGGCCCATGGGTGACCGGTTCAATGACCAGATTGTCGAAGACGTCATGGCAGACATCATTGACGAAGTCGAGGCTATGATGGTCTGGGGCGGCGTGGATGGAGATGTCGTTGGGAACGCGCGGATGGACAGCACTGAGTCCGGCGCCGTTGGTGGCTCGGAGGTCTTGAAGGGCGGAGTTGGGGCTGCGTTTGAATCGGCAGGATCTACGGGTGGTAATAACACTCCGGCGACGGCGGTGGTTTATGGGGCGCCAGGACATACTGCCTTCGACGTCATGGATTCGGGGGCAACAGATACACTGAATGTGGAGGTGTCAGACGCGAAGGTTGAAGATACTGCTGTTGATCAGGACGTTGAGATGTCTTGATCAATCCATTTTTACTTGGATATTGCATCTACTTGGGCCAGGCCCGCGTTTTATATGGCTTGAATACCGCTGAATAAAGATCTGAATAATTAGTGCATCTGACGTCTTTCCTAATCGCACTGCGTACAAGCACATTGTGCTAGAGTGAAGGGTCATAGGATCATCAAGGCAAATCGTAATACTGTACAGGTGTATCTAACATTGGATTTTATCTATGGGAATTCCGAACAACTTATTTCGTCCTCTCTATTAGTTCGCCTACATCCAGGACAAGCTCATCATTGCCATATTGTCCGACAACCTGAATTCCTGCCAGGTCTTCGTCCGCTGAGTCTTGAGCTGAGACCGGAACAGAGATGGCAGGAAGTCCAGCCAAGCTGGCAGGGACAGTGAAAACATCGTTCATATACGCGTCCAGCGGAGAAGTCACAGCATCCTTATCCAAAAGCTTGGACAGCTGGGGAGGTGAGGAGGGAGTGGTAGGACAAACAAGGACATCAACATCGGCTGGTTTAGATGCTGGCTCTACAGGCAAGTCGCGATAAGGGTCGAACGGGTGTTCTGTGCGGAAAATGGCGTTGAAATCTCGCTGCACAAGGCGCCGGACGCGTTGTGCTTGGATAAAGTAGTTGCCTATAGCGTCTGCGCTTAAGCTGAATGTGCCTAGTAGGATTCGCCTCTTTACTTCCGATCCGAAACCTTCGCCTCTGGTGCTGGCATATAGCACATTTTCCGATTTCCCGTCACTGTCGGGGCCTTCAGCGCGGGTTCCATATCTCACACCGTCGTACTTGGCTAGGTTGGATGATGCTTCGGCGGGTGCAAGGACATAATAAGCTGGCAGGGCCTGTTGCGTTGATGGTAGGGAGACTGGGTGGATGGTATGGCCTTGTTGCTGTAGAAACGACAAGGTTCGGGACCATGCGTTTCGAACAGATTGGGAAAGTTCGGAAATGTTGTATTCGAGAGGGACACCGATCCTAAGGCCGGAAGTCATGCGGGATGCGAGATTGGATGACTCTAGGAGCGAACGAATTCTGTTACGGGATGCTAGGGATATATTAGTCGGATCCAGGGGGTCATGCTTGTTCATAATATCTGTAGTAGAGTTACTGTGTTAGCAAGGTCATACAACTTGTGAGTGGCATGAAAGCATACCAAATACATGACGGACCCTAGAGGTATCTTTTCCCATTATCCCGACTGTGTCCAACGAGTTGGCATAAGCAACCACACCCCATCGTGAGATCAATCCGTAGGATGGCTTGAAACCGACAGTGCCCGTGTATGCAGCTGGAAGCCGTACGGAACCGCCAGTGTCTGTACCCAGTGCTCTGTATAGAGGAACCACAGTTCAGCCCATGCCTTCCGCAGGGAGGTTGAGAAAATCAAGTCACTCACGCATAACATTGATCGGTAGCGACAGCCACAGCACTTCCTCCGGAACTGCCACCGGCAGACAGAGCTCCTCCATCGTGGTCCTGACGGGAATTCGTGACAGGCCCAAACCGCGAGTGTATCGAATGCGACCCCATGCCAAATTCATCCAGATTGGTCTTTCCAGCTACTACAGCCCCAGCATCCTCTAATTGCTCGACGACCGTGGCGTTGAACGGGCTGGTGAACTTGATCAAGTTTCCGGATGCGCATGTCGTGGGGAGATCACGCGTGCAGATATTATCTTTAACGGAGATCAGACGGCCGTCCAAACTTGATCGTGGTTTGTCTAAGCAGGAAAGAGTCAGTATATATGATTATATGTTGTTCGGATCGCTCCCTCTTCCATATAGACATACCTTGCTCTCTGCGACGGTCTGCATCCCTCACCTGCTCCAGCCATGGCCCCGACCTTCGCAGAGGGGTAATGAAGGCATTGAGGGCAGCATGAGCCTTCTGGTTAGCGATACATTTCTCAGCTTCCCGCAGAAGGGACATTTAGGCCTCTCTGAGCGGGTTGACGAAAGAGGAGAGGAACAGATAGGATTGTTGTCGATGTCAAAAGATTCGCGGGATGTGGTCCGTGCTTTCTAGTGTTGAAGAAAGTGCCCTGACTGACTTGGTGCTGATGAGGTTCCTATTGGAAACAGATTTCAAGTATCTGGTATTAGGCTATGAATGTTTTGTTATGTATTGGTAGTACTGAGAACATCTCAAGATACATGTGTACTGCCTCACTATAAATATACCCACGCCCGCTACATTTGACCAGCTTCAATCGAAAACTTGACCCACTGATTCCACGTAGATAAACCATTCGTAGACCTCCATAATCTGCTGCTAGACCACATAACAGCGATAAAACAAGAAACAACTTCGAGTTGGTTAAATTGAAGCTATATAAATGCAGACGCCTTTACATCCGTCGGCCCGAAGAGAGAGAAAACGACGTCATTCGGAATCTCTCCTCCAAAAACATCATCTATTTTCTTTCAACTTCTCCCTCTTGTACGGAGCAACAATTGATTCGCTCTAGGATAATTGTACAATATGTTCTCTCGCGCAATGCTACGTTCCTCTACCGTAAACGCTTCTCGCGGCAACGGCGCCGCTCTGGCGCTGAAAGCTAGAGCTTCGACCCCTCTGGCTGCGAACCCATGCCGGACACCTTTTATTCATTCGCTAGAAGCAAGAAGATATATATCTGTATATGGCTATACGCAATCCAAGGCGCTGGTTTACTCGAAATACGGCGAGCCGAAGGACGTCCTCAGGTACGTGATCTATGATTCTGCGGGGCTGCCATAACCTTGCGCTCGCATCTCTCGTCATGCAATGGCCAATGCTGATTGGTATTTTCTTTCCAGACTTCACAAGCACTCCATCTCGGCACCCCACGGTACACAAGTCAACCTTCGTCTTCTCACGGCCCCGCTGAACCCGGCCGACATCAACCAGATCCAAGGAGTCTACCCGAGCAAACCGCCTTTCGAATCTACTCTGGGTACCGGGGAACCCTCCGCTGTGGCTGGAAATGAAGGTGCCTTTGAGGTTATTTCGACCGGGTCGGGCGTCCAAAACCTCAACAAGGGCGACTGGGTGATCATGAAGCGCACAGGCCAAGGCACCTGGCGGACGCACGCTCAGATGGACGAGTCGCAATTGATCAAGATCGAGAACAAGGACGGCCTGACGCCACTCCAAGTTGGAACTGTTAGCGTTAACCCCGTCACTGCCTACCGCATGATTAAAGACTTCTGTGAATGGGACTGGTTGCGCGCTGGGGAGGAGTGGCTCATTCAGAACGGAGCCAACAGCGGTGTTGGTCGAGCTGCTATCCAGCTTGCGCGGGAGTGGGGTATCAAGACCCTCAACATTATCCGTGACAGAAAGACCCCCGAGGAAACCGAGTCGATGAAGAAGGAGCTTGTGGACCTTGGCGCCACCGCCGTGGTCACTGAATCCGAATTGCTTTCGGCTGAGTTCAAGAAAACGGTTAAGGAACTTACCCATCAGGGTAAGGAGCCTATTCGTCTGGCTCTCAACTGCGTGGGAGGAAAGAATGCCACCGCATTAGCTAAGGTTCTGGCCCCTGGCTCGCATATGGTCACCTACGGAGCCATGTCCAAGCAGCCCGTCGCATTGCCTTCTGGTCTTTTAATCTTCAAGAATCTCGCATTTGATGGCTTCTGGGTGAGCAAATGGGGTGACAAGAACCCCCAGCTCAAGGAGAACACCATCAAGGACGTGCTTGAGCTGACTCGCGCCGGGAAGTTCAAGGATATCCCTTCGGAGGATGTCAAGTGGAGCTGGGACACCCAAGGCCCTGAGCTTGCAGATAGTGTCCAGGGAACTCTCTCTGGATTCCGCAGTGGAAAGGGCGTGCTTAAATACGAGGGCGGCGATGAATGAAAGGAAAGAAAAAAAAAAAAAGCTACAAGTGTACATCTAATGTCATCTGAATTATCCAACTGTAGAATCATTAACGCCAATAATGCTTTCCAACATCATATGTACCAAGTCTGTGCCCTGATATAATAGGATCTACAAAGAAAATGGTCATAATCTAAGCTTTGACTATGATAACGCCCGTAAATATGCTTAGACATTATGCTGGCTGCCTTATGCTGTCGTATCACATTTCCAATTATCCTTCACCCAACCTAGAATGAGATTGGTCAGGCTCATCGAAGGCATATACACATCACTGTTCCGCGGGACATCGATATCAAAACTTGCAATCTTGGCTGCGAGAGTTATGTACCGTTCGATGAAATCGATGTAAACCAAGTCTACAGTATCTGGTGTCGCAGACGAGTTGGACGACACCGAGGCTTGAATGCAATTGGGAACACGGTAAAAAGAAATAGGCGAGTGGATAGTGTCATCACCATCAGAGCCTCCGTCGTCTTTGGTGGTGTATCCTGGGAGTAATTTAGGCTTGGAATGACTCTGACTTGACCATGACAATAGAGCCTGACTGACTTTAGAGGCAAAAGACGGACGGCTGTCATCATCAGAAACTACTATGTCATGGAGATATGCGGCCTGCTCTGGTGGTGCAAAAGACCATATAGGATAGTGGGCGGAGTGCTGCGATCCGAGCAGGATCTGAGGCTGCTCGTTTAGAACCTCAACAATCAACTGTGCTTTATCGTAAGGTACGTCTTTCAAATAGCGGAACCCGCTTGTGAAGGGACACAATATGTATAGGGAGTCTTGGGTAAAAGGACCCTTGAACAAGTCAAACCGAATGGCCCCGGTATTAACAATGGCAACGGCTGGCTTGCCGCTACGTTTGTCATCCTTCAAAGCATCGGGAATTACTTCTTTCTCGAGCCACGTATAGATGTTGCTCTCATTGGGGTACTCGACGCTGGACATCCAGAGATCTCGGGGAGCACAGCCATACACTTGATCTAGTCTTAGTGCGCTTCGCGATTCCTGGATGAGCTGAGAAGTGTTTTGACCATGTTCCGTAGGGAATGTCTGATCATCAAGGCCTGTGTGATGGTAGAACGAAAAGAGATTGTTGTCAATGTATCTCCGGCTGAAGCGGGGAGTGCCAGTGGAAAGACCATCAATTGACATGAAGCCAATAGTCTCCAAGAAACGGCCACTTGCCAAACCATAGGCCTTGTCATCATAGCGTGCATAATCGCGAATATGATAGTGACCACCAAAGAATTGAATGGGTACATCCCATCGGACAGCCCGAATTGCTTTGAAGATGGCTTCTGCTTCCTGAGAATGAACGGGAATATGTCCGGCCACCAGGAAGAGATCGACATTCGTGTCCCGAATAGCTTCCTGGAACCATTCTTCCTCGATGGTATCTGCCACGCGCTGGACGATCGTGTTATTGTGATTCATATTGAAGTCGAACAAGAAGCCAAACGCAACAATGCGAATTCCCTGCTGCTTTGTAGTAAACTTCTTGTATCGAGGGGCAAAGGGCACGGCATCTTTGGTGACAGGGTGAATGATATCGACATTCGATGCTAGGTAGTGGCCCCGGAAGTTATGCACAGTGGTGTAGAACTCGGCCTCGGATGTATACTGCTTGTACAGCTCATGGTTTCCAATCGTGATCACATCGATAGGTTGCTGGCACAAGATTTCAGAAACATAGACACCTTTGGGCTCCGATGAATCCCAAAGACCATTGCCTTCGACTCTGTCGCCTGTATCGATCACCAATAGATCCTGTCCTTGCGCCTCTGCCTTTTCCCGCATCCGAGTAGTGAAGGAGACATAGTCACCCCAATCTGCGGAATAGAATGGTTCCTGCAAATGACCGGCCAGCCAGCCATGAGTATCAGTGGTATGGAGAAAGTTCAGCTGGCCCCATTCCAAGTCACGCAGTTGAGCCGGGATGGGCTTGGGGGCAGAGGGTTGAGCAGCAAAGGCATGTTGGGTGATAGAAGTAAGCAGAGATAACAGAGACAAGGTACACACCACCATCATCATCATCAGCACCGTCAGCACCATCAACCTCCCTTGAGTGAGTAGGAAATCGAACGGTTACGTAGACGGAAGCAGAAGCCGGTGAGGGTCCGGCTGAGTCAGCACTTGCCCAACAAGCGTCCTCACCAAAAATACCGGGCGAGAAAAAACAGACGAGGAAGAATAACCCCGGAAGACAGTCTGCTTTTGACAGCTCGATCTCAGGTCTTTCACTTCTTTTTTTATTCTGTTCCATTCGCCCGAACCGCTCCTCCTTCCATCTTATCTATATCCTTCCCTCAGCCCGGCCATGGCTGCTCCCCGTCTCTTCCGTCCGGCAGCTCGCCTGATCTCTTCGCGCCTTTCCTCGACTCCTCTCCGCCCTGCGTTCCAGAAGACTGCCTGCGCACCTTCGATCTTGCGCTCGCGGGGTTATGCTACCGAGACTGGTGGTACCAAGGAGGTCACTGTTCGTGATGCATTGAACGAAGCTCTCGCCGAAGAATTGGAGAGCAACCCCAAGACTTACATCTTGGGTGAAGAAGTTGCGCAGTACAATGGAGCGTATGTCATATCGTCCCCATCAAACGCTTGGCAATATATGGAGACATAGGATGTTATCGAGGATCGCCTTTGACTGACATGCCTGGGGGTTTGGTAGTTACAAAGTAACACGAGGTCTGTTGGACCGCTTCGGTCCTAAGCGGGTTATCGACACTCCCATCACGGAAGCTGGATTCTGTGGTCTGGCAGTTGGCTCTGCTCTGGCCGGCCTGCACCCCATTGTACGTTTTTGCCATGCGCCGATTTATAGCGGGGATTGTCTGAAATATAAGGAATTGCGACAGACTAATAAATCATTCATATAGTGCGAGTTTATGACCTTCAACTTTGCCATGCAGGCCATTGACCAGATTATCAACTCTGCCGCAAAGACACACTACATGTCTGGTGGTATCCAGCCTTGCAACATCACCTTCCGTGGTCCCAACGGTTTCGCTGCCGGTGTTGCTGCTCAGCACTCGCAAGATTACTCCGCCTGGTACGGTAGCATTCCGGGTCTGAAGGTTGTTTCGCCATGGAGCTCGGAGGATGCCAAGGGCCTCTTGAAGGCCGCCATCCGTGACCCCAACCCGGTCTGTGTTCTAGAGAACGAGTATGTGGTGTCATCCTGTGCATCACTATCGGACCGTGTAGACTGACGATTTGTCTAGGCTTATGTACGGCCAGGCCTTCCCCATGAGTGAGGCGGCCCAGAAGGACGACTTTGTTCTTCCCATTGGCAAGGCCAAGATTGAGCGTCCTGGAAAGGATCTTACCGTTGTCTCCGTTTCCCGTTGTGTTGGTCAGTCGCTCAACGCTGCGGCTGAGCTGAAGCAGAAGTACGGTGTTGAAGCTGAGGTTGTCAACCTCCGCTCCATCAAGCCCCTTGACGTGGAGACTGTTATCCAGTCCCTGAAGAAGACTGGCCGCCTCATGGTGGTTGAGTCTGGATTCCCCATGTTCGGTGTTTCTTCCGAAATCCTGGCCCTCGCCATGGAGTACGGCTTTGACTACCTGACCGCCCCGGCTCTCCGTGTCACTGGTGCTGAGGTCCCTACTCCCTACGCTGTTGGTCTTGAGAACATGGCCTTCCCTCAGGAGGACACCATCGTTGGCCAGGCCGCCAAGCTTCTGCGTCTGTAAATCAGGCGGGATTCTTATTTTCTTGAGATGTAACGTTGAACGAACTCCAGGAAATCTTGTGGAAAACTCAGTAGTAAGATCATGTGATTAGTACCCTTCATTGTCTTTTTTCTTTTCATTTAGCCCAACTTTGTTCATTTGTGTGTACCATTATCAGAGGATAAACTGTTTTTTTTGTTTTTTGTTTTTGTTTTGTTTTGGACCGAAGGCAACATGACCCCGTCTCTTTCGTTCTGTAGAAGCCCTCTATAAATACCAAAACAAGATCGACACTCGAATTGTGCCTTGGCCTTGACTACGAATATGACTTACATTGCATGCGTGTGCTCCAATCGGCGTTGCTATGAAGATATCTTTGAACATGTCTCAATCACATATTGATAGATAACTAAAGTAATTATTATTTCAAACCATAAAACTCCATTTTCCGTTCAACGCCGAGCCATAACACACCCACGAGTAGAATGTCCTCTGTTTTCATCATAACACGGCAGAGTGAGTTCCTGCACATCCAGAGGAACAATCGGTCGGTTTGCGCGGGTCATAGTACCCTCCACCTGAATGATCATTCGAATATTCATCATCTGTGTCACTTTCCACCTGGTCGCCCTGAGTCATCGTTTCTTTTACCCATTGAGGCGGGGCCTGTCCACCTGTTGGTTTTTTTGCAGCCGGCTCCTCATCCTCATCGTCCCCGAGAACGTTCTTCTTCGCTGCAGGAGGGGGCGGTGCCTTCACGGTGCTGAAAGAGCTCTTGAACCCTCCCTTCTTGAAGCCTCCACCACCAGTTGTGCCACTGGGAGCTGTGCCAGTGGCCTGGCTGGTGTTGATAACCCTTAAACCGGCATCTGCATCTGCCTTTTTCTCCGCTCTCCGGGCCTTTTCTGCTGCGTTAGGGTCTCGCGATAATTGCTTGAGATCTTGTAAGCGCTTGCGGTGTTGGTGATCATAGGACGAGATGTGTGCTTCGTATTCTGGATGACGCGAATAAGACTTGTTGCAAAGAGCACATGTGAAGGAGCTCAAGGCAGATCGCGCAGATTCGGTCTGTCCGGAGATTTGGTTAGTTGACAACGAGCGACGAGGGGACCTGAAAATCGTCCATACCTTGGGTGCTGGATTGGTGAAACCGCGCTAAAGAGCATGACAATGTAAGCCAGCCTATTAGTATTTAACGAGCCTTTTCAACTAGGACGGAAGACCAGTATAACTCAGGCGTTTTTTGGGGAGGGGCACACGTGTCGCCGATGGTAAAGGACATACAGGAGCCATTTTGGAAAATCGGATTGAAATTAGCGAAGCAAAAAAGTGTCTATTCTTCAAACCGCGACAAATGGCCTGGTACGACCACTTTGTGAAGAAAATCCTACTGGACAAAGAAGTGAAGCGGATCTTGTTGAATTGAAGCCCGATGGACGTCAGACCAGCCAATCACACCACCGAGATAAAAATGACCATTGATCGTCGAGAAATATATGTACAGCACAACTTGTGCATACACAACGCCAGTGATGAGTTGACGACGAGATTATAGATTTCATGATTTAATGGGTTGATTTTTGTTCTACCTTTTTCTCCCCTCCCCACCCCCCTCCCGTGTCTCTACAAGCGCTGCATATATATTCTGCATATATCTCTCTTTCGCTTTCCCTGCGTCACGCGGGTCACTATGAAACCAGACGATTTCGATACTCGGTCTGTCATCTCCATGCAGGAATTGGAGCCTTCACCGGTGACAGATGAAGGCCCTGATCTAGAGAATGGCAATTTATTCTCCGAATCTGAAAAAGCTATAATGTCACCGCAAGGAAATGGAAGTGGATTTTTCGGCCAGAAGCTCGGGCTGCGGGGACACAGCTGGGATTCATGGTGTATGGATATGAGATGAATCCTTAATAGCTGTTCCGGCTGGTATGACTAACCGTGGGTATGCTCTGCAGTATCTGCAATTCAGAAATACTCGACATATCCGCCAACGCTGTTTACCGTATTGCATTTCGCCAACACTTCCCTAATTCCGCTAGCGACCCGCTCTGTTGCAGACAGTGAGAGTTATCTACTTCTCACGAGAGAGTTCTACCAATCGCCGCCGTTAGAACATCTTGTCATCACCGTTCCAATCCTCACCCACATTGCTTCGGGACTCGTGCTCCGGAACATTCGTGCGTCTCGTCGGGCCCGGTTATATGGCGCGGAAACGCGGTCTCAGAGATATTCGTTGAAATTTTGGCCTCGCATGACGCTACAAGCTCGCTTGGGTTATCTTCTGGTTCCTCTCCTTGGTACTCATGTTTTGGTCAACCGTATAACACCGATTATGGTTGAAGGAGGAAGCTCAGGTGTTGGTTTGGGATACGTCGCACATGGTTTCGCTCGCAGTCCTGTCTTCTGGAACATATATTATGGACTTTTTGTTGCTGCGGGTGTGTGGCACATTGTTGGAGGCTGGGCTTCATGGATGGGATGGAGAGCCACCACTGTCCGGAGAGAACACCGCAGCAAGGGCTCATTAGAAGGGCATTTGGGAGAGGCCGAAGTAAACGCGCAGCGGGACAGGAGACAGAGAAGGACAAGGTGGATGGTCTATGGCATGGCTGCTATCGGGACCGCCGTCTGGCTTGCTGGTGCTCTGGGGACCATTGGGCGCGCTGGAGCTGGAGCTGGTTGGCAAGCGAAGAGTTGGAACGAATTATATCGCCAAGTCCCTGTGATTGGTGAATGGCTTTGAGTCAAAAGCCTGTAAGTGCACAACGATAAAACAGTAGAGAAAAGTATATAATATCCAAATAATGATAAAGCTGTCATGTGAAGTTCTTCCCCAGAGAATAGTGTCACGTGGTCTGTGCTTTTTTTTTTATTTTTTTTTTTTGCGACAAGACCTGCTTAACCAGCAGTTCTTTTCTCGCCAATTCAATTTGGCCCATTTATACGGGTTCATAAATGCGATCGATCCTATGTGCATCTTCTTTATATCCCAATATCCTCCGATCTACCTGCAAATTGAGACCTATTAGCGACAGTAGTCAGCTCGCTGTCCTTGGATTGTCACTCCGTGAACGATTCCTGAGAACTTCCCGCAATCGCATAAACGTCGGATACCCTAGGAAATTCCATACTAGATCACTGGTCATGACAGCAAAACCGGCTCAGAGTGCCGACCAATTGGTGCAGCATGACAGCGGGCAATACAAGGCAGTGAAGGAAGGGTTGGCATCTATTTTGACCCCGCCAACTCAGAGCAAGACTCAGACAAAAGATGCCAGGCCAGACAGACCAGACCATGAGGTTCAGTCGGTATTTTACAACCCGATCCAGCAGTTCAACCGGGACCTAAGTGTTCTCGCAATCAGAGCCTTTGGTGAACATGTGCTAGCGTCGAAGAAGAAAAAAGCGGAGAAGCGAAAGCAGAGAGTGACGGGGAACAAGAAAGGCACAAAGCGAAAGAGGGAGGAGGAGATCGGCCTGGAAGAGAAGCAGGAAACAGAAGATGTGCAGGAAAGCAAAGTCGCCGAAAACAATGAACCAGTCGCAGAATCGCATCCAGAACAGAACACCCCGCCGTCATTTACTATCCTCGATGCTCTGTCTGCCACCGGGTTGCGTGCTTTACGATATGCCTCGGAAATCCCGTTTTCCACATGTGTTGTGGCCAACGATCTCTCACCCTCGGCGATTCAGTCGATGAAGACGAACGTCGAATATAACGGGCTTGGGAAGAAGATTCAACCCAACATAGGCGACGCACGTGCTTATATGTACAGCTGCATTAGCCCCGGAAGTAGCAACAGCCAGGGAACCCACACGGGAAAGTTTGACGTGATTGATCTGGACCCCTACGGAACTGCAGCGCCGTTCCTGGATGCGGCAGTACAGGGTATCAAGGATGGGGGTCTTCTCTGCGTGACCTGCACCGATGCTGGTGTCTGGGCCTCGAATGGTTATCCCGAGAAATCATTTGCTTTGTATGGAGGCGTTCCAATCAAGGGAGGCCATTCGCACGAAGGCGGACTGCGTCTTATTCTACATGCACTCGCGACATCTGCTGCGAAATACGGACTCGCCATTGAACCACTCCTTTCTCTGTCGATTGACTTCTACGCGCGCGTTTTTGTTCGCGTACACCGGTCTCCACACGAAGTTAAATTCACATCAGGCAACATAATGCTGGTTTACAACTGCGACTCAGGTTGTGGAGCATGGTCCACACAACTACTGTCAGCGACAAAACAAAGATTGGACAAGAAAGGGAACCCATTCTACCATTATGGCTTTGCTCAAGGGCCCACCGCAGGTCCGCACTGCTCACACTGCGGGATCAAGACGCATTTGGCAGGGCCAATGTGGGCTGGTCCACTTCATAACCCCCATTATATTCAGAAAATCCTCGACATGCTTCCTGGAGCAGACAAGGAGATATACCAGACCATTGACAGAATTGAGGGCATGCTGACCACAGCTCTTGAGGAAGATCTGGACCTTGCCTCTTCTTCTACTACCACCTCGGAGCAGCTCGATGCCGATGTCACTAAAAAAGAGAATGATAATAAGCCCGCTGAGCCGTCAGCTATCATCCCGCGCCTCGACCCCGCAGCCCAGGAACCGTATCCCTTCTACATGAACATCAGCTACTTGTCAAAGGTGTTGCGCACATCGACAATGCCCGTCGACTCGTTTCGTGGGGCTCTTCGTCATCTCGGCTACCGCACAACCCGTAGTCATGCAAAGCCGAATACCATCCGCACAGACGCTCCTTGGGAAGTAATATGGGAAGTCATGAGAGAATGGGTTCGGCAAAAATCCCCCATTAAAGAGAGCTCTCTCAGTCCCGGCTCCCCGGGGGCAGCCATCATGGCAAGAAGCCGGGAAAACCTTCGCAGGTTTGATGAACAGGACCAGCTGCTAGCTTCACTTAAGAGTGAGATATTGTCTGCCGTGGAAAGTGGCAAGGATGCGAGTGATCTGGTGACCAAGGTTGAAGCGGCCTTGTACCGGTCTGGGTCCAGACAGGCATCAAGTAAAGCCGTCGAGGGCGAGGCCGAAGCAGGAGCTGCTCAAAAGCCAGCAACGACTTCTTCCACTGCCACACCGCATCCTAGCACCTTGGAGGTCATATTCGATGAGGCTTTGGGCAGGGAGGCGTCTGCAGCCAACACGAAGAAACGACTCGTTCGCTATCAGGTGAACCCTCGAGCAAATTGGGGTCCTCTTAGCCGAGCCAGTGCAAGCTGAGGCAATGACTGGTGCTTTTGATAATCGGGAATGTAATATAATACACGAGATATATGAAAGTGCGTACATGTGTTTTTGAATGCTTATTTCTATCCACGGAGCATGACATGGCGCAAAGAAGACCCAAAACAACCGTCAAGGCTGTCGTGCGGCAATTAGACAAGTCTTAGGAAGATCAAGAGAGTCAATCCATCATGAAGTCTATTACAAAAAGTCATTAATAAAAAAGATTAAAGTAACAAGTCATGCCATAAGAACAGGCTTCAATACAAACAAGCATAAAACCGCACCCATGAAATAAGAAATCAGAAAGCTCATTTACTCGTCTATAGATCATGCACATAAGCCCTATTCACATTTTTCTCCGTCCACATAATCAGAACTGGGAAACTGCAACTGCAACAGCCTGAGAGTCACTGTGACTAATGCTGACATTAACACCCTTCACGCCGGCTTGGCTGGCAGCGTCGGCCGCAGCACCGTGCAAGTTGACCAATGGTGCTCCATTCGTGTCATTTGCAATCTCAATGTCCTTCAAGGGAGCACCAGCACCCTTGCTGGAGACACCGAGAGACTTGAAGACGGCTTCCTTGGCGCTCCACCGTCCTGCAAACGAGGACTGTGGCGATGCGGCCTTGCGACAGTACTCTTGCTCACTGGCCGTGAAGTTGCGCTCAATGAATGTCTCATTGTCGATGTTCACAGCTTCAATGTTCTCCACATCCACTCCGATCTTCGAGTTCTCGGCGGCATTGGCCTTGGCGAGGGACTCGACCACTTGACGAGTGCTCTCAGCACCCTTGTCCTCGGTCTTGGGAGGGACGGCAGGGAACTTGAGCTCGGAGGTCTTTTTGTCGGCCGTCACGCGATAATCGGGGTTGAGGAAGACCTGGCTCTGAATGTCGTCCTCGTAAGGAGCCTTGCTCTTGGCGACGAAGATGCTGTTGTTGACCAGGCCGTTATGGAAATAACGGTAGGCTTTCTTCTGTCTGGATTCAACTTTGGTCTTATAGGTCTGGAACTGGGCCTGGTCAAGGGTTGCGTAGAGATACTTGGGGTGAATACCAATGACCTGAGCACCCTTTTGACCGAATCCGAAGGAGGTGACAGAGAAGGCCTTGATACCATCTGTTTGGATGCTACGGCTGGGGTAGACGATGTAGTCGAACTTCTCCAAAGTTTTGTCAACGTTATCGGCGTTGCGGTTTCCGGGAACAAGACCAGTGTCCAGGACCTGCAAGCAGCCGTTGAACATCCAAGCACCAGCAGCACCCTTCGGGTGACCCGTGAGATACTTCTGGAAAATACCCATGAGGGCGTTGCCCTTCTTGCGGCCGAGGTGCTTCATCTGCTGGCAAATGACGTCGGACTCATTCTTGTCGTTGGCAACGGTCGAAGTACCGTGGAAGGACGCGACATTAACGTCATCGATGGTGAGACCCCAGGTGGCCAGGGCACCACGCAGAGGAGCAATGCGAGAATCTTGCTTCCAGAAGTTATTACCCAGACTGAATTGTGCATCCTTCTCCTGGCGAACAGCCTCTCGCTCGACGTGACGGGCGCGTTCTTGCATGTATTCGGACGTGTCGAACTCTGAGTCCTGAGCCTTCATGGCATCCACCTCTTCCTGGAGGTAGAGCAGTTCCGACTCTTGCCACTCTTTGATTTGCCTCCGACGCAGGTCGAGCTGTCTGCGACGGTACTTGATGTCCAGGAGCGGGGACGGAAACTTGCCAGGGTTTTCACGGGCCGTGGTGAGGACACCCTGACCGGGGGCGGGAACGGAACGTCCGATCTTATCAGTGGCGGTCGTGGACAAGGCCAACACACCGTAGATGGGGACGCCCATATCCAAGGCCAGCTGGCCATTCATAAGGAGTTGCATACCGCAACCCTGAGATTCCATAAAACCGGCACGGGTGGTGGTGGTGGGACGCGACATCTCCTGTGGGGTACGACCATGAGCGAATTCGTCTTCGGCGTTGCTAGTCGCCTTCATGTTGGCGAATTCATACGAGCCTTCCTCCTGGAAGTCGTCAAAACCACCGACGAAGCAAACACGGGCCTTGCCTTCGACGATGGTCTCGTAACCGATGTCAACGGACTCGACAGCCGTGGCACAAGCACCGACGGGGGTCTTGATGGGACCGGTCGACGACAGAAGCAACATGTTGACCCAGGCGCTCATAGTGTTGATGAATGACTCCTGAAGGATGTCCTTCTGCAGCGGCTTGTCGAGGTAACGGTCCTTGTACATGCCGCGCAAGGCGTGGGTACCACCAATACCGGAACCAATGCAGTTACCGACCTCCGACAAGTGAACATACTTGTAGAACTCGTACGGGTCGGTAACACCGGCCGACAGCATCGCTTCAGCTGTGCAGACCAGAACGAACAGGGTAACCGGATCAACCTGCTCGATGATATCGTCGGGGATACCATACCGCTTGGCGTCCCAGCCAGTGGGGATCTGGCCAGCCACAAGACGGTCAAACTGTAGCGCCTTGGGGATGAGAAGCGTAGCGCCCTTCCTGAGACGCACAGTGTATTCGCCTGATTCGAGCTCAAAAATCTCCACCTTGTCGCCATGCTCGCGCTTAAACTCCTCTGCGGTCTCCTTGGACGCCTCGAAGGGGTCGAGGTCGTGCTCGATGACAATCTCCTGAAGCAACTGCTTCTGCTTGGGGTCATATCCTTTGAACAGCTCGGGCTCGATGAGACGGATACCCGAGTGCTCGAGAATGTGCTTCTCGTACTTGGTCTTTACGTCCTTGTCGTCAACGGGGTCGCCGGTCTTGGCGTCAACCCATCCCGCATACGCCTTACCCTTGATCGGGCCATTGTGGTGCCGAATGAGACCCATGATCCATGCCATCTCCACGCAACCCTCGAGGGAGAACTTGCCGTGAGCCTCCATCTCCCAGCGAGTGCGGGAGTTACCCCATGGTCCGACTTCAGAGAAACCAGTGACGACGACAGCCTTATCCAGATTGACCATGCCCTTGAGGTTCTCGTTGAGGGGCTTGACATCCTTCTCCCAGTCAGGGAGGTTGGGGAATTGGAATTTAATGTTAGCACGAGGCTCAGCAACGACCTTCTTGTAGAGCACCGCGCTGTCCTCGCCGTTGACGATCTTGTTCTCGATGGCAGTCTCCTTGATGACAGCCTGGCGCACGTCACTAGTCTCCATGATCTCGGTACGGAGCTTGGTCATGAGAGCCTTCAGATCGGGGATGAATTGCAGGCCACCGTTGAGGTCAGCCCACACTGGATCGATCTGGCAGAGGTTGACGACGGCGGGGGCCATGAGACCAAGCAAGTTGAAAGCCATCTCTTGCTGGGAAAAGGTGCGAACGCCAAGCTTCTCGACACCTTCAGCGACCATGTTGTTACCGCTCATCAGGCCAGTGCCACGGGTCCAGCCAATGACAGCACCGCAGATAGTGAGATAGTTGCTCCAGTTCTCCGAGTGCCAGCGGTTGAACAGAGTCTCCAGGCCCAGTTTGGATTCGGAGTAAAGACCATCGTTTCCGAACGTGCCATGGTTGGGGGACAAGGGAAGAATAACCTGAGCGGGCCGCGTCTCGAAGCCGCGGGTCTGCTTCTGGGCCTTGATGCTACCCAAGAGGCGCAAAACGTTGGTCAACATGATGCGGTGGGCGAGTTCGGATTTGGAGTCGAGGGAGTCGATCTCACGACCGTTCTCAGGGATGGCGGCGAAGGGAACGACAAAGTCCAGGTCCCATCCAAGACCCTTCTTGGTATCGTAGACGTACTCAATCAGGGCCTCGACATCCTGTTTGCTGCCCTGGTTGAAGGGGACCACGACGAGCTGCGAGCCACGGGCACCGTAGCGAGCGTACATGCTCTGGTAGTATTCGGTGACCTCGCGAGAGTAGCGGCTGGTGGTGACGATGACCTTGGCACCACCGCTGATCAAGCCCTGGAGGACCTCTGCACCGATGGATCCAGCACCAGCACCGGTCATGAGAACGTTCTTGCCCTCGAAGGACAGGCCGGCTCGGGCAGCAGACTCGAGGACGTCGAGGTAGACACCGGTGAGCTTCTTGTTGTAGTCCCAGCCATGCTCCGACTTCTTCTTGAGGTGCAGGAAGGGAATGGTTTCGACCTTGCCAGCGCGCGGGGGCTTGATGCCGTTGCGGCTCTTCTTCGTCCCGCTGCCACCATTCTCCTGGGGCATGATCTGGTTTTCGTTCATGTTGAGGGCGCGCAGGACATCCCTGTACAGAGTGTTGAATTGGAGCTCGGTGGCCTTGGACATGCGATGCTGCTTCTTGATCAACTTGTAGACACTCCGCAGGTCATTCTGAACCTTAGCGCGGTTGCTGTACTCCGAGATGGGACCGGCCTCGGCCATCTGCTTGACATAATGCTCCAGTTTGCGAGCACTGGCGCGTGGTACCTCTTGGTACCCGATGTTCCCGCGCGCATCGATGGTGGTCTGGGGCGCGGTGGGGACGGCGACATCCTTGTAGACGGGAGACACGCCGAGAACCTCCTTGCAGTTCTCGATGAGCTGCTGGCCCAGCTCCTTGGCGAGGTGGTAGGTCTCGCCGCGGTCCGTGGGGCAGTTGTCGATATGATACTGCATGAAGTCGAGAAGGAGCGGGTTGGAACGGTTCATGATGCGAATGCACTGACTGACGATCTCGCGGTCGACAACCTGAAGACGTCCGAAGATGATGTCGTAGTACATGCTCAAGGCATCCTGACGAGCCCAATTCCAGGACGAATCGTACACACGGGCCTTGAGCGGGTCGAAGGATGGCTCAATGCCCGATGCGTAGAAGTCGCCGTGCTCCGTTTGCCACAAGTCCAGCTGCGCCTGGAGCGTTTTCTGGGTCTCCTGGGAGGTGATGAAAGCCTTGTCACCGGACCGGAGGTCCATTTTCAGATACTGGGCGATGATTTCGAGTTGTTGCTTGAAGAGGGCACGCTGGTCCTTGGTCAAGGCATCAATAGCGGCAGGATCCATGAGCATGCCACCACTGCTAGCTCCGCTGTCACCACCGGCGGCCGGGGTGGACAGACTGATGCCGGCGTTGGCTGCATACTTGTTGGCGGTATCGTCGAGGTAAGCCTTGGCATCTGCCTCGGAACCCAGACGGGACGGAGGCTCCATGGTGAGGGCCAGCAGGAGGACACCGTCCTGGCGGCCGGAACCCAGACCCCACCTGGTCTCCAAGTACTTGCGAACGGCAGTGATATTAAAGCCACCGGGCATCTTGGAGGAAACCAAGCGGGCAATAAGGGAAGATGACTGTTTGCCCAATTGCCCGTTGAAGGTAGCCTGCATCGCGGCACCCAACTCATCCAGCGGAGTGTCTTCTGGCTTCTCTGGCGTGGAACCAAATTCCTTACCCAAATCTCCGAGAATTTCATTTTGAAGAGTAGATTTGCCTAGACAGTCACAAAATTAGTATTCATATGATATAGATATCCTTGGAAAGAGAAGACATACCGCCCACAAGGTCTTTGATAGCTTTGGTCAGAGGCACATCGGCCAGAGACTTCTTCAATTTCTGAGCAACCAATGATCTAAGTACATCAACTGCATTGACGGGAACATCTTCAACAGCGGCAGCAGGTCCAGCAGGAGCAGCAACTGGGGCCGCTGCAGCAGCAGCAGCGGGTGCAGAAGCGGCGGGGGTCGAGGCAGCACCCGATTCGGGAGCAGGTTCGGGCTCCTCCTCAATAGGGTCGACATCGTAGTAGATTTCCTTTGCGTCCTTGTTGTAGCAGAGAATTTGACGTTGTACGGAAGTGGCAGCATCGTAGGCTTCATATTTGGAGGCTAGTGTACGCCTGGCCATCCCACCCAAAGTGTCTGCGGGACCAATTTCGACGATACGTTCGGTGCGTTGCTCAGCGAGGACGACATCTTGAGTTTCAATCCACCTGACAGGCGAGGCAAACTGATAGGCGAGCAACTCGACCAGCAGGGTGTGCGAGAGCTCCTGCTCAACTTCGGGGCGCATATTTAGGGAAGGGTATCACGGAAGAGGATGAGAGGAAAGGATAATTCGAGGTGGGGAGGGATTGTGAATATGTACAAGTCAGAGAGTCCAGTTGTCCGCTAGCCGGGGGAGAAGAGGATAAAAAAAAATTAGGTATAGACAGTTAAAGGATATAAAGAAGGAGTCCTAGACATGCAATTAGTATGGCAAAGAGAAATGGCAGGTATATGGATGCATACCCCAAATAGTGCTTGCTAACAATGGAGAAGAGAGAGAGAGAGAGATGAAGATGGAAGACCAGTAGTGGAGGACGGGATTAGTGTACGGAAAACCCCGACTCGGCCGCAATTCGGCGACAGTCAATACATAGTACACACACTCTACGGAGTACTACTAGTGTGTACTGGCTTTTGGTGAGTGTTGGGGGGTTGACAACAACAGGTGGACCAGAGAAAAAAATGTCACAGTGTATGGATCTGTATTAATCTGTATTGAGATGTGTTTGTCTGAGATGTGATTGGCCAATGGCTCTGATTAATAACAAGTGGATACAAGCATTGTCAATATGCTTGTACATATAGTATGGTACAGTACCCTTTCCAGGGCAATACCCCTGTAGTAACATGCTCTACGCTGTACCCCTCGGGTATAGAATGGATTGTTATGCACAGAATTCCTATCTATATCACTGTCTCTGTGAAACTCGGGATGCCGGTATGGTACTGTAATACCGCCAAAGATGGAACGCCCCACCAGGTCCAGCCCAACCGTTTGGACCTTTGGGGGGCTATTCCCAATTAGGAGGGGGCGTGGTCAACCAGATTTTTCATACCAGTTGTGTGTACTCCGTACGGGGAGTACATAGCAGTAATAATAGTACATGGAAGAAATGCAGAAGATACTTGACATTGAATTGACTAGCAGAGCCCGTTGAATTGACTGTGTGCACTTAGTACGGAGTACTACTACAGACATAATTGTGCTGGTACTGGCGATCAACAACTGGCTCTCCGGTCCCCGCCATATCCATCCATAACTTTTTTTCCCATAGTCTTGCTCGCTCTCTCTCTCCCTCCCCTCCACCTCACATACTCTCTCCTCTTCCTCTTTCTCTTCCTCCTATTCTTCTCTCTTCCCTTCATTGTAATATTCTTTCTTTTTTATGATCATTTATTCTTCTATTTGATTCCCTCTTGTGTCATTTCGCATTGCATCCGTGCTTGAGGTGAGCCCACTTGGATGTACTTGGACGTTCTTGACCGGAATAAAGGCTAACAATTCAAAGAGCTAGAAGATTATCATTTATTATCATCCTTTGTTAAACGAATAGACACGACACCATCATGTACGGAACAGCCCCCCAGACGGGCATTAATACCCCCCGGTCTTCTCAATCTTTGCGTCCTCTCATCTTGAGCCATGGCTCGCTTGAATTCTCGTTCCTCGTCCCGACCTCCATTCACTTCCACGCCTCTCAGTTAAAAGACTCCTTCACGGCTTCGTTACCGGAACCAACAGATGAGCTGGCTCAGGACGATGAACCTTCGTCCGTTGCCGAGTTGGTCGCTCGCTATATTGGCCACGTCGCCCACGAAGTTGAGGAAGGCGAGGATGATGCCCAAGGGACGTATCTGGAAGTCCTGAAATTGGGTCTCAACGAGTTCGAGCGGGCTTTCATGCGTGGTAATGATGTTCACGCCGTTGCTGCTGCTCTGCCCGGTATCTCTGCAAAGCGTGTTGCTGTTGTCCAGGCCTACTACGCCGGCAGAGCTGCTGCCGGCCGTTCCACCAAGCCTTACGACTCGGCCCTCTTCCGTGCCGCCTCGGAGGAGAAGGCTAGCATCTATTCCGTATTTGGGGGCCAGGGTAACATTGAAGAATACTTTGATGAATTGCGGGAGATCTACACCACCTATCCCTCATTTGTGGAAGATCTTGTCAACCCCGCTGCCGAACTGTTGCAGTCGCTCTCCCGTGAACCAGAGGCCAGCAAGTTGTATCCCAAGGGTCTGGATATTCTGCGATGGCTCCAGGACCGCGACTCCCAGCCCGACACTGATTACCTGGTTGCTGCTCCCGTTAGCTTACCATTGATCGGTTTGGTTCAATTGGCTCATTTCACGGTCACCTGCAAGGTCTTGGGCCGCGAGCCTGGCGAGGTGCTCGAACGTTTCAGCGGTACTACCGGCCATTCTCAGGGTGTCATCACTGCCGCTGCCATCGCCTCGGCCACCTCCTGGGATTCTTTCCGCAAGGCTTCCCGGGATGCCTTGACCATGCTCTTCTGGATCGGTCTCCGCAGCCAGCAGGCCTACCCCCGCACTTCCATCGCGCCTTCTGTGCTGCAGGACTCGATAGAAAATGGCGAGGGCAATCCAACTCCCATGCTGTCCATCCGTGATCTCCCTAAGTCTGCGGTTCAGGAACATATCGATGCTACCAACCAGCATTTGCCCACTGACCGTCACATCTCGATCTCCCTGGTCAACAGCGCTCGGAACTTTGTCGTCACTGGTCCCCCACTCTCGCTCTATGGTCTGAACCTGCGTCTTCGCAAGGTCAAAGCTCCCACAGGCTTGGACCAGAACCGGGTTCCCTTCACTCAGCGCAAGGTCCGCTTTGTCAACCGCTTCCTTCCCATCACCGCCCCCTTCCACAGTCAATATCTGTCCTCGGCCTACGACCGCATCCTGGAAGATCTGAATGCTGCCAAAATTCAAATTCCCGCCAAGACTCTCGCTATTCCCGTTTACGGGACCCGCACTGGTGAGGACCTCCGGAGCTCCAGCGCCGACAACGACGTCGTCCCGGCCTTGGTTCGCATGATTACCCATGACCCCGTCGATTGGGAACAGGCCACTGTTTTCCCCAATGCCACACACATTGTCGACTTTGGCCCCGGTGGCATCTCCGGCCTGGGCGTCCTCACCAACCGCAACAAGGACGGAACAGGCGTGCGCGTCATCCTGGCCGGTGCCATCGATGGTACCAACGGCGAGGTCGGTTACAAGCCCGAGTTATTTGACCGGGACGAGCACGCCGTCCAGTACGCCATAGACTGGGTCAAGGAATTTGGTCCCCGTCTGGTCAAGAATGCCGCCGGCCAGACTTTTGTCGACACCAAGATGAGCCGCTTGCTAGGTATTCCTCCCATCATGGTGGCCGGTATGACGCCCACGACCGTGCCTTGGGACTTTGTGGCGGCCACCATGAAAGCCGGCTATCACGTCGAACTGGCTGGTGGTGGCTACTACAATGCCCAATCCATGACTGCCGCCATCTCCAAGATTGAGAAGGAAATCCCGCCGGGACGGGGTATCACCGTTAACCTTATCTACGTGAACCCCCGGGCCATGGCCTGGCAGATCCCCTTGATCGGGCGGTTGCGCGCGGACGGTGTGCCCATCGAAGGCCTCACCATCGGCGCCGGTGTGCCCTCCATCGAGGTTGCCAACGAGTACATCGAAACACTGGGCATCAAGCACATCGCCTTCAAGCCCGGTTCCGTCGACGCCATTCAGCAGGTCATCAACATCGCCAAGGCCAACCCCAAGTTCCCCATCATCATGCAGTGGACCGGTGGCCGTGGTGGAGGTCACCACTCGTTCGAAGACTTCCACCAGCCCATCCTGCAGATGTACACCCGCATCCGGAGATGTGAGAACATTGTCTTGGTTGCCGGCAGTGGTTTCGGTGGCTCGGAGGACACCTACCCTTACTTGTCCGGAAACTGGTCGTCGCGGTTCGGCTACCCCCCCATGCCGTTTGACGGCTGTTTGTTTGGAAGCCGCATGATGACCGCCAAGGAAGCCCACACCTCCAAGAACGCAAAGAAGGCGATTGCTGACGCTCCGGGTCTCGACGACCAGGACTGGGAGAAGACCTACAAGGGCCCAGCTGGTGGCGTAGTCACTGTCTTGTCCGAAATGGGTGAGCCGATCCACAAGCTGGCCACTCGCGGTGTCTTGTTCTGGCACGAGATGGACCAGAAGATTTTCAAACTTGACAAGGCGAAACGTGTGCCCGAGCTGAAGAAACAGCGGAACTACATCATCAAGAAGTTGAATGATGACTTCCAGAAGGTCTGGTTCGGCCGCAATGCCGCCGGCCAGGCCGTCGACCTCGAGGATATGACCTACGCCGAGGTTGTGCACCGGATGGTGGATTTGATGTATGTTAAGCACGAGTTCCGCTGGATTGACGACTCTCTCAAGCGGTTGACAGGCGATTTCATTCGCCGGGTGGAAGAACGCTTCACCTCAGCTGATGGCAAGCCGTCGTTGCTTCAGAGCTACTCGGAACTCAACACCCCCTATCCGGCCGTGGACAACATCCTGGCCGCATACCCCGAAGCGGCGACGCAGCTCATCAACGCCCAGGATGTGCACCACTTGTTGCTACTTTTCCAACGTCGTGGCCAGAAACCGGTGCCCTTCGTGCCCTCGTTGGACGAAAATTTTGAGTACTGGTTCAAGAAGGACTCGCTGTGGCAGAGTGAAGATCTGGAAGCCGTCGTCGATCAGGACGTCGGCAGAACATGTATCCTGCAAGGCCCGATGGCCGCCCGTTTCTCCACTGTTGTCGACGAGCCGGTCCAGGACCTTCTGAACGGCATCCACCAGGGCCACATTGCGGATCTGGTCCGGGATGTGTACGGTGGTGATGAGGCCCAGGTTCCCGTCATCGAATACCTGGGCGGGCAGCTTCATGACTCGGACGAAGCAGACGCTGACGGCCTCACGATTCTGGAAGATGCGGGCAAGATTACCTACCGGTTATCCTCGGCCCCCACGGCTAACCTGCCGGAGCTTGACCACTGGCTGCGCCTCCTGGCAGGCAAATCGTATTCCTGGCGCCATGCACTCTTCCAGGCGGACGTGTTTGTCCAAGGCCACCGTTTCCAGACAAATCCCATGAAGCGGATCGCTGCTCCCACGCCTGGGATGTACGTTGAGATCACCAATCCCACCGATCTGTCCCAGACAACCATCAGTGTGCAGGAGCCCGGCCAGTCGGGCAAGCTCATCACGACGGTGGAGGCGAAGATGAACGAGCAGAAGCAGGTCAGCTTGACCTTGCTCGAGCCACGGACGGCTGAGAACGGCGTGGTGCCTCTTACCTTCCTCTTCACGTACCATCCGGAGGCCGGCTATGCCCCCATCCGTGAGGTCATGGGTGACCGCAATGACCGCATCAAGGAATTCTACTATCGCGTCTGGTTCGGCAACAAGGACGTTCCATTCGACACACCCATCACGGCGACCTTCTCCGGCGGCCGTGCGACCATTACTCCTCAGGCCGTTGCCGACTTTGTCCATGCCGTTGGCAACACCGGTGAAGCGTTCGTCGACCGTCCAGGCAAGGAAGTCTTCGCCCCGATGGACTTTGCCATTGTTGCGGGGTGGCAGGCCATCACAAAGCCCATCTTCCCTCGCACTATTGACGGGGATTTGCTGAAGCTGGTCCACTTGTCGAACGGCTTTAAGATGGTGCCAGGCGCGCAGCCCCTGAAGGTCGGTGATATCTTGGACACTACCGCTCAGATTAACGCCGTCATCAACCAAGACTCTGGCAAGATGGTGGAGGTTTGCGGCACCATCATGCGAGATGGTCAGCCGATCATGCATGTCACCAGTCAGTTCCTGTACCGCGGTGCGTATCTGGACTTCGAAAACACGTTCCAGCGCAAGGATGAGGTGCCGATGCAAGTTCACCTGGGCACTAGTCGGGATGTCGCCATCCTTCGCTCCAAGGAATGGTTCCGTCTGGACGAGCCGGATGTTGAACTCCTCGGTCAGACCTTGACTTTCCGTCTGCAGAGTCTGATCCGGTTCAAGAACACATCTGTCTTTAGTCATGTCCAGACGGTCGGTCAGGTCCTTCTGGAGCTTCCGACCAAGGAGGTCATTCAGGTTGCCTCCGTGGACTACGAGGCTGGGGACTCCCACGGAAACCCCGTCATCGACTATCTCGAGCGAAACGGCACGTCCATCGAGCAGCCCGTCTACTTTGAGAACCCTATCCCTCTGAGCGGCAAGACCCCTCTGGTTCTGCGAGCCCCGGCCTCGAACGAGACCTATGCGCGGGTCTCCGGGGACTACAACCCAATCCACGTCTCGCGTGTCTTCGCCAGCTACGCCAACCTTCCTGGTACGATTACGCATGGCATGTACTCCAGTGCTGCTGTCCGTAGCTTCGTGGAAACCTGGGCCGCGGAGAACAACATCGGCCGTGTCCGCGGTTTCCACGTCTCACTGGTTGGCATGGTTCTGCCCAATGACGTGCTTACCGTCAAGCTGCAGCATGTTGGTATGATCGCAGGTCGCAAGATCATCAAGGTCGAGACGAGCAACAAGGAGACTGAGGACAAGGTTCTTCTGGGTGAAGCTGAGATCGAGCAACCCGCCACGTCGTACGTGTTCACCGGCCAGGGCTCGCAGGAGCAGGGAATGGGTATGGAATTGTACAACAATAGTCCTGTTGCCAGAGAAGTCTGGGACCGTGCGGATCGCCATTTCCTGGAGAACTATGGTCTTTCCATCATTGACATCGTCAAGAATAACCCTAAGGAGCTGACCGTCTACTTTGGTGGACCCCGTGGTAAGGCCATTCGTCAAAACTACATGTCGATGACCTTCGAGTCCGTGAATGCAGACGGCTCCATCAAGTCCGAGAAGATCTTCAAGGGAATTGACGAGAACACTGCCTCTTACACCTACCGTTCGCCTGCCGGCCTCCTCTCGGCCACTCAGTTCACGCAACCCGCCTTGACGTTGATGGAAAAGGCAAGCTTTGAAGACATGCGCTCCAAGGGTCTTGTCCAAAGGGACAGCAGCTTTGCTGGTCATTCGCTTGGTGAATACTCTGCACTTGCTGCGCTTGCTGATGTTATGCCCATTGAGAGCTTGGTTTCCGTGGTTTTTTACCGCGGTTTGACAATGCAAGTGGCTGTCGAGCGTGACGAACAAGGCCGCTCTAACTACTCGATGTGCGCTGTCAACCCTAGTCGTATCTCCAAGACCTTTACCGAGCAAGCGTTGCAGTACGTGGTCGGAAATATTTCGGAGCAGACTGGCTGGCTTCTGGAAATTGTCAACTACAACGTTGCCAACATGCAGTATGTCGCTGCCGGTGATGTAAGTTTTTTTTTTTTTTTTTTTTTTTTTTTTTTATTTTTAATATTCGCTAATAAATAATCTTAGCTCCGTGCGCTCGACTGCCTTACCAATGTTCTTAACTACCTGAAGGCTCAGAACGTTGACATCCCGGCTCTTATGCAAAGCATGTCTTTGGAGGATGTCAAGGCTCACTTGGTGAAGATCATCCAAGAATGCCAAAAACAAACTGAATCAAAGCCCAGGCCGATTGCGCTTGAGCGTGGATTTGCTACCATTCCCCTTCGTGGAATTGATGTGCCCTTCCACAGCACCTTCTTGCGTTCCGGTGTCAAGCCCTTCCGGTCCTTCCTTCTCAAGAAGATCAACAAAACTACGATTGATCCCAGCAAGTTGATCGGAAAGTACATCCCCAACGTCACTGCTCGTCCGTTCGAAATCACCAAGGAGTATTTCGAGGATGTTTACCGTCTCACCAACTCCCCCAGGATTGCTCATATCTTGGCCAATTGGGAGAAATATGAACAGGATACCGAGGGTACTACAACTGCTTAGAGACCATACCCCAATACCCCAATTTAGTTTTTGTAATGTGTTTCTAAAAGAATAGCGCCGCTGGTTTTATATGTTGATATGTTCTTCATTTTGCTATCTTCTCATTCAAAATCATGTTAAGACTTTAACAATTATAAATAATGAATCATGTTTGTCTGATGAATGAGTTGTCACTTCCTTAATCGTCATATCACTACTTGATCTCTTGACATTCTTCTAAATATTCAATCAACTTGTGACAGTATTCAATCTCCAACTGTGGTTGTATATTATTGTCAATATGTTCTTGACATTCTCTAGTAGATGCTAATGACAAATCACCGTCTTAGTCTGGCCTGTTGCATTCATATTGGGCTCCAGGGCCTCGTTGCAATTTAATGTAGGCGAACTTTCGAGCCCAGTTTAACTGTTCAGACTCCCGGGCCGCAACAGCCTATCTTCTTTGCCGTAGACACTCACGTCTTTGACGATTGCAATAAATCTCCGATGGTTTTCCTTGGATTCGCCGATCCGAGGACGGAAAATCTTTAGCAGGTCACTGCTAAGAATACCAGATGCGGGGATGGCAGCATGGATTTCGACTGGTGTCGGAAACCCCTGGCTGCCACCAGAAGGGACTGGAGTAGATACTCGAGTTTGGCCTGTGTCGATATAATGTCAGCACAAAACTTCCTTAAAACCGGCGCCGTGGAGGAAGGAAACAGAAAAGGGGAGAGGAGGAAGAACTTGCCTCTCATCGGTACTCCCCCGTCCGGGCTACTAGCACGACTGCCCGTGAAACCTCGATTTCCTATAGCCGTTGGACTACCTACTCTGGACCCTTGGGGTGTCCCGGTCTGTGAAGAGGTAGGGGGGTTGAGTTTCAACTTCTTCGTCTTCCCACTCTCGCTCATTTCCCCTCCCGAAGCTGCGCCTCCATCAACGTCGCTGGTAGACCCTGCACCACCGCCAGGAACATTTCTTACGCGTTTCTTTCCAGCCTATAGGGACAAGGTCAATGGTCTTCCCCAACCTATTGGGTATTTTTTAGTGAAAACTTACCGGTGCCGAAGATGGTGCGGCGGGGGAATGAGGACGAGAATCCGGTTGCGATGTAGGTTGCTGAGTTGAAGGGTGTTTACTCTTCGTCTTCTTGCGAGAGGTATCCGTGCCACTGGCATCTGAAGCATTAGGAGATCCCAATCGCTTCCGAGGTTGCGTGGATGTGCCCTTTTTCAAGGGGTTTGTATGCTTAGGGCGACCCGAAGGCGTGCTACCACTCTTCGTCGATGCAGCGGACTCCTTTTTGTTTCTTTCCTCTTCGGCTTTCCGTTCTTCTTCCTTTGCCCGCTCTTCCTCGCTTTCATCGGAGCTCTAGTGGAGTGAGGTCAGTGAAATGTTGTCGGAAATGGCGAAAAAAAAAAAAAAAAAAAAAGGAAAGCATACCTCATCGTCGGAGTATGGATTCACATCGGAACCACTACTATAGTCATAGTTCTTCTCTCTCTTCTTGAGCGCTTTCCGAACGCCCTTTCCTTGCACACGTCTGGCTTCTTTTTCCTTTCTCTCCTTACGCTCCTCCTCTTCGTAGTCCCTCTCATCTTTAAGATCGAAGACGTTCGCCTTCAGCTGATCTTTCTTGATTCGCTTTTCGGCTGTCTTTGCCTCTTCGTCTTCATTAAAGAGATCATCATGCTCTTCGTCGTCCGCAAACCTGTCCTCCTCGAAATCCATTTCATCTGCTTCCAAACCTTCCCCACCACCTGGAGTGCCCTGTTTTCCAGCGTAAACTTTACGCTGTTTTGCAAAGCTTTCCAGTTCCTTCTTTTCTGCCTGTTCCTGTTGTTTTTCCATGAACCATCTCGGATCTTTGATTTTCTTCGCCATGAACTTCTCGGCCTCCTCGATTGTTAACGCCTTAAATTGGTTCTTGACATTGAATTTGTACCATTTCTCCACCGGGATCATTCTCATCTTTCCTGTGTTCTCAAGTACGAATATTGCGTGTGTTTCTGACAAAGCGGCCTCGTAGTTCCCTACCCAGGTGTTCTTGTTATCAAAGTCTTCCAGATGCCAAGGCAAAGCTTCCTCGTATTTGATCCGTGTTCTGGCAACTTCTTCGGGTGTCATTTCTGCCTTGTAAACCTGTTGGGTCTTCTGTTTCGGTACGTTCGCCCGCTTCGGTGCTGATCCGGCAGACGGGGCAATCTGAGCAAGGTTCTCAGCGCGCTCCTTCTCGCGGGCAGCTTTCTTGGCTTCCAACTCTTCACGTTCTGCTTCGTCCAATTGTTGGGGGTCTAGGAACTTCTCGGGGTTTTGAGACTTCTCTTCGTTCGTTGCATGGGTTTTTGCACGAGGATCCCGACGCTGGAGTCGCACGGGACGAGTGAACTGCGATTCATCTCGCGGATCTATGTTTTTCTTGGAAGCAAACCTCGCGACATGGTGTTTCAAACCTTCGCGCAATGCTCGCTTTGTTGTCACTATTGGATAGTCCACATACGTTTCAGATAGTAAGGGACCGCTGAAACCGTTCGTTGACAAGTCGTCTCTCGCAGGGACTGAAATGATTGGCTGGGGAGCAGGCCGCGGTGGCAACGATTTGGAAGCTGTTGCATGTACCGATGGCGTAGGAGCAGCTGGTCTTGATGCAGGTTTTTTCTTCGGTCGCACTAAAGGGTCGGCCATCTTTGGACGGCGTATCTTCATTGGACGAGCCCCGTTTGGACCTGTTGGAAGCCGGTTGTCCGACTGGTTTGTAGGCGCAGACATGGTATAAGTTGTTCCGATATGATACGGAGGAAGTCGGGAAAATGTCAGAGACTGGAAAATAATTTCATTATCAATGTAAAATATCCGGTTAGAAAACTGGCGCGATGACGTTAGGAAAACGAAACAAAAGGTGGCTCCCTAGATGTGGTTTGTATGTCTTAAAAAGTTGAGAGATGAGAGACAGGTTGCGCATCCCAATAACTAGTAGTTAATTTAGACATCTGATTAGATAAGCACGGCTACATCTAACGTAATCCACAGTCGAGCTGACCATACAACCGAGCTGACCATTTTCTCTGCAACTTCCAACAATCATTCTTCAACGCGTCATATTTTCACCATCACCATATAAAATGTCTCTTTCTCAGGAAGCTCAAATGCAAATGGCTATTGAAGCTTATAAAAATAAAGAAGATCCGATCAAAATCACGCGCTGCAGCAATATTTGGTGTGCCTAAAGCTATCTTGCTCAACCGGCTTAAAGGAATTCAACCACGGTCAGAAACACGCGCTAATGGCCATAAATTAACAATTTTTGAAGAAGTCCTGGCTAAGCATCTGTTGGATGCAGATAAAGAAGGGTTTTCAATTAGACCTGAGTTTCTGCGTGGAATAACACAAATCTTACTTTCTAAGCATACACGGGATCCTTCTTCAACTATTGGAGTCAACTGGGCATACAACTTTGTTCAATGCCATCCAGAACTTTGTACAAGATACAATCAGAGAATAGCACACCAGCGTGCGAAACAGGAGGATCCAAAGGTCATAAAACAGTGGTTTGAAGTTGTGCAGGGCACTGTTCAAGAGCATGGTATACATGAAGATGATATTTGGAACTTTGATGAAACTGGCTTTGGAATGGGACTCTGTACAACATCTAAGGTGATTACTGCAGTGGAGCACAGTGAAAGACCTCATACAACTATCCAGGGGAATTATGAATGAGTCACTGTCACAACCTGGCTTCCCTCGTATCGTACCTAGGGTTCTAGTTAGTTGTATTTCGAGACAGGACACTTACCCTAAGTGTCTTCCGAGTAATCGTATGCTCAATGACCATCCAGGTCCTCTGTATATCACGTCGAAGGTATATCGCCCCCTCCAGGCTCCGTAAGATAATCAACAAGTAGAAACGGTAAAGGTAACGAATAGAGAAACAAGGCCAACCGAGCACGTATGCTGGGTTGTTGGTTAAGTGCGGACGAGTCAGAAACTAGAAGGTAACCAATGCTTGATTAACTAGATTGATTGCGAAGAACTAAACTAGGTGCATGAATGAGTGTCCTTATATATCCTTTGCTCTCCTACCATTCCGTATACCATCTAGGGTAGATAGATGGTAGCGTATACCATTCCGTATACCATTTACGGTAGATAAATGGTAGGGGATCACGTGACTGATCCTTTGGGTTATCAGCTGGAATCCCTGTTCCTTCCTGCATTCCCATCATTTCTTGTAACCCAATGATTCTGCCTTACCTCCCCGTATAGTCACGTGAGACTGATGTGGCTAGGTCTGTAACAATAAAAATCACACCTGTAAATTACTGTAATATTTTAAGATTCGTCTAATAAATTTTTTAAAAAATATATAATTAAAAAGAGGAATGCAAAGAAGGTATTAAAAGTTATATTAACTTAAATAATATTTTAATTTTACAAGTTTCAATATAAAAATGTTGAGATATATGGGTTAAAAAAAATCCTTATTCTATATGGAATACAGACGTGCTCGGCCGTGTCCACAGCTCAGTCATGGTCTACGTTAGTAATTACGGAGTACATAACTACTGGTGGATATTTGAACCTATTCACTCTTCAGTTGCAAAATTATGTATTAGCTCTTTGTTAGAATAATATAATAAGGATGCTCCTCTTCCTCTTCTTCTTTTTTTCCCCTACTATTTTCTTGACAATATGTCATGGTTCTTTGATTAGGTCGCTTGATATATTTTCAGGATAGCATTTGATGCTTTCTATAAATTAACATCACTATCTCCTTGTCTGTTTTCGGTTACTGCTTTCTCACCTGTGTCTCTTCACTGCAGCTCTAGCAACGGATTGTCTGTCAATATGGCACAATTCTCAGGCCGATACTCATCAACGAAGGATTCGAGGCATCAATCATCTCATGCTTCAAACCTTTTCGAGCCTGCAGCTAATCCTATTGATACGGGAGTATCTAGAACAGGGTGTCTTCCACCTCACGTTCATGGAATGTTGAATCATGCCAGTGCGCAATTGATTTCCCATGATCAAAAGGCCTTCGAATCTAGATATGAAGATAAAATTACCAGGATGGGCTCTTTGAAAACAATAACCTCCCAAGTGAATTGCAATACGCTTGATATTCGCCGTGGAAAATTGGATTTTCGTGATGACCACGGGGCAGTTCCACGTGTCACTGCAGCTGGCTCTGGATACACCTATGCTCATGCCCCTAAAACGCGTTTTGGTGACCAGCAGTCCGATCCTCATCGCAAGAAACAAATACAAATTAACTATTTGGACAGCTTGGCTTCACGAATCCCTACACCAGGCTCCCTTCACGATGAACTGCAAGCCAAGGAAAGCCTGCGAGTTATACTTACCAAGGTTGCACAAGAGGCACTTGAAAAGCATGCCCTGAAACATGGCCATACTGTGGGACCTAAAGCCATTGATCTCAAATGCTTCGGCAGTCTACGCAATGGATTCATTCTACCTAATACTGACCTTGACCTGATGGTGAGAACGCATCAGTCATATTTTCCCAAAGAACTTGAAAATGAATGTTCGCAGATTCTCGAGAGTGCGTTCCTAGATGCTGGGTTTGGTGTTTACTTGTTGCCGGATACTATGACCCCTATCATCAAATTGTGCGAGAAGCCTTCTCAAGAATTCATGAAGGTAATGGAAGAAGAGCGTGAAAGACGTCAAACCCAAAAAAGGCATCAGCCCGATTACCACAGTGAATCTTGTTATCTGAGCCGGAGTGTTTGGTGTTTGTCTGGTACACTGCGTCCTTGCCATAGAACAGATTATTTTGGGCTTCCGCAGACAGGGGTTGGTATTCGTTGCAATATCAATTTCTCTGGGCGCCTGCCTCTATACAACACAGAGCTGCTCCGCTGCTATGCCCTTTGTGACGAAAGGGTACGCCTCATTGGTGTTTTCGTGAAAATGTGGGCAAGAGCTCGAAAGATCGATGACCCATACCATGGAACCATGTGCTCATACGGATACATTCTTATGGCCATACATTACCTTATGAATGTTGCCAATCCACCGCTGGTACCTAATCTTCAGGCGGTACCGCGATCATTCCCCGGGCACGTGGAGGTCACAAATATAAATGGATATGATGTTCGTTTCTTGAATGATGAGTCTGAGCTCAGGGCAATCTCCAAGCGCAACAGGCTCTCCGGTAACCAGCAATCCGTCGGCGAACTCCTCCGCGGTTTCTTTGCATATTTTGGAGCCCAAGGAAGCAGTTCGCCACAGGGTAGCTTCCACTGGGCCAACAATGTGATTTCAATTCGGACCCAAGATGGTATAATTCCAAAACACGAGAAGGGTTGGCACACCGCCAAGACTGATCACAACGGAAATCGACTCAGATTTCTACTTGCCATAGAAGACCCTTTCGAGCATGAGCATAATATCGCAGCCACAGTCACTGAGGCAGGAGTTAGCGCAATCAGAGCAGAATTCAATCGTGCGCAGACCATTATAAATCGCATTCAAGAAATACCTGGAGTTGGATGGGAATGGCGCACAGATGAGGGCGACGTAGGTCAAGACCTCCTCGCAGAAACACAAGACCTGTCGAGCTCCTCCCATCGGCCCAGGAATCTGGGGTATCGCACTTCTATAGGACCAAGACACCTAGATTGCGTGCCCGAGTTTTGCACAGCTCAAATGGACAACAACCCTGGTAGTAGATCCGTGTCGAAGTCTTCCGGTTTCAACGGCGTCATCCCTGGATTACACATGAGGTGTACAGAGTTTGGCTCTGAAAATCCTGCGAAATGCGCTCATCGCGACACTTTCCATCTTCGATCTTTTGGTCATTGCAATGATGCTACTATTGGTGGACCTAAGTGGGTTACAGAGAAGCATGACAATACATCTGGTTTTACCATGTCTCTGGCTTCAACTATTCGTCATGGAAGTAGCCCCTTGATGCATCTGTTAGTCCCCTCAGTTACAGATAATGGAAAAGCAGGACAAGAGCCCCGACGACCCACCCATTTGACTACCGAAGCCACACAGGGCCCCAAACATACGCAAGGAGCTCGGGATATCAACTTTTTGGATGCTAGATTACAATCTCCGGATTGGTTCTTGGCCCCCCCCTCCCAGGCTAAGATTATGGGTTCTGGAAGTTCAGAATTTGTCATGGATGACCACAAGCCCATTGTGCGAGGATTGAAAGGCGCTCCTATAGTTCAGCAGCTAAAAGTGCCACCCACATCTCAGTTCCGTGGAATTTCCCTTGACTTAAGACAATTTCATGGGCCAGGTGCTATTCGCGATAGGCGTGCTGCTTCCAAGCACGAGCCGATGGACTTCTTGAATCATAGCCCTAGTTATAACGTGGACGTTGCCTCCAATACTGAAAGTACCTGTCAAGTGGATAACCTTCGGAAAAGCGAGCTACTAGCCAGTCTTTCGTTTGGTGGTTGATGCTTTGCATTCGATCATGGCGTCACTCTATCACGATCGCGTTTAGCAGCTTTTCTAAAGATCACCTTACATTTGAGGAGGTCAAACTGGAAACTGGAAAGATGGCAATGGCTGGCACCGGATTTGAACATCCTGTCGTGGAGGTATTCGGATTGTCTTTATTGCGGCGTTTCTGCTATCATTAGCTCATTCCTAACATTATGGACACCTTTAATAGGACCGATATAGGTATTTTTTGCAAAACTAGTGATTTATAGGAAATGTCAGTCTATCTCGCATTGCAATATAAATGTTACAAATGACTAAAAGCAATAGATTCATTACAACTCTCGTTTGCTGCCCTACGCAGCACTAGGAACGTTAAAGCGTATATTGAATGGGCCAGAACCACTGGTGTAAAAAGAAAGAAAAGAAAAGAAAAGAAAAGAAAAGAAACGAAAAAGAAAGAAAAAAAAAAAGCGGTATCTTTCAGGGTTGCATTTAGAATACTTCCACAACTTTTTCATCTTCATCTTGCTTTTGTGCCGCAAAATCGGGATTCTCTTCACCCTCTTCACTTCTCATCAAGACCTGAACCAACCTATCGCAAGCTTCGCGGACGCCCTCGTCGTCGACCTGAAGGTGGCATTCTCTAATGATCGGATACACCTTAATTTTTCTCATTTTGTCCCGTCCTTCCCGCGTGGTGGTCAACAACAATAATGTCTCGAGATGTGTCGTGATAATGCTGTTGTCACCATCTCTCTGCTTTTCCGGGGGTAGCAGTTGAAGATCCGGTAGCATTTCCATGGACTCTTCCTCGGGAAATTCCTCGGGACCCATGAGCGGCAAGAGAATGTAAGGAAGAAGGTTCGCTTCGTCCTCGGAAAAGAGTGTGGGATGAAATGGGATATCAAAGGCAACATTCTTAATGGTTGATGCAACACCCCTTCTTCGAATTGTGGATTTGTGCTCTGTGAAAACCGTAAGTTTCGTCACAGGCACAACACCGTCATATTCTTGCCGTGTAGTAAAATATGCTCGTCCTTCCTCGGATTTCGAAAGGTCCGCGAAGAAGTAAGATAGATAGTCATAGTTAGCAAACTTATTTAAAGAACCCTCGGCACCTTTGACAAAACAATCCATCAACTGGTCAATAGCGTTTGATGAAGTAGACACCAAATCAGGATTTTTCCGTTTCAGGGTGATGAGCTTCTTCGAATTGTCCGATTTAGTAAGGTTAGCAAGGAGCATCGAAACTTCATCCGCATTGGGCTCCTTGACATTCTGTCACTATATCAGTATAAGCCAGACAAGATCATTCCTAAAGGCCACCCACTGTCAATTTGCTAAGAAGAGTCTCAATAAACGCGTCATCTTTGACAAGATGGTCCAACACTTCTTCATCAGCCGAGAGATTGATTAAAATGGTCAATGCATTTTTGGCGATGGGCTACATGTTCGCGGCAAGAGTATATCAGCAAATGACCATTGCCTTTATATATATATAAACTGAGGAGAATTCACAGTATAATCGCGAGCCAGGAGCTTCAAGTCTCGCACTGGTAGGAGCTGATGGCGTTTAAAGAGGTTGGGTTGCGCAGTTGAGAAGCCAACAAGATTTTCGCACGCTGAATAGGAATCATATACAGTCAACACAAGGTCTGTAATAAGGCCTCTGGACCAAAATGGTATTGTGTTTACCAATTTGTCTTATTTGAGTATTGCCATGGTGTAAAAATTCAACAAGCTGCAAAAGGGTTATACATATATGAATTAGGATGTTTCTGGCCCAAAAATACAGGTGCAGGTAAAGGAAGGACTCACCTCCTCCAGTTCTGTAGGCATTGTAGTAGCCGATATTCCTTGGTTCCTGAATGAAACCAGAATGAAATTTGATGTATGTATGGTCTGCGCAGAGTATCGGCCGTGCGGTTTTCCGAGTAGGAAAAATTTATGGTGGGGCTATTAAAAAGTTCTCCAACGTCAACAAATATGTACAAAACATGTTCTATCAACGCTATTTATAAGGTAGTACTAATAGTTGATCTTATATGATTGTTCGTTAATAAGTAAACCCATCTCATTCAACATGTTCTTTTACAATTCCATCAATTCATTCATCTTCCTGTTACCCCCCATATAGTGATTACTAATTGGCATAATTAACTATCAGTCTCCAACTTCCGGGGAACAAGTGGGGCAGTATCCGATAAGACAACAACCACCCATCAATTGTTTACTGACAATAAAATCCCACCATTGAACTCCGCTCATCATGGCAACTAAGTCGAACGATGTCGAGACCTCAGCTCTTGGTCTGGACGACATTCATGAAACACTTATTGAAATAGCTTACAAGGCGGGTGATATTATCACTGGTGCGCTTCCGGCTACCAATGGTGCCGGCTCAAAGAAGAACAGTAAAATCACCCTAATTCTGCACCTTGATGACCTAGGGTGTAATTCAGGAAACTGATCTAAGTATTTCAGGTGCGGACTTGGTTACTGAGTACGATCGTGCAGTAGAAAAGATGATATCTACCACGCTGGCTGAAAAATATCCACACTATAAGTGCGTTTTCCACCCTTGCATGGTAGCAGGCAGAAGAAACGAATAATACTCAAGAGAATTCATTGGCTCATACCTTGATATGGCTTTTTTGATGATACAGGTTCCATGGCGAAGAAACTTATGATCCTGCTCATCCATTGACTGACGATCCAACCTTCATCGTGGATCCCATCGATGGCACTGTCAATTTTGTGCACAGCTTCCCTTGTGCTTGTGTATCTCTTGGTTTCGCTGTCAAGCGTATTCCGGTCGTGGGTGTTGTTTTCAACCCATTCAACCAAACTCTTTATTCGGCTGTTCGTGGTCGAGGAGCTTTCATGAACCGTACGACACGCCTTCCTCTTAAAGGCGAGAGTCTTGAGCCCTTGAGCGGCCTCAGCAACGCACTTATTAGTGTCGAATGGGGCTCTGAGCGTTGCGGTAAGAATTGGGATACAAAGCTGCGAACTTTCGCAAGGCTTGGCCAAACGAAAGATAATGGCGGCGCGATGGTTCGCTCGATGCGCAGCATGGGATCGGCTGCACTCAATCTTTGCGCAGCTGCTGCCGGCACTATTGACCTATACTGGGAAGGAGGATGCTGGGAATGGGATGTCTGTGCCGGTTGGGTCATCTTAACGGAAGCTGGTGGGATAATTGTAGATGGAAACCCAGGAAACTGGCAAGCTAGCCTTGAAGGAAGGAGGTATCTTGCCGCTAGAGCATCTCCGCAGGCAATAGGCCAGAAAGACATAGTGGAAGAATTCTGGAGTCACATCGAAGGTCGCCTCGAATATTGATCGTTGGCTCGTGATGGCGCAAAACCTGACCTGAGTTTACGATGACTACTGGTCATTATTTGTTGTACTTACACTCTTCCTATAATGCGAACTAGTAGATTATTTATAGAAATATTCGTACATACGGATCCAAAACACCTCTATTATATCTCCTCTGGATGCAGCCTGGTAACCTTTGTGCTATTTCGAAAATCAAGGTTATCCTCATCATCCTCATCCTCATTCTCATCAGTGGTTGAATCTGGTCTAGGTGCAATTGATGTGCTAGATGCCCCATCCAGATATTCTGACTTTGAGCCTGCACTCGCTCTTTCTCGATAAGCGTAACGGGAATCCAAGGATTGCAAAGGGTTATTTAGTATGTTGCTGTTAGTAACCTCGCACAGGGTGCCAGAATTGCCCGGGGTGCCGTAACATGCGCTCTCCTGGGAAGGTCTATCTGTTTGTCCTTTGACCTCGTTACCTGAATGTGTTGTTTTTATCATAGGCGGTTTCGCTCTATCCATGCCTCCTTCCAAAACGTCGTTTGACTGTGCCGTTGAAGTATATGCGAAATGGGTATCGACCAGATGCTTGACTACCGGCCAACCATACGCATTTGTGAACATTCGCCGGACAATGATATTATTGTGTGCATCGGGCTCTAGACGGACGAGGACTTTGCGCCATGACAGATCTCGGTGGTACGCCCGTGCGATCTTTTCCTCAACGCGGAGGCCACTCTCAGACTCATCCTTACACTCATGTGAGTTATGATGCGATTCTACTGACGACTGATGTTGTGCATTCGAACTTCTGGTTTGGGGTGAACTAAACGGTAATGTTCGTCGCTTGACGGGTAGCGGTGCTGGTATATCCTCAGGGTGGTAGATTCTGTCATGGAATATGGTACGCGGCCTCGAAGCAGGGTCGAGTATGAACTCCACTGGCGGGAGTGGAGGCATAAGCAAATCGCTAGCTGACTCAAAAAATGTAGTTTTGGGAGGTGTGTACAACCCGTCTCCTTCGTGTGACATCCTGTGAGGTGGCGCTTCTAGGTGATGCGATCTAGTAGGCGACTGCGCTTCAATCGGCTGATCATCTGTACGAAGAGTTTGGCTGCGCTTGTAGATCTTTGTTTGTTTATGTCCAATAGCAGTTTTTGATGAGTCTTTTGGCCGAAATAGGGACATGAGACTATTCAATGGGCCAAACGAGTTTTGCGATGGATTAACCTTGGGCGTCGAGTCCAAATGTACATCACAAGATTCTAAGTGAGGCTGCTCTGACTCCTGCTGCCTCAAAGTCTGATATGGCTCTGATGCCTGCAGCGTTTCAGTTGGAAAATTTCCAAGTTCATTTTGCCGTTGGGATAATGACGCGGAAGGTGTATTTTCAATAACACTTGTATTTGTGGTGCTCAATGTAGGACGGGTAGGTCTAGGCGATTTGGAGTTCGCACCAGTCAATTCTGCCCAGCCCCATTCAGCCATCGTCCCAACCAGGCCATTGTCTCTTCTAGCCTTCTCGACTCGATCTAGTCCTTTCCAATCGAGGAATAGTAAGGACGATGTTCGTAGTGGAACGATTCCATCATTAACCACGTTAGAATATACGGTCCGATGCTGAAATTTTGCGAGTACTTCATGTGCTGGTCCACAGGGAAGGATCCTCAGCAGCGGCTTGGATCCGGGATCTGAATGTTCTTGTGGCTTTACGGCTTCGCCCCTGCCACCAATTATAGCACCCCAACCACTTCTCACTTTCGGAGCTGTCCAGCTCAAACCCAAATCTTGGCCTGTTCGGCCTACAAGTCCCAGGTCTAAGGCGAACCGAACGTACACAGGGTTTTCATTGCTAAGCCCCAGAAAAGGAGTGGCCAAGGCTATGAAATTGATAGGTCGGATATGATCAAAGAATTGGGGCGAGTACTTCTGAATATATGCGATAGCATATGTCTGGATAAGCCCGCCAAGGGAGTGCCCGATAAAGCTGATGCTCGTAAACCGGTAAGCATGATCTTCTTGATCCGGCCCTTGCTCATGGACACCAGAAACAGACGCCCCGCTCGCAGAATGTTCTTCTGGGGTTTTCAGCGCAGACAAAGGGTTGGAAAATGGTTTCGCTTTGGAAGTTTTTAGTGGAAAATAGGGTTGATCAGGATAGGTCATCAACAAAACGTATTTCGCGAGGCGCTTTCCGAGGTACTGTATACCGCGTTCAGTTCGAACAGCATTCCCGAAAAACCCCCTGACGATGACTTGTTCATCATCTTCATCGGCATCGTCTCCAAAATTGGACCCTGGCCTGTTGATCAACGTCAGACACTGCAATGTTAATATCGGAATATAGAGCCTCAAACTGAGACCAGACATGCTCGCCTTCAATCACTCACCTTACTGAATCAGGGTTAGCAGACTTCTTCTGGCGGTCCTGTTTCGCCTGCTCTCGAGCCCTTTTGGCAGCGATATCGATACTCTCCTTTAGATAGAGCATATCTGCTCCAAGATTGCTGTGCAACCCATGAGTTATTACAACAAGGTGGACTTTTTTCTTTTTCTCTTTTTTAGGATCCTCTTTTTGCGCAATGTTTTTTTGCTGTGTATTCGATGTCTCGGTAGGGGCTTGTAAATCTTGCAAGTTCGATTTGGCTTTGTCTCCAAAGGACGGAAAAGGAGGGCTGTTCCAAAGGCTGGCGGTATTATCAATACGCAGTGTTATGGATTTCGAGTATACACCTGTAGCAGCTAGCACTTGCTGCCCTCTAGTTTTAGGTGACCAATGGTCGTGTAGTTGACCTGGCCGAGGCAGCCCAGCACTCGATACACCGCCTGCAGAGAGAAGTTGGACTGATTTCTCATCACGGCCGACTATGACTTCAAAATTGACGGCTGCAGTACCAGAGAAAATCACTTGAGACACTATTTCTATAACCCAGGTCACGCTTTGATGACTCCCAGGGTCTGCAGAGGCGAGCTCCGTGGGTGTTTGGCGGATACATTGCGGGATGGTAATGGTCGCATCCCAGCTCCCCCCGGCCTTAAGGTAGGGCTCAAACTGAGGAATACCCTCGGTGTCCTTCCGGCTATATGCGACATTGGGGTCGAACGTCGATGGATAACAAGCGGCATAGAGAGTATATGGGCCATGCAGGTAGGCAGCCCGTAACGGAATGGCAGACGTATTCCTAACCTTCACATAAAGCTCTTCTGGGGGAGGGTAGATGGGATCGGTTGCTGGGGTATAAGATAATGTGTATCTGACAGGCTCAGATATTTAGCAAGGAGTCTGATGAGCAACTGTAGGGGTACAAATGTACAAGAACAGACCTAACTACTTCTCCGACACGAACGCTGCCGGCTTGGTATGATAGCAACATTTTCGCGGCTCGCACTATGTTCACTAGACCTGAATGCCACCCTGTGAGCGAATGGAACCTAGAGCGACGCTTGTCGGTTGGTATAGAAGGCTGACCCAATGACTGGGCGGTAGAATATGTCCGTGTAGTGATCAGCATTAAAACAAGGCATAATATTTCTCATTGTATAATGAAATAACTGACCCCCTTCAGGCGAAGTAACAAGTCAGCGTTGGAGAGTCAGGGTCAACAAAACCGGGCTCGTGTCTCTTCATGGGTGCGGTGAGATCAGCAAACTTGACGATCTGAGCGGGAGATAAAAAAGTTCGTGTTTGTACGGAGCACCTTCAGTTTCACTCAGCAGGCCATCTGAATGAAACCCAAACCAGTGTGAAACTGCATATATAGATAACCCCCAACCGGCATCGCAAACTAGTGGGGGTTTGTATTATAGATGTTTTCTATGTACGCCGTACTACGCTATCGTCTATCGCCTGAAGATCAAGGGACATCGGCGATAAGATTCAGCAAGCACCGTGGTTCCCTGCGCACTTCCATCCAACCACCTCGCTCAACAACTATTATCTTCCCATCAATGCAGACTCTTCTCCATCGTTCATCTTCCTCCAGAAAATCAATACGAAAGCCCTCAATTTCTTGATATGTCACCGCTTTTTCGTGGATATGGAGACCGCCTTGATACGCTTTGCTCATGAGTTGCATCGCTACATCCGGCGATGTCGGGCCAAAGTGAACAAATCTCAAACAACCATCAAGTGGGGACGTGTCCGGAGAGATCACAAATCCCCTTTCAAGCCTTGAGACCAAGGTGGCCAACACGTACATATGTTCATTTCGGTCTATAGACTCCACATGTTGGTCATCGGTACCTTTGCTTTGGTTGGCCAAGGTGATAATAGCATGATAACTATGCGTTGGTGAGCCGTCAGATGGGCAAAGAAGCTCCTTTGCGGCCAGTTTGAATCTATCGACGCCAAACTTGCGATATGCAACCGTATCACTGTCTGCGACCAGCGCAGCATGTATTCCCCAGCTCGCGACAACAGCACCATAAACCTTGTGGTCCTCACTCTCCGCCGCTTGATCGCTACATATAGGAGCCCGGCCACGACCTTCTTCGGTGATGTACTGTGATTTGGGCGAGAAGCTAGCGGCAAACACTGGTATACGCCTCGGTTTACCTTGTAGTAACGCCATCAGCCCCATTGTTGGGCAATTCAAACCGATGGAATTTGCCATAGCATTTCCTGTGCCCATCGGAATCAAGCCGATGCAGGGTGGAACACGCATGCTCTCTGAAGAATTGTAGAACGCATCAACAATGTCAACCAAACCACCATCACCAGAAAGGAGTAGAATGGTTTGGTCTGTTCCAGTTTGGGCGCAAGGAATGAATTGTGAATGCGCCAGCTCTGTTATTGTTTGGGCAGACTGCGTTTCATGGATTTCAAATGTAGTCAACCCGAGGTATGATAGAAATGGTTGTAGGACATCTTGAAATATTCTCTTTGCATTTCCCGCTCCCGAGCCGGTTGATATCACGACATGGATTCTGGACAAAGGACTGAGATGGCGAGGTAAATCTCTGTACAAGTACCGCGACAGCAACGTTGATGGTAAGGGTCCCGTCCTGATTTTAACGAGACGCACACGATCATCGACTGTGTCAGAATCAGATGATTCACTGTGCCTTTCAAGAAATAGCACACTGTATGTGTTTTCCCATCTTTCCCCAAGAATACAGACTATATCATTGATGGCAATAGACGTTTCCTGGCATTGTTCATTGCTGCATTGCAGATAATCTCCCAGTAGGTTGCAAATTAAGGCATCAGGAACGGTGTCTCTAAAAGCTTCCATCTTGTCTGAGAAGGTAAAAATGTCAACTTCAATTAAATACCAAACAAGTATGCTTACGTAGGGAGCAACACTCTCGGTTTATGCTTACTAGAGAATGACGGCTCAGGCTCACATGATGCTGAGCTGTATATTATTATTAATTTTTCAACCTCGAGCTAGCGTACACGGCAGATTTATGGAACACAACAGATCTAACCAATTTCACCTGTTAGGAAAACAGATAAGTGAAAGCAACAAGAAAAAAAAATAATTAAAATAAACAATAATAAAATAAATAATGAAACAAAAAAAGACAAAGTAACAAGCAGCAGTGTACAAAGCTTAGAGACTCCACTCTGGGTTAGACATGTGTTTATCACTGAGGTTGACAGCAATGAAGCTCTTTGGGAGTTTGACACTGCAAGAAAAGTATCAGTTAGTCTGTGGTTTTATCACAGAAGGAAAGTAAAGTACTCACGTGTCAAACTTGGCCTTGAGGGTTTCAATAACTTCTTTCCAATCTTGATGGGCAGTCAAGCTCCTTCTTGGAGCACAACCAATGGCATGCCTTGAATCAAGCTGCACATCAAGAGGATCAAAAGCATGACAGCCAGGACTGATGGAAATGCGAATGGAATATGAGCTGGTAGATGACTCGCTGTCCTTTGCTTCGTAAAGCTCGAAACAGATCTGTGACAGATAATCGAGTTCCGGGATGGCGCTCCTTGCGATTTTCGTCTGGATTCCACCCTCTAAAATGCAATTGAGCAAGGTATAGATGTGAGACTCCTTTGTGAAATAAAAGAAGGACTTCGCATCTTGCGAGGCCTGCACTTCTTCCAAATCTCGGACAATCTCTTGAAGAAGAGGCAGCGATGTCAATAGCCCAATTTCTAGTTTCTCGGAGTCTGTGATCCCGTACTCCTGAGGAGTCACATAGTCGAATAATACCTTGGCTAACTTGTATAATTCGCGCAGTTTTGAAAGCCTCCCGTCCAGTTTTGCTTTGGCGGGACTAGAGCCTGGATAAAGTTTGAAATAATGATCATAAGATTCATCGAGTGCTTTGAGATGCGGCATCGATTCGAATGCACGGGCTCGCTTCTTCAAGCCGAATCGATGCGCAAATGTCGGATTTTCCGTAGGCTCGTCGATGTTTTCAAGGTGTTCCCCTTCCTGTGTATGTCGTTTATCTCCACAATTCGTTCCCTCTTCATCGCAATCATCTGGGGGCATGAATACCCATTCTAAAAACTGGCGATTGTGCAATGCATCAAACTTCATACTGTCATAGAGTTCCGAGAACTTGCTCGGGTCGACCTTCTCTGTGTCGCAGAATTCAGCAAAAAGTTTCTCCCATCGTTCTTTGAAAAGCATAGGATCCTCCCCCGCACACCATCGCCCCTGGATCGAAGCCAAGGCAGCATTGTCCGTGTGCGAATCAAACTGATCAACGGCGGTAGGGTTCTCCGGGTCATGAGACGAATCGGCCGAAGAGAAGCTATCCAACCTTTGGAAATTATATCTCATAATGCTTCGATGGAATTTCATCAATTCAACAAGGGTAGCAAGAACAACAGAAGGCTCAGGGATGTTATCCTTTGGCCAGGCAAATTGCGAAGGGGCAGACCCTTCCCGTAGAAGTAGTTTCAGTTTCTTTTTGACTTTGTCCATGAGGTCCTTTGCAGCATTGGAGTCATCTAGAAGATCTTTGCGTACGTTGATAGAATCCTCTGGCAATTCCTTTTGATCCAGAAATGAGCACGCCCAAATTTGAGCTACCAGGCAAAGTTAGTAAAACATGAATGTCTGCGTGGAATACAATTTTATCAACATACCACTAGTGCTCACTCTCCTCTCCGAGCTTGTGAAAATTCTAACGTTGCTCAATGCTTCCTTGTTCATTAACTTCAAATCATCCCGCATGTTGAGTCCGAGATCTTGTGATTGATACCGGGCTGCGTGCGTTGGCTCCCCTCCCCATTTGATGACAAGTTGAAGTTTGTCCAGAATTAGATCATTTTCGACTGCCGAGAACCTAGAGAATGTTGCACCTGATATCGAATCGCTTCGAGTTTGTGACCTATTAGAATTTTCATTCCCTAGTGATGCCTCCTTCGTGACGGGAGATATGGGCTCTTCTTGAGGTCCCTCAGCCCGAGGTGTTATTAAATCAGCGGGCAGTGCTTGCCCACGTACTTCCTCCGGTTTTCTTTTCCGGAACATCGGTTTAATCTGTACCTTCGTTCCAGGCCAGCCCCCTTTCTTATCAAGTGACGTGCGAAGCAGTTTGAGCTTATCCATATCCTCAAGACCTTCTCGCATCGCAACTCTGACAGCATCTGAAACACTTGCCAATGCCGCCTCTCCCTTGATAACTACTTCCTCCTGGTGACCCTTCAATAGGTCAACAAATGGCTGACTATGGAACGTAAATTTGAATTTTTGTTTCGGCGTACGGTCCGCGTGCCTAATGACCGCCACCATGCCCTTCAATTTCCAAGAGTGTTTAGAAGCAGGGGGTGGTGGCGGTACACCATCAGTAGGAAAGCGCATTGATACAGCAGGTGATATGGTGTTAGAGGAGCTCGTGACTCGTTCTTTGGCGTTCTGGTTGATGTGACTGTGTCCATGGTCTGTGCCCCCAGCATCGGACGATGGAGGGAGAGTTTCTACAGTGGTCAACTCCGTCGGTACAGCTTCGTAGCCATCATGGCCTTGCTGGTCGCCATGTAGTTTCGATACACTAGGCGACTTGAGTAAAGTCTTCAAAGTATGTCGGTGAGAACCCCCTTTCTTAGGCTGACTTGGATCGGGAAAGGGGGGTTCCAGAGACCCCAAAACCTCTTCACACCTTTGCCTCTCGTTTAGAAACATATCACTCAGTATTTGCGCGCACCTGTCATAGTAATCATTATTATCTTTGACAAAGCTCCAACCATTGACATCGATAACATAGCTTCTTTCTCCGACGCGGAGCATGTCAAAACCACAGATTCTTTGGCCAAATCCGTTTGAGATTTTCGAGGCAATGCCAGCCTCCTCTTTACTCAGTTTGGTTATATATCTGAGTTCTTTCCCGTGTGTATTGCGGCGAACAAGCCCATCAACCACAGGAGACTTGCGCGTTTCTGCATGGCAAAAATCGGGCCCGACTGTATAGGCCTTGACATCTTCGGAATTATCCACCCTCAAAAACTGCTCATACAGATAACTCGTCCCTGTTTCCGCTATCGATCTTGGAACAACTAAGCTCGGATCATATTCAGAACTCTTATTTCCAACTTTTCGGAAAAGCCTCCTACCACCTCCTCCGTATTGCTGGTCATTGGGGAAATATATATGGATATTATGGTCCTCCCCATTTACTGGTTTTTCGACGAACGGTTTTTTTAAAGCCTTTCCATCAATGACCAAAAACTCTCCGTCTTCAGACAGGGAAACGGTTTGAGTCCGGGGAGCACCCCCTCCAGTTCCGTCATCAGGGCCGTCAAGTCTGACCCCTGTTAGCCTGTACACATGCTGCGCAAGCTCGACGGATTCTAAGGTAGGGCCGCCATCACGATTCACTTCCATTCTTTTTGGAGTCGGAACGCCCATGTGGTCTAGTATTCTCAAGCAAAGCCGTCGATCCCACAAGACCTTTTGCATGGGTAAATCGTTGACACAAAAGGGTTTCCGGAGTTTTGCATAAGCGATGGCCTTATCTAATGGGAAGCCATCAGAGAAGAAAGCAATCAAGAAGTCGCAAACAGGCCAGTTTTCAACAGCTTCGTCAAGGATTACTTTGTCCCCAAAAACAATGACTTCAAAATCACCTTTTGACTGAAGACGGGTTAAAATGTTTTGGCTGGGTTTGCTGCGTGCCTTCACATCTAGAGCACAGACACCAATTTTCCCAAGAGGTGATGATGTGTATTCTGTCTCAATGATTGAACTAGCAGATGCGCTCCCACTGAACCCTTTGGGAGAGCAAGTATGGAGGCTTTCATTATGAGACTCTAAGGCCGAATCGGATCCACCTTTCGATATAACAGTAGATGTATAGTCATGGGGTTGGCTTAACGATGATTGATCCGTGAGGTTGAAAGCAGTGTTGGAAGATGGCACAGTAGTTGTCCTGTGGCTTGCAGTATCCTTAAAGTCGGAATCCTCAGAGAGGTCAGGAATCGTACCATAGCTCATCGTCCCATAGGTTGACGTGAAAAGATAAGTAGTTTGTGTCTGGCGCTTTGAGATGAAGGGTGAATTTTCTTAAAAGCACCGAACAATGGCCGGGTGGGTGTTCTCTGCAGGATAAGAGTCGCAACCAGTTTCCTTTATAGGGGAGAGAGAGGGAGAGAGAGGGGGGAAGGTATGGGAAAAGAAAACAAGAAAAAATTAAAAAAGAAAAAGGAAAGTCATTAGGTTATTCAAGTGATAGGTCTAGAATTCAAAAGCGTCATATCTCAAATGCATCCGGCATCTTTACAAGAACCATCTACAATTACTTCAACCCATAGTACCTACAACCGCGGATTTACCACTACAAATTTAATATTGTATAATGAGGGTACATGCTCTAATGGGATAAAACCTCTTGCGGATGAGATCAACCATACTACAGCAATTATAAATTATACCTATGTACCTACTCGTAAGTGCCAAGAACATGTGGAGAAAGAAAGTCTGCCACTCGGATAAACCCATACTCCGTTAGTATAAAAGAGAAAAAAAAAAAAAAAAGTGATACAAATTGAAAAAAAGAATATATGGATGAAACCTGCATTTGCATTGACTATCGTCTTTGAAGTGAAACTATCATTACTCTCTTCTTTTCACTTTTTATTTACGGTCCTTGTTGGATACCTAGAGCAGCTCTACTAGAACATTTCTGAGCATAGAATCAAGCTGCCAACCCTCAGAATTGTCAGTGTTCCTCACAATACCTATATAGGTGTATAGGTGTCGCAAAGAATGCCTTCTCTTGACACCAATCAATCCAACCAACCTCTTGCGAAGCGACAAAGGTTGTCGTCTGACAATGTCGCGAACAAATCGAGAACGTCCGCGTCCAAGATATTTTCGCCCTTCCGAGTAGGTACTTATTCTGATATATGACAATCGTCTTCCAACACTAACATACTTCGCCAATTGAAGACACTGGGGCTAGTATCACCCACCCCCGTTCCACTCGCGTGCGTCCGTCTGGGAAAATCGACATTTCAAATTACAACCTCTGTAGGGTACTCTTTGCAGACATACGATGTACGGCGAGGTCTAAATCTGGTCTTCGTCAGCCGGCCTCAAACACCAGGAGTAATTACGGCCACATTTTCCTGGCAAGATAAGGTTTTCGCGGCCTGGGGAAATTTTCAGCCTGGGTCGCCGGGAGGGATATGGGTTTTCAGGCGTGGAAAGAAAATTGCATCCCTAAAGGTACCGGCAAATCTCCGCGGTCCAATTGAACGATTACTTGTTTTTGGCTCGTGGATAGTGGGAAGCAACAGCCAGGGTATAGAAGTATGGAAGAGTTCATCGTATGAACATTACACATCTCTGAGCCCTCCACGGCAGGCTGGGAGTACCTCTGAACACATATATACTTCCCAACCGTGTAACATGCCAACATATCTCAACAAGATTTTTGTTGGGAGATATGATGGTGCTGTCGACATTTGGAATATCAGGACCGGAAAGATTCTCTACTCGATTTTGCCTGCATTTAAAGATGCTGGCGCAGTAACTGCGCTTCAGCCGACACCCGTTTTATCATTGATCGCTATTGCATACAAGAGTGGCGCGCTGTCTATTCAAAATGCCGAGACTGATAAGGTCGTTCTTCCGCTAAGAACGCCTTTATCAAAAGCCTCACCGATTACCTCCATCACTTTTCGGACCGATGGACTTGGCGCCGGCGACGATGGTAGAAAGTCCGGTGTTATGGCAACTACCTCTACAGACAATGGTGACATCACAATGTGGGATCTTAACAACGGGGGACGAGTAACTGGAATTCTGCGAAGAGCACATATGGTATCTCTCAATGAAACGGGATCCGGAGCGACTCACATCGAGTTTCTGGATGGGCAGCCAGTGTTGGTATCATCTGGGAGAGACAACGCGCTCAGGACATGGATCTTCGATGAGGTGCCTTTTTCGCCCATTCCCAGACCTCTTCACCAGAGAAGTGGCCATTACGCTGCGATATCTACTCTGCAATTCTTACCTTCTTCGTCCGATGGATCAGAATTTGGTGGGAAATGGCTACTAAGTGCAAGCAAGGACAGCAGTCTCTGGGGTTTCAGTGTGCGAAAAGATAGCCAAAATACTGAGATTTCCCAGGGAGCTATTGGGCATAAAACAAATAAAATAGGTGGCACGCAAACTGGGTCCTACAATGACCTGAAGGCTCCAGAGATTACTTGTATTGCTTGTGCTCTAAACCGCGATGGGGGTATGGGTGTTACAACATCCGGACCAGTCTGGGCCAATCCGAAGGTTACAGACACAAATGCTTCAAGCACAACTGGATGGGAAAGTATTGTTACAGGGCACCGTGGTGACAAGTATGCGCGCACGTGGTTTTGGGGAAAGAAGAAGGCTGGGCGCTGGACATTTGAAACTGGCGACGGGTCTGAGGTTAAGGTATGTTACTCAGGGTTATAGAGGCGAGAAGAGAGAACTTGCTGACTCGTACTCGCGACTAATATGGTAGAGCGTTGCCATCTCACAATGCGGAACTTTTGCATTGATTGGGTCTTCAGGGGGGGATATCAAGATGTTCAATTTGCAATCAGGCAGACATCGGCAAAGTTTCCCTGCTACTCTTGCCTCTAGAAGCCAAGCTCAAAGGGGTAGCTTGAACGTTTCTGCCACGAAAAGTACAGCAATCAAGCACATCAAAGCAGTCACTGGTATAGTGGTTGACGGATTGAATCATACCGTCATCAGCTGTGGTCTTGATGGGAAAATAAAGGTCAGTATATTTCACTTGCATTTTTCTGGCTATGGGCATGATGGTAACTTCGTCGGTAGTTTTGGGACTTTGAGTCAGGTCGGCTTGTTGACGAGCTTGACTGGCATCCAATGGCTGCCATAACTGGTCTACGATACAGTAGTGCAAGCGAACTAGTTGCGTTCAGTTGCGATGATCTGTCGATTCGCGTTGTTGACATTGAGACGCGAAAAGTTGTTCGTGAATTCTGGGGATGTGTAGGTCAGGTCAATGATTTTACATTCTCCAACAACGGGCGGTGGGTTATTGCTGCATCAATGGATTCTATTGTCCGGGTCTGGGATTTGCCAACAGGACACCTCATTGATGCTTTCCGCGTCCCTAACACATGCACCGCGTTGACCATGTCGTCTACTGGTGAATATTTAGCCACCGCTCACGCAGATGGTGTGGGCATCAATCTCTGGACAAACCGGAGCTTGTTCATGCCAGTATCAACCAAAAACGTGGGCGAGGATTACATTGCTGATATCCAAGTGCCAACTGCGTCTGGAGAAAGTGGTGCTAGTCTTATCGAAGCCGCATTCTCAGAGACTGATGAACAGGGTGAAATTGAGGGACCGGTACTTTCCACTGAACAACTCAGCCAAGAGATGGTTACGCTGAGTGTTGTTCCTAAAAGTAAATGGCAAACATTACTTCACTTGGATGTGATTAAGGTAAGTACTATCCCCTCTTGTCTTCAACCGATGCTGACAATGGCCTAGGAACGCAACAAGGCCAAGGATCCGCCAAAGGCGCCAGAAAAGGCACCATTTTTCCTTCCGTCACTTCCTGGTGGGGCTGCTGGGGAAGGTGTCGACTCCAAGTTCTCGACTGAGAGTACGGCAGCTGAGCGCTCTCGCGTTGCCAGGATCCAGCATTCTCAGGATTCCAGGGTCCTGGGCTCGCCCTTTACAACCCTCCTACGAGCTGGTCGTCTATCTGGCAATTTTGAACCTTTCATTGAACATATTAAAGGCTTATCTCCTACAAAAATTGATCTGGAAATCAGATCCCTCAATCCGCAGGTAATGAATGGTCAGTCAGAACTGTCGGACTTTGTTTTCGCATTGGCAAGTCGCCTACAGCTCAAAAAAGACTATGAGTTGGTCAATGTATGGATGGCGGTTTTTCTGAGGATCCATGCTGATGTTGTTGGTTCCGGCATTGAATTGGGTCACTTGCGAAAAGCTCTTGCTGACTGGAGTCGGTTGCAAGGACAAGAAAGGGAGCGCTTATCCGGATTAGTCGGGTACTGTCATGGAGTTGTAGGGTTCCTAAGGTCTTCACGGTGAATTGTTTTGTTCTATTATCTACGCTGTCTACTTCAAATGTAAACTACAAGTAATAATATGCAAAATCAACGGACATACTTCATGACGTGATTCTCATTCCCTGTCAGATGTGGGTCATCAATGCCAATATTGATAAATTCAGGAATTCTGTGTCTTTTCTTTAAAGACCTATAGGCTGCAGGGTCAGCATAGTCCTGGTCTACTGGTCATGCAAGAATAAGCAAAGGGAGGTTTCAGCATTATTTACTCTGGAGAGAGGATCTCATATAGGTTTGACTTCGACCTATGAACATGCTTCACACAGCTAAACTTAGGGCTTTCCTGATCTTGTGATGTGGAATATGGTGGCCGTATTTCCTCATCAGTTTGCACATGTTGGCCGGAAAGCAGAGAGAAGCGTTGCAGGGCTTTTTCAACAGAGAAATCCTCGGGATAATCTTTTATCATTTCGCGCCTTGATCTCATCATAACATGCAATGGTGGGAGAGCTGCAATTATAGACTTCACACTCGACACAGGCTCTTCAGTCACAGTCACAAGGCCGAGGAGCTGTTTCAAGATCCTTAATGAGTACAACACGGCAGTAATCTGAGCACAAAGATGGACGTCTGCCCAGTCAACTGATTCCCCCATATAGCCGAACCTAAGGAACCTGCACAACCGATCAACTTCGAGGGGTGCAGTATGGCTCGCTTCATCCCTAAATAGCTCACACGTTGCGAATAGCCTCCAGAAGCGCGAGGACGAAACTTCTTCGCCAAACGCAGCTTGAGCAAAGCTCAAGCGTGTATAAAAGGAATGCATCTCGTTTGCCACCCAACCTTCATCATCCACTGTTATCCTGTCTATGGCTATTCTCCCACCTCTCCGAACGTATTCCTCCACGAATTGGTATCTTTCCGCGAACGGACGGCACAAGTTGAAGATCGAATAGCCGAGAGCTCTGTATGTACGACCTTCTTCCCATGCACATCTCCTGGAGTGATCTTCATTTAAAATAGCAAGATACATATGCGGAGAGCTCCCAGTGAAATGAGCATTCCCCGTGCCGTACTGCAAGAATAATTCTGATAATCTTGGGTCGAGGCACTGGGGGTGTTGGACTATCGCTCGGTTGTTTATCCCGTGGTCATACTCCTCAAGAAAATGTTGATAGTCAGGTTCGAGATCGAGAAAGTTGCAGTTATCTCTCGATCGCCTAATGAGCTCCGATAAACCAAATTGTGGATTCTGACTCAATTCATATGCAAAATACCGGACACTTCTAATTCCCAATTGGCTAGAAAGCGATGCAGGACAGATTCTTCTGGCTCTGACCTTAGAATCTGTTGGTCTAGATGGATCCCATTGACTAAGTTCAACCGAATCCAAAAACAGTACCGAACCGTAAGATCCAAGATCATGAAGAAGAAGATCTGAATCATTGGTCAGTACAGCGGCACCTGTAAGCCTCGACATGCGAGCACACTCGGAATCTGCCTCCCCCGGGACCATTACAGTAATGCTTGCCCAGGGGAAGTCTTGTTCTCCAAGCTCACAGTGGTTGAAGCAAAATGTGTCTTGCACTGCCGTCAGGATATTTGCTTTGTTCCATCTTCTTCTCAGGTCTTCAAAAACAGTAGATACCATAAACGGGTTTTCAGGGAGGCCATTGTATTTGACAGGCGTGGCTCGACTCTGTAGAACTTTTGTAGGATCAACAGTGCTGCCTTCGACTGAATCATCTGGTTTTGCAAACCCCAACCCGTTCTGTGAGTGAAATTGTTCAAGTTTCTTCCTTGATTTTTCCAGTCGACAAAATCTTATCTTTCGTTTCGTTATAGGCAAAGCTCCATCAAAGCAGATCTTGGTCCTGGTATAGATCAGTACCATCAACTTTCTGCGTATGGGTCATACATGATTATTACACATTCACACCGAGGAGCTTCAGTTGCAGGAGAAAGACCATTACCCCGAGACTAACTTCATCGCAACTCGGCTGGGCATCTAGAATTTCGAGTTTCGTGTTTGATTTAGACAACAGTCGTTGAAAAACATGGTAGACCAGGCTGGGCCCGTCAATGACAACCAACTGGATGCTATCATCTCCTTCTCTTTGTTTCCCTCCTGCCAACAGGACATCTTTCGAATATGGGAGCAAGTGCCGTGTTAGATGCGGTATGCCCATTGTCTTTGAATATGAGAATAGGAAAAGTTGACTCGGTGAATTTCAAACTTTGGCCACAGGAAGAAGGATAAGAATTTACATAGCTTAGTAATTAACGATAACCTGTCAGTTCACTAGTCATGTTGTAGCGGGTGTTGCAGCTCCATAGCCTGTCTACTCGCTGCCAAGGGCCCCGCGCTTGTCAGCGCGCCAGTCCAACGCAAAAATGTATTTTTTGTTTTCTCTTTCTAGCCAATATCTCAGTGAAAACACTGGATTTGTATATACTACCATTCAAGAATATATGAATCACTGTGCCAATTATATATGTATTAGGAAAAGGCTTTTTTTTAAAAAAGAAAAAAAATCATCTATGTAAATAATAAAATTACTTATAAAGTCATGCATTAATCTACCTTTATGTAGGGTATAGTATCTTAAACAACCCCAGGTTACATTAAATGGTGTTAATATGATTTAACTACGCCTATTATATGAATGAAATAGTGGTGTATCTCCAGATGTCAATTTTCCTATAACGTAGAGTGCACATATATAGATATAGGGCTAGATTATGCCGCTCCCCAATTATACAATATTATCATTAAATAGCCTAGTGCTATACAACAGATAAAGATAAAATAAGAAATTTTTAAATACAAGAAGAATTTTGATGAGCGTGATATAAATGGCTAAAAATGGAATTCTTTAATATTGAACTATTCTGTGTTGGATTGGCGTCGGCCCAATGGTAAACATGGAGGGATACAGTGTATCAGTCAGTAATAGAAGCGCAGAAAAAGGAAAACAATAACAGTGATTACATTTGACTAGTGTTGAGAGACCATCTGATCGATAACTTAGCCAAGTCAGAAGCTGGATAATTAAATAATAAAGCATTTTCCACCTAAAATATACAGGAAATACTTTCTAGATTTATTACCCTTTTATTAGGGATCCATCTAATCTTCTCTTTATGAGTTACAGGCAGTCATATATCAGGACTTATGACAGTTGACTTAAAGCATTAGGATTGGGGGCAGACCTAGTGAAATGATGGGCTGGTATCATGGCTATACTGTGTATATAATTATTTGTGATACTATCGCTTCTTTGATTAACTGCACGTGTTTAGACTAGTGACGTATTTCTTGTGGAAATCACATGTCTCAGAATTAGGAAGGCCTCTGTTATATAAATGAATGCATTGAGTGCCCAACTTAATCAACCACCGAACCACTGACACTACCGAACCGCCGATGTCGCCGCAACCACTGAAGATCAAGATATATGTGGAGGAGGCATACAAAATTACTTTATTGCAGCTTAGTAAAAGGGTCAATTAAATATATGCTTTAACTAGAGGCCTATCATCTGTTGTCCAGCCATTGGCGCTATTGGCAAGCTTCCAATCTGGATGAAGGTTAGATTCTTGATACCAAGTGGCCTGATGTTCTTTTTTCCCTTCAAGGTGATTGCTGGAGGTATATAAATCCCCTTTGCACTCACGCATTCGATGATTGTGACACATTCATAGCTTGCCTGAATTGTTATACGAGGTCTTCACTGCATTCTGCTACAGCAATAATCTCGGATGTTCGTACAGAGTCCCATTGTAAAGCCAGTTTCATCAAAGTTCCATATATCGAATCATCATACCATGACAGGCTGCTGCAATAAATTATTTTTAAAGACTAACTTTTTTTAGTTTAATATAAATATTCTATCTGTAATTTTTAGGTTCTAGAATCAAAGAAAGATATTATTAAAATATAAATGTCTAGGTCATCTAAGTTTTAATATATGCCTAATCATGTCCAAATTAACATACTATATACATCATTCGAGAAAGGAATTAAGAGTGTCAGACCAGGGGGCCTATTGCTATTGCCTGGTGCTCAAACTTGCATAAAAACAGCTAAATACAATTTAATTAACTAGTCGGTACCAAGCGAGTCATATACAACTTCCTGAAATAATAAAAGCTATCGATAATGTGATCGTACTAATGGAAACCAGCAGTCAGCTAGCTCATGCTTGATGATGTTTCTAAAGACCCTTGGACCCTTGCATCAACATCAAAAATATTGACATTCAAAATATCAATTCTTCCAAATTAAACTCATCCCTCTATTTTTAGTCTATATTACTAGTAGTCTTTATTACTGCTTAAATCTTGGGTTAGTTGATAGCCAACTATCAAGGTGCTAATCAGTATAACCTATACAGCTTAGATTTAACTGGTTTCATTATACATGTTATGTATATTCAATAGGATCTTTTATTATAATGTATTTCTATATATTTCGGACCTCCCTTAATGATGAGTGAATTTTATGTCCAATCTTGCGGTTAGTTTTGCTCTTACTAACAATACCTAGTTCAACACATATACTTAATTTAAATACATTCTCACCTTTTAACTTGTACATACTTTAATAAAGACTATCTCTGATAATAGGAATATAAAATTTAGTAGTTATCTGCGGTATCAGGGTGATCATTCTTCTTATCATCCTGCTAGTGTCACCGCTTTCTATCCTGGTGTCTCTTTTTTAACATCTAGTTATAGAAGGGGAAAGCCCTTTCATTTTACTAACCTGGCAAGGTCAAGGCTTATTAGTGCGTTTAAGAACTTCAATATGTGATGTGATCCATGATTATCAAGAAGTAGCTATATTCATCGATGTGATTCATATTAGTCAGAAGATAGATAGACCAATGGGTTAACCGATTGGTAACCTGCTGCTTCCATAATTTCTTAGTATTAAATACAAATGTTATTTTATCTGATGTGTAGCCAGATGATGGTTGCATCAATGCCCTAAGTTAGGTTTGGCATGTGTTTAGGGTCTTCTATATACAGTCAAATTTCATTAAGACAATATAATATATCCAGCTGGTTACTATCGTATTAACGCGAATATCGTCATATTGAATAATTAACCATTAATGACTAAGCCATCCATCTAAGGTGCGCTGGGTAGTAAGAGAGCTCTCCTTCCGCTAAGTCTCTCATATCGCTCTAGAAGGCGAAGAGTAGAGGTTCTGAATTATCCTGGATTTCAGTGTACGATATCAGAAGCCTACGGCTTGTAACGCCTCTGAAACCTTTGGAATAGTAGGCAAAGTCTCATTCTCCTCATCTTCCTCAGTTTCAATTGATAGCTGTGCGGCTGGCAATCAACTGGTGAAGGAGATCATCTCCATTTAGCTTGAACTCTTCTGTCTCTGACTCTCAGTAGGATTGGGAAATTTTGAAATAGTCATGGCATCCTCTAATCCTCCAGCATATTGTACTTGAGCGAATAAAGCTGTCAAGTCTGGTGATTGAATAGGAAGTTGTACAGGCTCAGGCACAAGTGTACTTTTTCGAAAGCAATTGTTGATTATTGTAGGTAGGATATCATGATTCCATGCACGGAGAACCCAACCGAATAGTATCCAAACTACTGACAGTATCCATTGGGTTTGTGAAGTCCTCATACGCATTGAGCATATAGCGAAGCCATTGCTTTCGGTAATAAACCTTGAGATTTTGGATGATTCCTTGATCAAGAGGTTGGAATCTGCTTGTTGAGTTTGATGGAAGCCATTGAATCCGGACATTCGGTGGAGGTGTTAGTACAAGGCCTGATAAATGAGCTGGAATATTATCCATGGTAAGAAGAACTCTTCGAGGCCTGATATGGCTAAAAAAGAACAATAGCCATTCTTTCATGTCATTATCATCCACGTTTTTTTGTTCCAACGCCACTGGCCTCCCACCACCTGGATATTGGAGTTTCGAAGAGCCCGTGGTGCTTGGTATTTACCAATAAACTGTATCGATAAACGATCAGTGCCAGATGCATTGATGCAACATATCATGGAGATTCGTGATTTGTCTTTTCGTACACCTGTTCTGGCCTGCGTAGAAAGACCCCTGGATGGAGATAGGCGCCAGAATAGACCTGTTTCATCCATATTATATATAACATCCTCCATATATCGCCCATGTAGTTTCCGAATTGCAGCCATTTCTTCCTCAGCCTGTTCTGGAACTGATCTAGCTTCTCCGTGATAATTGCGTTGCTTGATGTTGAATCTCTTAAAACGATGTAGCCATCCAGTACTAAAGCGAGGTTCTGGCAGATCTTTATATTGTGGTAAAGACTTCTAAACCTCATGTGCTCTCTCAACTAACAGGTCCATTGGCTAAACGCGAATATCGGCTTATCGAATATCGTTCCACCGATGTTTGACTGTATATATTTACATATGTATTCGTTAATGTATCGAGAGGTATTTTAAATTTGTTCCTTTAAAAATAGCAAAAAGAGGCTCTAACTACCAATCTATCAATTCAATCGCATAGTATAAATCTACTCTGTACATTGGCTCTATCGATGGACTACATATGAAACGTACAGAATACCCCGTACAAGCATAGATGCAAACACAAATAAATTGACTATAAAATATTTGAATTAGTACATCATACTTCAGAGACTAATATAATTTTTCATCTCATTTAAGACTTTGTTTTAATCATTCTTAAAAATCTTTAGGTCAGACAGAGTAAGAATGAACCTTCTACTAAAAGTCGTTTATAATATTCAATTTCGAGATAATCTTTGGATTTTTAAGTCACACCTCATTAATTTTCCTATTAATTAACTCTTAATCTTTTTAAGTTCCCTCCTAACTGCCATTGCTGTTTAATCTTACGTAACCGGACACCGAGCGGAACACATGATTCGGAGTGCCGATGAAAACCACTACATTTCTAATTCTGACCACCAAACATTTAAAATATAGCGATATTTACATAAAAATCTACTTAGTACAGCACAACTAGCTCTATAGTATGACGACCTACTTATAAATTGCACTAGTTGCAGCTTGATGGTGCTCGCTTTCGTGGTTTTCACCACCTTCATCCACGACCCCCAAGTATACCAGCAGCCTCCTGGCTAACGTTACTGACCATCTACTCCAGTTAGAATACCACCAGCAACTATAAAGATTCTAGTAATATTTCGCTTACGCTTTGGGTGCGTATTAGCAGCTTGTAGCCGCTTCATCTCATGCTCTAGAAGTAATGCATTCTTAGTGTCATTCCCATCCCGCAATTCCCGTTCCCGAACCGTTCCCATCCCGCATAGGGTCGGGAAATTAGGACCAATCCCCAATTCTCGCAGTGGGAAGGGAATAATTAGGAATTCCTGCAGTTTCCATTTACTCCCATAGGGATGGGCCGGGTTGGGACTAAGGTGCCCAATTCCCTACCCTACCCGATCCGAATGTAACTCTATGCATTCTGCATTGCAATTTGCGCACCCTTGACCACTTTATTGACTGCCTGGTTGATTGGGCTTGGTGGACTGTGCGTACGCTACTTCCAGAGATGCTTGGTAAACTGGAGTCTTCAAGTTTATCGTTTGTCCATTCACTCTCACTGACTCCAATAGCCCAGTCCTCGGGTATATATGTTGACACCAGAGTAGATTAGTGTTGCTTGCCAGCAAAGATAATCAATGGAGGAAGAAGAAGATAGCCTGTTGAACCAATTGCCTCAATGGCAGTCACCCATTCACGATTCCTGGTTGTATGGCTTTTACACGGCTCTGAACATAAGCAATTCCATATTTTACAATAGTATTCTAAACCAGCTGAAACAAATCCATTATTACATATTTCTGGATCTTCAAAGAGCGCGTTGATAGTAGCAGTGCAACCATATCATGTATAATATGAACCCTGGAGGTAGGACACGACTATCTGCAGCTTATAATAGCCATTCAAGAAGTGTATATTCTTCAAGTATTAGCAAGTTTTCGGTCATTTGGAGCTGAATCAACACGGCCATTTAGTCAGGAAGACAATGTAGTTAAAGACATCTTAGAGGCTGCGGCATCATCCGCAAAATCCACGGATATCTCATATCCAAATCCACAATTTGCGGATGGCAAAGTCCTGTATATAAGACATCCACGGATGTCTTGCAGCTTAGACTTATAGTCTACTCGGGTATATATGTTTTTAACATAGCTTAGTTCAAAAATTCTTCATTGCAAGCAATGTCCTGGCTTCTTGTCGAATAGAATAATAATTATTAACTCATAAATATTCCAGATAGAATATCAGTTCAGCTTTAACATATAGTAAAGTATTAGGCAACCTTAATTCTCCTGTTAATACAAGTACTTTATTAGAAGTTCTGAGAATTTATCCAGACTTTATTATTGGAGTTTAAAGCCATTGAAGGTTCTAGAGCTATTGTTAGCCTAGAAAAAAAAACCTTTTCATTAAGATATAAATTGACAGTATTATCTTTGGGGACAGACACATCCCAAGCTGCTGTCATGCTGTTCTATTAGTCTAATACACACCAAAGGCTCTCTTTAGACTAGTTATCATTCATATTAAGATTACAGACCCCTTCACTGAATTCAAAAGATATAATCTAATACCTAAAAATCATCAGCTTTTCCTGTTTAGGTTCTATTTAAATATAATCAAATTCTTAATATCAAGTTTATAAATATATAGACAAAATCATTTAAAATAGCTAATCATCATAATAATGATTACCACTTTTCCTTCAAAATCTGCTCAAGGTACCTTTTTGATCCAATTTTGAATCTTTTCTTGTGGAATTTCCTCCCAACACTCCAAACCCCTTTCACATAATATTTATTAAACCAGAGTATTTTTGCTTTGTATATAGTTCCATGTAGTTTCCATGCAATTGAGATTTGGGCTGTTGGATAGCCAGTTCATTTTATAGGACAAAGGGCCTGATTTCCCCCATGTTATATCTAAGCTGTCATGAAGAATCTAGACCAACATTATCCCCCTACAATTGTATATGCCCATATCCCTAAGGAAGCTTCCAAGTTAAGGGAAAGAACTTCTTTGATATCTCCCGCTTATACTGGGAACCAATCAATTTCTTTAGTGGCTGGGCTTTAATTAACCTTTGATTCTTTCTTGCTTCCAGAGTTTCTGGGTGCCATATATGGCATGGGCCCTTCTTGTTGAAAAGTAACCGCGAAATATAGACCTGAGTAGTTCCTATATCTTCTAATGTTTTTGGATGAAATTGTACCTTTCTTTATGCAACTTTAAAAGGACTATATCTATCCCCCCCCCCCCC